CTTTTATTTAGATAACTCAGATATGAAATGTTGCTGAACAACTTATAGGAAAACATGGGCAGGAATAATTTTCTGAACCCAAATATTTTAACAGCACAGCAGAATACATAATTATTACAAAATGCATATTTTAACATTGAGTGTATAAACTAATTATGCCTATTGAGGCTTCATTTTCATTTATTTTCTGATGTGAGTCATAAACTGCTTTGTTAGACTTTGTTTGCATGAACTCCTGTAGTCTTAGGAACCACAACTTGTACTTTTGATTAAATACATAGGTTGGTGTCAGCTTCCATCAAAACCTTAGAAAACCAAAGAATTCTCCAAAGAATTGTATACATCTCCACACTAAATACAATATTTTCAAATGTACTTTCTTTTATTTTCTCTGTTTAGGAAATAAATGTTCTACAGTGGGAAATCAAAATTAATCAGGAGAAATCTAAAAATTTAGAAGAGACTTGGGCAGAAAAATATGAAAGGTATATATTTATGGACATAATCTTATATTACATTGGAAGATATATATTTATGTATGATTAAACCATCTTATTTGCCCATGCCAACAGAATATATTGTGAAAATGCTGCACTTAAAGAAACACTTAAATTGAAAATTGATGAAATTAAAGCACTGAAGTCTGAAAATGAACGTACGTAAGCTCTACTTTCTCAATTGGTTTTTTTTTTTAACGTTGTATTTTTTGGCTTAGTCTTATATGCTAAAATGCAAAGACTAATGATTCCTTGAAATTATACTGATTGAATTTGAATGACACAACAACCCATTGTCTGTTGGTGGCTATGAAGGGTTTTTGTTTGAATGCAAGAAGCAGCCATGACAACCCATGGGTTGTTCTATGGATCATTGTACCCATGATGGGTTGTTGTGTCTTTCAAACCAGGGGAACTTGTGGCAGTGTGAATACTGGGTACTAGCCAGCAACTCCTTTCATGAGAGTGACAAAACTCCCTTTCTCCTTTCACCTTCTCTGCCCAGCCACCCATCAGTACCAGCTGTCCCACAAGTGCCCAAGCAGGACTTGGGTGTGATTGCTACTGGCTGGACGACCTCTGACATAATTGTGAGCTGTTTCAGCATACTTTGGCTTTTCTGCCCTTTAGCTTTTTTCCCCCAGAGATTACAGAAGCCAACTTAACAGCCAGTTTTCACAACGCCCTGTTTGACAACAACAAAGAACCCTTTCACTGCATACTTTTTAAAAATTGCTCCAAATTTGCGCAATATTTCATTCACCTGAAGATAATCTCTCTTCAAGTTATCCCCAAAGCTCTAGGTACTTGCAAACAAAGAGCAGTATAAGCCACCCCCTTCTTTAAAAAAGGCTATCAGTTTACACATCTAGTTGTCAAAAAATTTTAAAAAGCAATTTCTTGACAGGGACTTGTGCAGGCACGAAAGCTAGCTGTCAAAATGCTAGTTCCTTTTTTTAAAGAGTTTTGCACTCAAGAACATCTGGAAAAATGAATTAACTTTTAGGAAAGTCTAGAGCAGAAAACTCTTTGCACAAAGGGCTAAAAACCCTACTGCCATTTTCATGAGCAAAGATCATTTCCCTTGACAGTTTATCTTTTGATCGAAGTTAAGAGGAAACAAATAAATGAAAAAGTATAGCTGGAGCCTGCTAGGATACTGTGCAGTACTGGTTCCTGCTGTGTTGTGACAGGAGATACTACCCCACCCCCACCTGGACATCAACCAAACTGAAGTTTCGAGTAGCTGCACCCATTGAACTACGTATCTTCCTAGATGTGCAAATTTGTAAAAAAAAATCCCACCCCTTCTAAAAATATTGTGCTCATTGGGGTTTTTTTAAAGTAATGTTTTAAAATACTGTTTCCTAGCCACTAACAGCTAGGAATTTTTTGCTTGCAGTTTCAAGCTGGCTTTTGTGCTCTCCACTCAATAAATTTATTCATTTATTATTTATTAAAACATTTATACCCTGCCCTATATGCAAAAGTGTCTCAGGGCGGCTTACGAAAATCACAAACAAATAATCGAACAAGTTGACAATAATTAAATAAATAGTTGAATAAACACCAATAACATTTCACAGATTTAAAAAAACACAGAATCAAAATCAAGAATCAAAACAGAATCAAAACCAAAAAGTGACTGTGAAGTTAAAACCTAATTAAAATTTCTAACATTTATACTTATGGGCAAATAAAAAGGTTTTCACCTGGCGCTGAAAGGAATGTAGAGTCAGCGCCAGGTGAACCTCTCTGGGGAGCACATTCCATAGTCTGGGCGCCACCGCAGAAACGGACTTCCTCCGGGTAGAGACCATTGTCATTTCTTTCAGTGAGGGTTCCTGGAGTATAGCCTCTCCTGCAGATCTTAAGGGGCGTGAGGGCTCATAAGGAAGAAGGCATTTCCTTTAGGTATTCTGGTCCCAAGCTGTTTAGGGCTTTATAGGTTAACACCAGCATCTTAAATTGGGCCTGAACTTCAACTGGAAGCCAGTGAAGCTGGCAGAGGACTGGCGTTATATGAGAATAACAACCGGTCCTTGACAGCAATCTGGCCGCTCTGTTTTGGACCAATTGAAGTATCCGGACCATTTTCAAGGGCAGCCCCACATAGAGCGCATTACAATAATCGAATCGGGAAGTTACCAGGGCATGTGTCACTGTTGCTAGACAGTGCTCGTCCAGGTAAGGACGCAGCTGACGGATCAGCCAAAACTGAAGGAAAGTGCTCCTTGCCACCGCTATCACCTGGACCTCCAGGGACAGTTCTGGATCGAGGAACACTCCTAAGCTGTGAACCATGTCCTTTAGAGGGAGGGCAACCCCATCCAGGACAGGGCCAAAATCACTTACCTGAATACCTGAACTGTCCACCAACAGGACCTCTGTCTTCTCTGGATTGACTCTCAGTTTATTGACCCTCATTCAGTCCATTACCTCGGCCAAGCACCGGTTCAGGACAGGCACTGCCTCCCCTGGATTAGATGTAAACAAGAGGTAGAGCTGGGTGTCATCAGCATACTGTTGACTCTGCAGCCCAAACCTCCTGATGACCTCTCCCAGCAGTTTCATGTAGATGTTAAAGAGCATGGGGGACAAGATAGAGCTCTGTGGTACTCCATGGCAAAGCTGTCATGGTGCAGGGCTGTAGTCCCCCAACACCCCCTTCTGGTACTGGCCGGCCAGATAGGAGTGGAACCACTGCCTTGCAGAGCCTCCTGCTCCTAACTCGGCCAGCCTACCCAGTAGGATACTATGGTCGATGGTATTTAAAGGATAAAAGCCACAGAAAGCTAAAAAAATAGCTCATAATTGTGGCAGAGAGACAAGTTGGTCCTGCTCTAGAGTTCCTGAATCCCTGGGAGGGGAGAAGAAAGGGTGAACAACCCATGGGGGTTCCAATAATCTATATGGTGCTCTGTGAATTGTTCTGTGAACAACAAATACACCATGGCCAGTGCTTTTTTTGTAAAAAGAAAGGTGTCGGAACTCATGTCACTGGCAGTAAGCATGCAACCACACACACCAATCCCAAACTGAGCAGCGGAGCAGCGCCCTCACTACCTCACTATCAGATAGCAGACACAAAAGCAGTCTGCAGACACTATGTTAATGATGTTTGCTGCTGATCTGCTATGATTCAAAATCACTTCGTAAAATGCATTGGAAAAAAAGGTGCCAGAACGCCGTTCCGGTGCATTCTATGACAAAAAAAGCCCTGACCATGGCTTATTACTGGGTGGCATTGTTTTATCCAATTTTTTGTGGTGATAACTACATTGGATGTTTTTGGCTGAAAGTCTTAATTGGAGAATAAGTTCTTGTATAGAACTTATTTAGGAATGCTTAGAAGATACTGCAGTTGTGATGTCTCTGGTTACGATGCAAGGCGTAACGTCTTTTTAAAATAGGATATTCAGACTCTGATAAGACTTCTTCCAGTGTTATAAGCCTAAGGTTGAAAATTGGCTGCATGTCGCTCTGGGGATAAACACCACTGAATACAGTGGTATGTCTTGTTAAAAATGCACAAGATTACATTTCACTTACTGTAATGATTGAAAAGGATTTTTATGTTCTATTGACACCATTAGCATCACTTTGTACTCACAAAAATCCTGTTGACACAATCCTCTCCTAAAATTTTCTGAAATGCAAGCCCAAGTATGGTAATGCATAATTGGTTCATATGTTGATGATACATATTTACTTAGAGTCCTAAAAGGTCTCCATTCCTATCATGCCTCCCTCTAGAAAAGCAGAACAAGAATACTAATGAGGAAGTAGAATTGTGATGCAGACCTACTTTACATATAGAAGAGTGTTCTCAGAGAGTATTTTTGGTTACCTTTATATCCTTCCAAGGAACTCAAGGCAGCATACATGGTTCTTTCCCCCTCCCTCCTGCTTTATCCTTGCTAGAGTGATAGAGAGTGACTGGTCCAAGGGCATACACATAGGACTTTCATGCCTGAGATGGATTTTAACCTGGGTATCCCTTGTGCCACATTGGCAATTACGTGGAGGTGCTTAACTTGAGCAAGCAGTTGGTTCCGGAACCTGCTTCAAATACCTGTGTTCAGCCCATGTCATGTGAATATAATAGTGTTTTGAGCCATGAATAAAGTGCCTTTTCCTTCTCAACATAAGTACAAACAGTTTTACATAATGTGAAGGAAGCTTCCAAAGGAGAAGAGGTAGGCTTCGGACAAATTTGAGTTATAGCAGCTTCCATTTTAGTAAATAAGCATTCTGCATAAGCCAGTATTTGGAAACTATTTACCTTAGGAAACTACATAACAGACTGTAAGCAGGAAAAGCTGATTAGAAGCTTCACAAACTGTTTTTCCCTCCTTCATACTGAATTTTATAGTTTTGGATCAACAGCGTTTGGAGATTCTTGCAATGCTTGATGTCAAACAGCAGAAGATTATGCAGGAGAACATGTCTCTTAGCAAGAGTGGTGTTACAGAGATTACAGGACTTGACGTATGTATTTTAAAATTTCCTTGTTATTTCTTAAGCTTATATTTTATGACTAATTCCAAAGGAACAGCCCTATTAAGAGCCGTCGTTATTTGTTTTTCGGCGCCAGGCGAAGACCTTTTTATTTAAGCGGCATTTTAATTGTTAATATTATTGGATTTTATCTGGCCAGGGCGGCTTATTTTATATTGGTATTTGTATTTTTAACTTAATGTTTATATTTTTTTAATTTAATGTTATAATTATTTTTTAACTTATTGTTGTAAGCCGCCCCAAGGCTTCAGCGAATGGGGCGGCATAAAAATGTTTTAATAAATAAAAAATTCACTCTCCCTTAAATTTTTTGTAGCCTGTTAACGTACTGTAGCTATTTTGAATTTTGTCCCAGAATCGTGATCCAAGCATTACTCAAACAGCATTTCCTTTCCCACTATGTAACCTTCATGTGACACTGTTGTATATTGGAATAGTACAGTTACACAACTGACAAGTGTTTTCTTTTGCTTTCATGACTAATATTCCATTTCCTTGCTTTTAAATTGCCAAAACTGTTGTTTAAAAACAGATGAAACCGGTGTAGCATCTAAAGAACTCATAAAGAACTGTGAATATAGAATGATTGCACAATAAATATTTCATACAGAAAAGATCTTAAACACTGATTTATTGTGGCATCAGCTTTTATAGGAATAGTTTGGGATTTTTTTTTTTTTTTTTACTAAAATCATGTAATGAGTTGAGAAATTAGTAGCAGTGTTTGCATGGTACTATGACATAACAATAAGAAGCAGTCGTGGATACCATGTTGAACCTAGCCAGTTTTGCACATTCTTCGCAGGTGGGAGTAATGGAAAGCTTTTCTGTCCATTTTTAATTGACTGCAGCTTAATGTATCTGTCCCCAGAGCTGCTGTTACCATGAACTATGTTAGTGTAAAACAAGCTAACTGTAATTATTGAAGCTGGCATTTTAAAACTAACCATAATTAAGATTAACTGTAGTTCTGGGCTCAGACAGCACAGTAAGCAGTTGGGCTTCTATTTTTGATTACCATGATCTCCGTTTTCTAGTTGTGCAGGAAGAGGAAAAAAGAGGTGGAAATGTGTGAATCTGAAGCTCATTGCAACTCATTTCTACTTGTTCATGTCACTCAAAACAGGACATGCAACAGTTTCTATATATAGGCTGAGAAGTAATGCAGACATGCTTTCATAATTAGCTTTTAAAATCTGTTCAACATACAATCATTGTTTTAAAATTATAAGCTACCTGAATCCTTTGGCAAAAAGGTAGTATGTAAATAGTAATGTAATGCAGCTTTAAGAATTTACTGCATAACATTGGTTTGTTGGTGCTGCTAAGGAGTTGAGAACTACAAGGTTTCTGAAAATACAGATATAAGGGCTTTAGAAAACAACATTAAAATCTGAAGAAAAATATTTGAAGCACAGGATATATATAAAGAAAGAAAATAAAATAGAAATCCGGTTTTTCTAGTGGAAACCATTTTTCCAGTGAATTTTTATCATCCCCACCACCACCTGTCCACATAACACTAATCTCAGTTTATTTTCAGATAGTTAAGGATGAGGAAACACAAAAAGTTTGACAAGACTTGCTAGAAGAAAAAGTGTAGTCATGTAGGTAGGTTCTATAAATAATCATAAGGCATTTAGGCCTAATGATCTGGCTAAGAAGCTATATGTAAAACGGGCAACAGCAAACACTTTCTTAATTATTTAGATCTCAACAAATACATTTGTAAACTTGTGCAGCTCAGTCCTATGGATGTCTATCAGTGGTACTTCCAAAAAGGTCTGTGAATGAAGTCTTCTTCATTCTGGTGCTCTTTATGGTGTCTCGTCCCATAGGTTACATCATCCCAAACCAACACGACCACTGAGGAAAGACTGGCTTATTAGAAACCAAGACTACATGCTGCTGAATATCTTTCTTTGCTTTTATTTCCTCTACTATTAAAAGTACAAATGCTATTTGAATAAGGCATCTGCAACACCTTTAATGAAAGCAACTGAGCTTGGAGGAGGTGTATTGGCCCTAATGTAGGCTGTGTTAGGATTTAGAAATTCCTCTCCTAAAACAGACTTCACCTTTTGGATGCTTCTAGATGGCAGGCTTCTAGTAATAGCAATCAGAAGGCATTGTGCAGCTGTTCCACCTTCTTCTTCTTAATGGTGAAGAAAAAGAGATGGAAGAGGATACAATAAAATACAGGTGGATTAGGAATAGAATATGGCAACATCTAGACTTCCTCAGAATTTCAAGAATGAGGTTCATAAAAGCCTCATCTGGAAGCACTTTGCAAATGCCAAACCTGTGTTATTCAGAATGATGTACCACAAATGCAGCATTTTAAACAGTGGATTCAAGTGTTCTGATAGAAACGGGGGTGTGGTGGATCCTGAGGGAGCAAACCACCCGTTGGACATCTTTTTCCAATAAGGTCAGGAGAATGGTAAACAAGACATGAAGAGTGGAAGTGGGGAAGTTCAGCTGTTGGACCTTTTGCTTCTGAATTAGGATATGAGCTTATGAGGCATCAATTATATTTTCCAAACTATTCATGTTTATTTTAGTTTTAAAATGAAGAAATTAAGAACACAAGAGTTTCTAAAGAAATTTACTGATTTTATAATAGTTTCAAGACAAAGTGAGTTGGATATGGAGATCCCCCTAGGGAGAGTGCTTCCCATGGAAGGGGAGGGAGTGATTTGCCCCCTCCACTTTCTGCAAATCTGCTCCTAAGGATAGAGGAGCCTTCTGAAACTGCAAGGGAGGAGGCAGAGCTGGGGAAAATTGCATCCTTCTTCAATTGCAGAACTTCTGCAAATTGAAAGAAACCTTCTGTTCACTGAGGAGCTACCCTGGATCTAACCTAATTACATAAATTGGGCAAAGATAATCACAGTTACCTCATCTCAGATAAGATTTGGGTTGGCTTGTTTTGGTTAATTTTTGTTTTGTATTGTCTTGTCAAAGAGCTTGATTTCAATTGATAGAATGCATTTGTATTTGAAGCTGGCAGTACTTGGAGCCTGCACTTGTAATGGTCCTGAGGGAGAGCCATGCTCCTGTGCCAAGATGTCAGCAGCAACTCGAAAACAACTTCTTCAACTCAAGCAAGAGGTATTAGGCTTTGCTTGAAAGGAATGTTGTTTTGTCTTTTGAAAACATGTGGCATGCATCTTGCCATGTCAGAAATTGGTGACCAACATGTAGCCATTTTATACCAACAGATGTCTAAAAACTCTATTATTAGAATATGCATATAAACAGTGACAAGCCTGTGTATATGATGGACATTTTAAATGTTTACATTTTGAGTAAGCTTGCCTATGAAACAGGAGTTTAGATTCAGAGTTTTTTGTTCCAGTTGAGAAATCTCTGGACCCAATCCAGTGCAACTGTTTTCTGTACCTTCCTATATTTTTCTCAGCACATTTTCTTTTTGGCCCAGGTGGAAAAATACATCCATTCGTGTAACTTCAATTAACTAAAATATTTCAGAATCAATGTCTTAAAATTTGGCTTGATTTAGTAGCAAACCATTGTTTATAATATCCAGCAAATCTCTGCTTTCATGGGTCCTTGTTACAGGGAGGGAAAAGGTGTGCCTGCTTTTTGGTACCTTTGCCCAAGGAGGAGTGCTAGATGGTATTTGTAAAAACTCCTACCTTGCACCAATTTACAGGACACATAATAGGAAAAGAGGCACATAACTCCCTGTGTAGTCAGCAGTTTTTGAAAAGTAAATTTCACCTGTAGGATAGCATAATGGTGTCTTTGCTGGTTGACAGAATTTTTCTGGTGACTTTGTGACTGCATTTGGATTGCTGCTTGAGATGACAGAGTACTCACTATTTCAGTTTATTATAATTGGACAATTAAAAATAATGGCATATGAATTTCATCCTTTTTTTAAAAAAAACCCCTCTCTTAATTAAAAAAACGCAGTTTGAACTTCTGAAGAAGAGTAAAGAAGAAGCTTATATAATGGCAGATGCCTTCAGAATTGCATTTGAGCAGCAGCTGATGCGGAGGAAGGATCAGGCTTTGAGGCTTGCACAAATGAGTAAGATCTGCAGAAAAGACAAACTTCTAAACTGGAAAAGCACCAAAGAGGATGGTAATTTTCTGCCTACTACTAGATTGTTAATAGTATTAGAATTTAACCTATTATTTTGAATAAGACCTATTATTTTACACCTGCTGGAATGTATTCATACATTCAATTTTCCCCAGGTTATTGTGTGCCAGATACGTTTGGCTACAGCTCGCATAATTTCCAGTCCTTCTCCAAGTGCTTTCTTGGAGGAGGCACTTGAAAAATTGTTGTTCCTCAGGTTCGTAAACATCATCTGATTACCCCTTCTATAAATAATTGCAGCTATTTATTGGTCTAGTGTGCACATAATGTAAACCATAAATTAGTGTTACATAGATGAAGTATAGGTTCATGCGCTCATCTCTCTTCTAGCATAGCTGCAAAGGGATCAAAAACATCTGATTCCATTTCAGCTAACTAGTTTATCATTGTGTTTGAACATGACCGAACAACTTAGTGTTAACTGTGGCTTATCTGCACAAGCTAGGATCATTTCAAGTTAGTAAAAACTAACCAGTTTGCTTAGATTTGGAGATGAGACACCTATTTGAAAATGGGAGGCAATGTTTCTTTCAAAAAGTAATTGCACAAACAATAAATTAATATAATAGTAATACACATAATTAAACAATATAGTTGTAACAGTGCTACCTCTACCAGGACCAACAAATCATGCTACTTAATGTAAGATCATTTATTTATTCAGGTTGTTCTACTCCCATTTTTCTTCCAGAACTGCATTGACTCTTGTGATGGTTCACACCCCTTTCCTTTTTCTTAAGACATATTCAATAATTGTGCACCAAATATTTTCAAAATTATTTTTACTAATCAAACATTTTTCCACTTAATATCTTAAATTAACTTATCATTAATAGCTATATTCCAAACTTCTTTATACCAGTTATCTATTTGATAATCACCTGCTAAGTAATCTTACTGGTGTTAATAAATTTGTCATCAATTCTTTAATATTTTGTCCCACATATTCTTTAAATAATAATACAATTGTCCCCTGAAATTCGCAGGGGTTATGTTCCTAGAGCACTCGTGAATTGTGAAAAACAGCGAATTTGGTGCTGGCGATGGGCTGTTTTTCACCACAGTCACCATTTTAGTCCAACACAGTCACTCCCCACAATGAAGCTATATCCTTATTTATTTGTTTATTTAGGAGATTTATAGGCCGTCCATCACTGTTGTCTCTGGACGGCTTACAGAATATTATGAATCCTAAACAAAATAAATTAGCTATAACATGAACTGAGCATAAAAATGACATGTTTAAAATAAATTAGATAAATATACAATTAAAATTGATTAATATTAAAATATTGATCAAATAAAAAGGTCTTGACCTGGTGCCGAAAAGCATATAATGACAGTGCCAGGTGGACCTCTCTAGGAAGTGCATTCCATAGTCGGGGCGCCACTGCAGAGAAAGTTCTCCTCCGAGTACTCTGTCTCCTGACCTCTTTCAAAGAGGGTTCCCAGAGGAGGGCCTCTGCTGCCAATCTTCAGGGGCGGGAGGGCATATAGGGAAAAAGGCATTCCTTTATCCTTTTCAGTGGGAGTTTAAAAATTGAGTTTATTTACAGTCTATAAATTAATATATTAAAATATCCTTATTAAAATCTCCCCAGGCCACAGGAGCCTTCTCTGTCAGGTCTATAACCATCTATTATCTTTGGGTTTTTCTTGTTAATTTTATCAAGGCATTAGGAGCTTTCTTTTCACCGTTCAATTGCAGCCATTAACTGGCCCATCCCTCCCAGGATGCAATGTGTCTTATCTCTGCTCCTTTGGCTAGGCTGGGAAAGAGAGGATGCATGAAGTCAAGGCTCAAAGTTGTAACAGTAAATTTAGATTTAGTATTGCATATGAACACAGCCACTGTGTTTGAGTTAGACAAACTATGGCTATCACAAATCATAGTTTTGCTTTACAGCCATGCTTTGAAGTGGACTTCCTGTTCTGGTGTGAAGGCAAACTATGGTTTGTGAGAACAAGAGTTCTGATTTCACATGTTACAGCTGTCTGGAATATAGTGGCAGAAAGGGAACTGGTGGCGGGTAGGGAGGGAGGAGCACTCAAAGTAGAATTCCAATTAGACTTCTGTAGTGTAATATAGGGATATCTCTGAAGATGTTTCAGGAACTCTAGTTCAGCATATGGCATTATGATACTATTCCAGTAGTTCACAAACTGCTGGCTCCCAATTCTTTTCAAAGAACGATGATAGGGAGAGAGCTGACTAGTAGATTGCAGTCAGGCAAATACACTTTTCAAGCCAGTAAATTAAGCACAATAGAAAGCATTCTCCCCCATATGCATGTCACTTTCCCTTTCTGTGATTACAAACTGCCTTGTAAAAAGAGCTATTTGAAATTATAGGTAAGATTAATTCATGACTATTTATTAAAATTATGTCAAATTCTGAGTGAATATCCTCTACTTCCAGTTTATTGCAATTTCTTCTCCCTATTTCATTTCCCATCTATATTTCTTTCTTTCCTATACCAGATGCTTAAAAGCACAGGACTTTGGGGTGTAATAATAGATTCTAAACCAGGGGTCTCAAACTCAACTTACCTGGGGGCCGCTGGAAGTAGAGTCTGGGTGGTGGTGGGCCGCTCATCCCACGGCCGGCCCGGGCGCCGCCAGCACTTTGAAGGCCGCAGGGCCCCTCCCCCATGCCCCGCCCATCCCAGCAATTGGCCCGTGGGCCGTGAGTTTGAGACCCCTAGTCTAAACAGTCATTTAAAAATGAGAAGTAAATTTGTAAAACCTGAACATTTTGATCATTATCCTGTATGCACTACTATTTTATAATTATCCACTTTGACTGTGGAATGTCTTGCCCTGTTTTTCAAAATAAGTATTATAATTTTGAACATAAAAGCATAAACATTACCAAAATCAAATGTACTTTTGAAAGCTGTATCACAGACCATTGTTTTCATTTGTAATAAGCTAGGGTAATAGTCTTAATTTTCCAGAGTGGTATTTGTTTTAAGCTTCATTGCACTTGTATTAAAAGTGTACCTGTCTATAAAGTTCCAGGGCTAAAATATTTACATCTTCCCCTTTTAGGTGTTCTGATGTTTTCAAAAAATAGGAAAAGCTGGGGTGAAAAGTTGATGGGAATGCTTGCCTCTGGCACTGACAGTAAGAAAGTAGAAGAACTACATAATCCACAAGAAATCATCCGGATGCTAATTGACTTGGTTGGTATATTTGGCATCAGAAGCAATGTATGAACAGTATTTTCTTTCTGAACAAATATGTATACATTGTTGAGTTTTTATATGGAACATTTATTCTGTAGAATAGTTTTGACCCTAATTTTGTTTTCTTATATCACTCAGGTGAATGATAAGGAAGAGGCTTTGGCCCATCAAAGGAAGGTTAGTTACATGCTTGCTCGTGCTTTAGAAGAGAAAGATGATACTTTGCGGAAGAATACAGAAAGTAATTTTTCAGAAGAAGAACTTGCTCTTAAGAGCAATCAATGCAAAAAAGATGGAAAGCCCCAAGAGTTGATTGCTACTCGATGTTCGTCATACCAAACATGTATTTCTCAAGATGGCTCCTGCTGCATTTCCAACACATGTCCTGACAGAATCCTGAATTGTACATCTATGAATTCATGTTCCCTGACATCTGAAGAAAATTGTGTGGCCAAAATGGAGGAAACAGCTGAGACAAACGGAAGATAGGGACTGTTCTGTGTAGAGTCTGGAGGAAAACATGGCAAAGACAACACACTTCTTGAGCACTTCATTTGATACTTTAAGAATTTAAGGTCCACGTACGCTTCAGCACACACTTACCTCTTATGTGAGTGGGCTTCTCTGTTGTCTTTCATGTTAGGGACAGGTTCATGAGCACAGAAATATGCATCAAAAAGCTGCCCTTTAATAGGAAAGTCTGTTGAGCATACAGTTGTTCTTGTTAACCTGCAAAGGTTTTTTGTTTTTTTTGCAATTTTGTTGTCATACAGCCAGACAACTTTTTAATTAAAAACAATTTTAGGCAATTTTTATCATTTAGATTAGCATTAGGATAATTTTCTGCAGAAAATACCTTAATGCTGTCTCATATACACTTACTATAGATAGATTATATCCAGTAGTTCACTTTTTTTATGAACAGAAGGCTTCTTCCAATCATGGAAGTGTTTTTTAATCTAGTGGAGGGCTCTGCTAACAAAAGAGGTGTGCTTTACATCCACCAACCCACCTTCCACACTCTTGGCTGCTTCTGTTAACTAAGAGTGAGGAAAAAATTCATTTCTACCCTGTCTCTATTTTGGGTCACTCTGTTGTTGTTGTTGAAAGGCCTCTGCAAAAAAGCAGCCTTTTTAGATGTTTGAAGCTGTGCGTATTCTCCTTCTCATTCTTTCTACTCTGCCTAGAATCAGTCTGGAATCTCTAGCTTTCTCTGGCCTTTTCGCCTCCCCTTCATTATCTTCTTGTGCCTGTGTTTTCCTCCTCCTTGCTGGCAGGACCTGGGGAGATGGAGTCTCCCCAAGGAGTCTTTTTGCTAGATTGAGGGACAGTTTGTATTTTGTGTTCATTCTCTTCCATGGCCTAATTTCTTTTATCCTGTTTTTTTCCCTAACTTCCCTCTTAGTACAGCTGCCTTTTATTATTGAAATCACTTTATCTGCTAAAAAGGGGTCAAGGTAGACTACAACAACCATAACTTTTTCCTCAGTGTTCTGCTACAGCAAGGATAAAGAACCTGTTGCCCTACAAATATTGGAATGCAACTTTCCTTGGTCAGAATTGCTAATTATCAGGGATGAAGGAGAGTTTGTAATTCAGCATCCGAAATGGTACAGGTCCCCACCTTTGCTCCACAAGTTTGTTAGCTACCCTTTAGTTTTACAAGAATAAGGGAACATCTCTTTTCATGAGCATCAAGAAAATAAGAACATACTGGTGGCTAGATTCAGTTACTTCAACCACCAATTTCTCCACCCCAGTCCAACAGCTTGCAAACCTATGAACAGATTGTGACCCTCAAGACTTGGGCAGAATACTACTAATAGATGCCTGCTTTATTTGGAGTAGACTTTTGTAGTGGGTGAGAAGCTGCCACAGGGAAGGGAAACTGATGAAAATCTGCTCTCTGCTTGAATTACCAGAGGTATCTGCCAGATCAGAAGTGAATGAAAGGGAGCAGTCAGATTCAACTATAAAAATATATTCCTTTGTTTATAATTTCTCATTTTGAAAGCACTATATCATGATCAAATAAAGCATTTTTCACTTGTGAGAATAAAAGCAAAGACTTTGTTAATTTATATTCAAGATAAAATTAATCTGTAGGTATGCTGCTTTAAATTAATCTGTAGGCAAGTATAAAAATGCTGAATGTTTAACTCCCATTGCTGGATTTCCATATCTGGGAAGCTGGAGCATGTTTCTTGTTGGATTGGAAGTGTGTATGCACATTACTAAATTGCTACTGTCCCCTTAATATCTGCTTGCAACTGTTAAACCAACTGTTAATATCTGCTTGGTGTTAAACCAAGACAAGGCCTCAGAGGAGAAGCAGGTGGGGCAGACAGGAGGTGCATGCTGAAATAGGTTCCTAGCTGTAGGGGGCTGATGTGTGTTGCCATTTGGAGGCAAGATGAAGGTGCACAGAAAGTACTCATGAATAGTTACCTGGTAAATGTGTGAACACAGGACACAAGGTAGGAAGGTAGCTTTGTGGTGTTCTTTAGCATTATCTGTGAACAGCCCAGTCACTCCAGAAAGATACCTTCACTGATGGAATTGGAAACCATTCATAGGTCATCCTATAGGACAACCAAAGCTGTTTCATTGCCAGAACCCAATGAGAACCCTGCCTGAAATTGACCCTGGTAATCATTCTTACCAAGAGTGGATTCTACTCACTGAGAGACACTGCCGAGGAAAGGAACATTTGCCATTTATCCAAAGTTAAGATCTTCTGAGTTCTGATAGGTTTTCTTCAGGAGTCATCTCTCTACTTCTTTAAGCCAAGAGGGGCAAGGGTTCCATATAGAAATGGTTGCATGAACCTCTCCAAGCACTTGTTAACAACCTGGAGCTGCACCACCTGAAACTCATGCAAGAATGTGTGACCCAGCTGTGTTTGGGTAGCTCATTTGATTCACCTGTTGTAACACTGGGATCTAATTCCTGATGGATGCAAGAAATTTTGTCCTGCAAGTGCTTAGTTAAATATGTTACAGTGGCCAGAGATAGGTCTACAGTAGCTCTTAGGGTGAGTATATATATAATAGGTCCTGAATAGGCTTTAAAAGCTCTGTTGCATAGCAAAGAGAAGATTGACGGCACTGAATTGTTTCTTTGCTGCCCCTAAATATGCCTGCCTGCAGCCATGTATCAGGATTTGCTTGAATCCACTGGACATTTTTTCTCCGCTACCCTTAAGCAGTCAACGGTTTGTTGCATGGTTTTAGTTTCAAGGTGTAGGCCACAGAGCCATATAAGCTCTTACTACAGACAGAGCATTCAGAAGCAATCATGTCAACTACCTGGATCGTCTCTCTGATCTAAAGATTGACTAGGAATTCAGCATTAACTGTTGGCCATGTCAGATGGAGATACATGCATCACTTTGGAAACCACCTGGATCCATTACAGGAGTGGATCATACTAGTAATTCCTTCACCCTTGCAAGGGGAAAAGCCACTGCCAGATGAAATCTCAGTAACAGGTGAATGATCATGACAAAGGAATAGGTTGAACCACCACCACCCACACATTCATGCTGTTCAGATCATTATCCCCATGCCATGCCAAAAAACCCAAATATGTAGTGTGCCCATCTACATTGGTTAGGATAATCCCATGAAGTCTATGAAATACTGTGCTGCCCTAGATAAGGTGTCCTTGGCATGCAGTTTAACATTTCCCTAGCCAGGAGACCTCAGCTTCACAACTAAGACAGCCTGTCATTTCAGGCAGGAAGATTGTTGTCTACAAACTGTTGGTAGGTGGTCAAAAGGATCCCAGTCACAGAATGCAAACACTCTAGATCAGTAGTCCTACAGACAAGAAAAAGTTCTTGCAGACTGCAACAGCTCCCACTTTTTCCCCCTGATGCTGAACCAACTGTAACTGGGAGACACCAATTCTTCCCTGTTTGTTCACCCAGGTCTTGGTAATGCATGCCAGATTGGTTGCCACATTCACTGTTAAACTATGGGTGAAAGAGATTTGAGAGTCAATGTGGTACAGTGGTTAAGAGTACTGGGCTGGAACTCAGGATATCCAGGTTCTACTTCTGAGGGAATTTGGGTCAGTCACAGACTCTCAGCCCAACCTACCTACCTCACAGGGCTGCTGTGAAGATTACAGAAGGATTATGTAAGCTTCCTTGAGTTCCTTGGAAGGAAAAAAGGGGGAATATAAAATAAATCTTATTCTGGACTGATTGACATTTAAAAGTTTCTGGAGACCCAAGGGTAGGCTAATGGGGTAACCCCCAAACCTGGCTATCCCTCTTTCCAGTACTATATTTTCCTCTAATTGGGATGCCCACAAGTCTCCCCATTTAGTCCCATTATCTCTTTCGCATGTCTTGGGGCAAGAAAAGCATCCCCACAGGGCTCTGAGCAACCCAATTGGTGATATTGGGGGGGGGGTCACTTGTCCTCATGTCTTCAAAAAAAAAAATGACTCGCTCTTGGACCAATCAAGCTTAATTTTCATATTTTGATATTTTCAATATAAATGCTGCTGTGCATTCTTTTTCATGCCATATGCACATACAGATTCCTTAACTATGAAACTATTTTTGAGCCCTTGGAGCCTGGGAAAACTGGTGTCTTGCTGGCATTTTAATCTGGATACATAGCATACTTTAACTGATTTAACATGGACAGATGTAGAGTTTACAACCAAGGGTCAATTCTAATTGTGTGACTGACAAAAAAAACTATGGTCATTTATTTCTATATTGCCCCATAGCTGATGCTCTCTGGATGATTTACAACAATCCAGAAAACAAAACAATACAATACAAATACCATAAGGCTTTTCAGCAACAGCCAAGTGCTGTAAACTAAGCAAATGTGCTAGGTTCCAACCTCCCCCTCCCCCGCCCAACACACACACACACACACACACACACACACACACAACCAAATGTAAAAAAAAAAAAAAAATCCTGAACAAAACGCTTAGGGATCTTGATTGTGTCACAACACTCTTACAGAAGATACTGCAGAAAAAGCAGATGGTAGCATAAATTTTCTGTAGCACAATGAAAAATGAATAGCAATGCTTTCTTATTCAGAGCCCATCTGCTAAACACTGTGCTCTAACAAGAGAAACAAAAGCCAGATTCTCACACAACAGTAGCGGCCTGTTCCTCGACTATACCACTTTAGGCTATGGTTGTTTATACTAGCCCTTCTCCCTACATTTTCTGCCTTTAGATGCATTTTTATACTGAGCAGCATACATGCTTGCAGTCTAAAGTGGTCTTCTTAATCTGTGCATGAATTAGGATTCATTGCCAAAAAGTCACCTTACATAAGATTATCACCATGATGATAAAAGTATTAAATTATTTGTTGTATTTAATGCAAATGTTTCCAGCACCATTTTTCTGCTTTGCTTTTTCATTATTATTATTAGAAGTATAAATCAGAACTGATATAATCAAATATGGTAGAAAGGGATATAGATTCTATGAAGCTGTAATGTTCTAAGATCAAGAGCATTGCTTTCCTAAAATATTGATGATTAGAATAATGATCATTTGTTGAAAGTTTGGGCCTTAGAATACACAAGTGTTTATGTACAGCAGTCCATTGAGGACTATAAACAGCACGGAGTTTTAGCATATGCATAACTTTAGAAGTATGCCTTATGATAAATTTGGCATCTGTTTGATAGGAGATATATAAAAGCTGCCCAGACAGAATGGAGCTAGATACACAGAAATAAAATCTGATTCTCTGTGGGGCTGTTCACACATAGCATTAAATCATGCAGTTGCAGTAACCACAGGACATGGTATCCTACCTTCCTTCTGTTCTGTGTTCACACATTCGTGTGGTAACTATGCATGGGTAGTTTCCGCATACCTCCATCTTCCCTCAAATGGCACATATCCCATCAACCCTGTGCAGCTGGGAATAAATCCAAGCATGCAGTGCTTCTACCTTTCCCACCTGCCTCTCCACTGACCCACATACTTCCCTGGGAGTTGCCTCATCTTGGTCCATCTGCTTTTTTCCCTGGCAAGTTCTCCGGTAAGCCTACTGTATCAGATATATGTAGTCTTAACTGCTGTTTAAAATTAAAGGTAAAGGTTTCCCCTTGACATTAAGTCCAGTCATGCCTGACTTTAGGGCAGGGGTCTCAAACTCGCGGCCTGTGGGCCAATTGCTGGGATGGGTGGGGCATGGGGGAGGGGCCCTGCAGCCTTCAAAGCGCCAGTGGCACCCAGGCCGGCCGTGGGATGAGCGGCCCCCCACCACCGCGGTGGTGGAATACTTGATGTGGCCCAGCCTCACCCAGACTCTACTTCCAGCGGCCCCCAGGGAAGTCGAGTTTGAGACCCCTGCTTTAGGGGGCGGTGCTCATCTCCGTTTCCTGGCCGAGGGAGCCAGCGTTTGTCTGCAGACAGTCTCCGTGGTCATGTAGCCAGCATGACTAAACACCGAAGTGCACAGACGCTGTTACCTGCCCACCGAAGTGGTACCTTTTTATCTACTTACATTTGCATGCTTTCAAACTGCAAGGTTGGCAGGAGCTGGGATGGAGCAACGGGAACTCACCCTGTTGTGCAGATTAGAACTGGTGACTTTTTGATCAACCAGCCCAGCAGCACAGTGGTTTAAACTCCTACGCCACCTGCAGTCCTGTTTGAAATTATAAAAGTACAAAACCAGCAAAAGTTCTTTGTTCTTTTGTTTTGGACAACAAAGCTTTTCCTAAAAACATTTGAACAAAGCTGTTAGTAAGCCTAAAAAAATGTAATTGTCAATTTGTTGATTAAATTCCAAACTCTGCTTACATATTGAATAGTAATGGCTCTTCAATGCCACATTTTTTGGGAGAAGAAGGTTGTTATTCAGGAATTGGTAATTGGCACTTGCTCGTAAGTACTTTTCCTTATTACTATTTAACGTGTACAAGGCTGATCCCTGGCATTTGAAACAAATGCTATGGCTGAGCACTTTCTCAAATAAACTTCTAATCCAGGCAGATGATTGTCATAAATTAAGAAGAGGTGTTTGAATGTATGCCAAATTATAAAATGTTAACAAATGTTTGCTGGCAATAAAAATTGAGCACTGACCTTGAAGTATGATACTTCATTAACAAAAACTAAAATTAAGTTTGACTGTGCACAAGAATGTAGGCTACAAACAGATGGTTTTCTCATCATCTGATGATTTTTACCAAAGGTCATTAAAAGCAAGCAAATATGTTCACATGCTATTACATAATTTTGTCTTAATTACTTGAGTATATTTTCATGCCTGAAGGTTTAAGTTCTGATGCTATGTGGGATCAGTGCATAATCAGCCTTTCAATACCAGAAATTTAAAAACAAAGCAATACAATTACAAACAACTAATACTCTTGATTAATGAATTACCATATCCTCCAAACCTCTCTCACAAGAGCTGGCCTAAAGATGACATATTTTGATAAGTTAAAGTTAGCTGAGGCCCGTGCCTAATATGATGCTTCTGATTAGCTAGAAAAAAGTCCCATTTAATGCAACAGTGAAGTATCTTTCCAAGTAAAGTCCCTGAACACATGTGGAAATCTTATGTTTGAATGTTTTTTGCTTTCTTGGTGTGATATTTGTTGCTGTTTTCTATTTTGGGGTCTTGTTCCATGGCCTTGGGAAACTGAGTATTTATGGAGTACAAACCAGAGGGATCAATATGGAAGGGACAATAGTTTGTGCTTTTCTTATATGGATATATATTTGGGATTTTGAGCTGCAGTGTATTTTAGTGCAGCTTTGTAGAAATAGAATGAGATGTCTATCCTGCTGTTATGGGGTATATATTAAGAAACTCACCAGACCTGTTTGACCTTACCTAAGCTACACTCATGTGCTTTACTACCCTTTGCATGCTTACACAAATAGATTCCAGTGAAGAATTCGCTCTGTTTTTTTAGAAAATTCCTATGCATGTAAATGTAGAGGGGAATTTGGAGGATCAAATACAGTGTGCAGGGGGATGGAAGGATGAGGCTTAATTTTCTCTTCTGGTACATGCACACCCCTATATGACTATTTGTCCTCTCTCTCCCACCATAACAGAAGGAGCATGTTGTTTCTCTCTCCTCCCAAAACTAATCAGCTAACAATGAAGCAAGAAATTCTGCATGAACATACTAACATCTCTCCTTCATGCAAGTCACATATGGATTGTTTGTATGTACATAAATTTTACTTTTGTTAAAAAAACAAAACACCACATGCTACCTAATATGTGTAACTTGACTCTAAGGGTGCTTCTAAATGAACTTATCATACCATTTCCCTGCCCCATCATGGAATTTTACAATGGAATGGTGGTCTCTAAGCAACATTTTCCACTTGTAATCCTTACTCTTTCCATTACCCTTATTTTTGTTCTTACCATAGAAAAGCCCTTCAGAAGAAAAGGACTGAGAAGTTGCACAATGGCTTCGAGCAAAATGCGTTAGGAATTCAATGTCTAGAAACACCCAAGAGCTTGTAAATTGTGTATGATGTTCTTCTGGCTCATCAGCCAATAATCAAGGCTTATTTTCAGTGGAGAAGTAAGACATAAATTAATCTCAGATCGAGGTCAAACCACACTGCAATGCCTTTTCGAAGACAGCTGTGTTTCTTCACTGGTTAGTCTATTTTACGCATTTCTAATGGCTCTTTCTTTTCACAGTAATAGCTTTTCGCATTCCGAACGTTCAGAAAACTGTCAAAACAGCAAGAATAACAGAAACAAGTCCATAATAAATGAAACTTTTCTTTCTCTCCACTCCTCCGTCATCTCATATTTTTTTTCCAATTAAAGTTTGTTATTCCACTGCTAACTGAAGCCGAAAAAAGAAACGGTCCCAGATTTCTTTTCCTGCAACGCAGTAAGAAGAAAAGCAAATATCTTACCTATTTGTATATACAGTAACAAATGCCCTTCGAAAATAAACATTTAAGCATCAAACTACCCAAAACTTTAACCAAGCTCCAGACTAGAGAAGAAAAGAACAAGAACTTAGCATAGCAATTGCGCAGGCGCACATGAACCCATTCCGCAGATTGGTAGCGGACGTGTTCCCTGAATATGAGGGAAGGCGGAGAGAAAACGAAGGACGGACTCCTTACGCGCATGCGCGCGAAGACCTGACGAAAGAGACCCTCGGCGAAAGACAAAAAGTCTGGGAACAAAGTGCTACCGGCCTGCCGCACTTCGGAGCGGGGGCTGTATTATTTGGATCCGGCACTCATGAGGTGAGGCTAGTCTGGACCAGGATGGGGTTGTTTTGAATCGCTCCTGCTTCCTGGTGTGGGCTAGGGAGGGGGCGTGGCCGCCTGAGTCGTGGGCCTTAACCGAGGGTCCAGTAGCCCGTCTCTTTTTCTGGTCCCTCAGCTACACCGCTTTAACAACGGGCGGGCACGGGGAGAAGCTGTGTCATCGCTTTGCGTGTCGCTTTCCCCTCTGGTATTCCTCTGATATTCTGCTGAAGAAAGCCGCAGCTTGGTAAGCGAGCAAGACGCACACAGAGAGTCTATCTGGGCTTTTTCGGGCTCCAGCTGGCTGTAGCCGAGTCCCAGTTGTTGCCGTCCTCCGCCCATGTTTCTGTCCTGGACGTAGACATGGGGGGGGGGGGCGAGGATGCAAGAGCGACCCTGTGAGAGAAGAAAGGCTGGCAGAAAAGAAGTGCCTGCTTTGGGACACTGCGTCTTTTCTGGTGCATATCAAGGAGAGAGAAAGAGCCCGGGCTATCCTCTTCGATTCCCAGCCGAATCAGCTCCCCCCCCCCATTTAACCTCCTTCAGCCCTCCCTCCCTCTGCTTTTATTAATTCGTGTGTTCATAAGAGTTCTGGACTCCAGTTTGCTGCCTACAATAAACCAACTCCGTCTGGCGCCTGGAGGGATTGGGATTCTAAATACTTTCCATACGCATGCATACACGCCACTTTGCCTTCTTTCCTTGTCTGGAATGCTCCAGCACATTAAAAAAACTTAAGAACTTTTGCTTACTCCTGCTTTGTACAGCTTGGAGCCAAACTATTAATCTTCACAGAAAGCAGGGAGGACAGAAGGTCTGTAATTTGAGTGTGATGTCGTGCAAGCTTAAAATATAAGTGGCTACAGTATTCTTTATATGGCATGGCATTCCTGTTTTTTCTTCTACCAAACATATGTAGGAAAACAATTTCACGAGGAATAAAGTAGATGATAATTTGGAGGGTGTTTACTTCACCAAAATCCATGCTTTGTTGTCTGTTTCTCCTAGCATTGCCAAAAATGCTTTTTGTAAGGAAGTATTTTGATATGCTTGAGGCAAGTCACATGCTAGCAACATCCAAGGTACCCATTTTTTTATTGCAAAAACATAGTAGTTGTGTTATTGTCACATGATTGCCCTTCAAGTTAAATTCACACAAATACGAATTATGTATTTACATTTGTATATCCTGTTCTTCAGCTATAAAGGCTTTTTCAATGACTTTCATGAAACCAGTAAACATGACAGAACTGTTTATCATCCTGTTTGAACATTCACACAAAATACCTCTGGGGATAAATTCAGGTTATTAGCTTTCCATAAATGTTGTCCTTTCCATGCACTCAGGTAGATGTGGCTTTCATATCCTCCATAATCCATGAGAGGTTCATAATATCTCATGAACTGGCTGACACCTTGTTTGTTTGTTCCATTCTAACCTGCTATATCAGGGGTCCTCAAACTTTTTCACGGGGGGCCAGTTGAAAGCTGCCGATGCTGTGCGTGGGCCAGAAAGGGGGCGCCTGGTAGTGCATGCAGGCCGGTGTGGGGGCGGGGGGGCAGCAAGGGATGCCAGGTGCAGGCGCATGCATGCGGCAAAGGGAGGCGAGGTGGGGTGGGCATGCACCACAAGGCTGGCGCACAAGGCAGTGGCTTGCTCGCTTGGAGATTGTTTCTCCGAGTGAGCGAACCACTGCCTCCTGCACACGGGGCGAGGTAGGTGGCGGTGGGTGTGCATGTGGACACGCACACAGCTGCTCCAAATGGGCATGGTGGGCTGGATCCAGCCCCCGGGCCGTAGTTTGATGACCCATGTGCTACATCTATTATATTAAATGTAGTGGGCTTTAAAATTCTGGGTAAGAGTTTCTAGGTTGATCAGAGCTTTTACCACCTAGATTGCTTGGAAGACAAAATATTTTCAGTTTGGCAGACACTCTGAATGTGCATGCGCATCTGGTCAGAAAAGGTGATAACTGATGATACTAAGTTTCTCAACCCTCTTATAAAAGAATTTTCTTCATATTTCATCAATAGTTTCCTTTTGCAAATAGAAGGATGTTACCAAATCTGGGGAAACTGTTTAGGCTATACTAAAGTCTTGTGAATGCTTCTTAAGCAAGGTGTAAAAATCAAGGCTGTTTAGAAAAGTGAAGTTACAGTTTAGAGCCTATTATCATAACTAGCTAATGATACCATCCCAGAAAATCTGATATCATGGTTCCTTGTCTTTATAGGTTATAGGAAAAAATTAGAGTTAGGCATCAATATGGGTTTGTATTGGGAAATTTTCCAGAAATATTTCTGCTACCCTAAATGGATGGAGATCTGATTTAGTATTCTTATATGTTTTCAGCTATTTTGATTTTGTTTACTAAATGCTTGTCATGTTAATAGAAGTGATGAATAAAAAACAAAAGCTTTTCTAACAGTGAAACATAGTTGAACTGAAATATTGAGGTGGGGGAGTACACCATGTGATTTAAATGTTATATCAAACAAACTTCACTTTGCTTCATTTGACATTCCTTTTGGGGGGATTCAAGTAAATGTTCTAAGATTTTACTGTAACAATATTATAATGCACACTTCCCTTACACTAAATTAATCTTGATGGGGGTTGAATTGAAAATCATTAACATTAATTTTACATGCCTGAAGAGTCACATGTATTAATATGTTTGTCTTACTGGTAGTACCTAAAAGAAAAAGTGATTTACAGCTTTGATTTTATATTTTACTAGTGCTGTTCCCATTTCCATTTTCAAATTTGATTTATATTGTGTTCATTATTTTAATGAATTTTATAGATCAATACATTTTTGGAAGCTAGGAAATTTTGCACAAAGTTTTCTACTCCATATTACTGTCATTGGACAGTTTTCCTCTACAAATAAATGCATACTATTGGAACCTTACACATATTTTACAACAAGAAGAGCAGCCTTATTACACTCCTGGATTTTATATCAATGTAGAGTTGTGAAGTAATCTTGCAGTAATAAGTCAGAACATTGTTCATAATTCCACAACTGTTGTTTTGTGCTTTTTCACTGTTGGGGTGGGCTAGACATTAGGTTAATATGCTTAAATATGGTCCAAAGGAAAGCTGGAGCTTGTTGTGCTGCTTTTCAGAAGCATTTAGGGTGCAGTCTGTTGGGGTGCCTACAGCACTCTGAATTCAGATTACAAGCCTTCTGCAGAGGATGAGAAGAGTGGGGAGGCAAAGGTCACCTCTGCATTCCTCCTACCCTGGCAAACAGATAGCTGATTTCAGCCATGTAAGTGCAGTGCTTCAAAGTGAGAGAGAAGGATGCTGAAGTACCACCAGGATATGTGTGTCTTCATGGTACCAGTCTGCTCCCCTCCTGCTTCAATGTGTCTGACACCCTTTCTCAGGTTTTTTCTGCAGTTGCAGAGAAGAAGCCAGTGTGCTTCTTTCTCCCTTGGCTGTGAGGGAGGAGAGACTGGGAGCCATGTGTACATCTTCAGCAAAAAGGCTGGGGTGATTTTCTGACGCTGTAACTGAAGATATGAAAAATCCTTTGACTGTCTAGACGTTGTTTAATGACCATAGATTACACTGCCCAAGCACTTAAAAAGCAGTAGAGGGGTGTGGGAAAGGACTATCCCATTTCCGGCTTCAAGGTCAGGAGCAATGATGAAGGTGGTTGTAGTTGGCTGAGGTTGGTTGGATACTATGGTGAACAAAATTGTGAACTTTGCTTGCTGTAGACCAGTGATGTGGGTTTTCTGGAAAAAGTGGAAGAACTGGAAGATTTCCCAGTGTTCTAAATGATGTTATCTGATTTAGCATTTGACTCATTTTTACTCTCCAGTGTACATTCTCCCTCAATAAGCACTCAAAATATCTCATTTAGCAAAAAGAACTAAAAGTGAAAACCAATTTTAGTTGCAGTATAAATATATAAAAAATTTTCTTAATAGCTCCAGATATTTGGACTGAAATATTTGCATAGTGGGAAATTAAAATAACCACACAATATACTTTAAATGTTATTTTCAAACACATTCAGAGCTTGATGTGAAAATTATTTTTTGGAATATTTGTAAATATGTAGAGACATTGGCATATACTTGCTTATGATGTTTGTTTATATTGAACCCATCATTTTTAGAATATATCTCCAAAGAGAGCTAATGCATCTTATATGAACACTTTTTCTTTTTCTGAGGTTACTGTACTGCCCTCAGCTTGACTCTCTCTATGTACTGCTTATTAGTTCAGTGTCACATTGCAAAAAATCTGATTTGGAACAATTAGTTGAACAGCCCATTTCACTAAAAGATGTGGGTCTCTGGGCACAGACTGGGGGACTGCTGCACTCACACCCTGTTTGTGAGATTCCATGAGTATCTTGTCAGTCACTGTGTGAACAGAATGCTCTACTGAATGGACATTAGGTCTGATCCATCATGATGGCTCTTACGTTCTTAAGTGAAACAAACAGAAATTATTGTCTTAATTTCAGTTTCCCTTAAAGTTGTTGTTGAAGGATGTTAGCAAATGCACCAAACTCAGCTAGGAGTTGCACTGTGTCTTGTTCCAGTAAATCGGTGTGGTGCAGTGGTTAAGAGTGCAGGACTGGGACTCAGGCGATTTGAGTTCTAGTCTCCACTCAGCCATGGAACTCACTGGATGACTTTGGGCCAGTTACAGACTCAGCCCAGCCTACCTTTCTGGGGTGGTTCTGAGGATAAGATTGGAAGGATGATTATGTAAGGTGCCTTATTTATTCTGTTTGTATGCCACAAACTACCAATGTCTCCATGCAGCTTACTTATGAACTCTGGAACAAAAAAAGGTGGGACACAAAAGAAAGACAGACAGACTTTATTTTTCAGTTTCTATAATAGGCACTAGAGTTTGTCAATGCTTGCTTTAGAAGAATAACTTAGAGAAGTTCATAACCTATATGAAACCCATCTTACATGAATAATTGCAGTACAGCCTAGCCATCTATGGATAAATGCAGATATATATGGTAGGAAAATTTTCCATGGAGAAATGTACTGGAAAATTTTCTGTTTCACACCAAAGTGTAAAATGACATTTAAATGTCTTGTTTATAGAAGTTGTGAATTATTGAAATAGAGTTAACCTTTAACAGTGTTAGGTTTTAATAAATGAAATGTGAATATTTCTTTGAATAGTTCTTGTTGGCTTTTATACTTGGTTATTAGGCTCAAGGTACAGTTGAAAAAAGTAAACGTCTGATATGAAAGCAAGTGGGACCTACAGAAAAATATTGCAGTGTGAGTACTTCTGTTCAGGGTTCAATTTACCTCATGCTCTCCCTTTTACCTTTTCTTGGTTTTCCATTTTTCCCCTTCAAAAGTCAGCCTGCATTCCATGTCCACTGAGTATGCTCAGTCTTTATTGGGGTAAGTTTTTTATGTGGAGGCAGGAGGTTCTGATGTTCAAGTTTCTATAGATGTTTTTGTACTCCTACAAACCATGAGTATCTTCTAAGATGGCTGTTACCTCCCTCTTGTGCATTCCTGTTGCTATTTTGGCTATATAAGGAAGGACAGATAATTTTGTTATTCTATATGATTTGGTGCTTATATTGCTGTAGTATTCAAGGATCTAAGCAAAATGTATTTGATAAATTATAAAAATATGCAATGTAATTTTCTGAAAATGTAAATAATGTATAAGTAATATGTTCTTAAAACTTCCCTTTTTAACACAGGTGTGGGCAGACTAGTTTTGTAGTTAGTAGAACCCTATGGAATTTAGTTATTTTCTGCTAGATTTTCAAGATCTGCAACAGGAATCTATTGGAAAATAGTGCCTTTGGGTGGTAGTGGACTTCCACTTATAATTAAGAAACAGAGTTAACTGAACACTGTTAGAATGTATTTTTAGTTTCAGTGCTTAGCTGTAGTTCTTTTTCCTTAACTTTCTTCCTTATAGCAGCTTGATTCGGAAAAGCAAACAATGCCCTTTATCTGTTGCCAGAAATAATTCTGATCTGTAGCAGGTCATTCAAGCTTTACCAATAGAGCCCAAGCTATCTTCTTTCTTTTTTTTAATTCATTTTTTGTTTGCACAGACAGAAAAGGAGAAAACTCATAGCAGATCAGAATGGACACTTACTTTAGAGCAGCAGTCTCTGATTTGGACAAACTCCTTGATGAATTTGAACAAAGCACAGGTTAGTTCATTATCCTTCCTCTCCCCCCCCCTTTCTTTGTGTGTGTGACTGTGACTGTGTGTAGCATACTTAACAGTAGCATGCTTAACAGTAGATAATCTATTATTAATGTGTACTACAATTGCAGTCTGAAATAGTGAGGAGGCAGGGAGAAACAAGTAAAAGAAGGTAGAAAAAATGGTATTTTATTAGTTACATCTTTCTGGGTTTCGATGACCTTGGAGAACTACAGTGGTATCTTGGCTCACAAACTTGATCTGTTCCATGACTCTGGTCATTACCCAAATTGGTTGTGAGCCAAGTCAGATTTCCCCATAAGGTTCAATGTAAATAAGGTTAATCCATTCTTTAACTATTTTTTTTAATCACAATAATTCGAAGCAAAGTGACAAAGAACAACAAAGATCGTGGCCATCTCCTCCCCAGTACGAGCGTGGCCATCTCCCCCCTCCCCCTGCAAGACCACAATCATGCCCATGTTCCCTGCATGAGCGCGACCGCGGCCATAGACAGGCATGATCGCAGACACACTCGAGGGTGGGGGGAGACGGGCGCAATCGCGAACGTCACCCAGTGCAGAGTTTGCGACCTGAGTAAAAATTTTTCTTAAATTTCTGTTCGCGACCCAATTTGGTTGTGAACTGAGGAGTTTGTGAGCCGAGGTACCACTGTATGTGTGTGATAGGTGAAATTCTAACCGATTTTACTTTGATCTTTTATTTAGATGAACTTGAAAACAACAGAAATTTAAATCCACATGATTCTAAACACCACTTACTTTCTTCAGAATTAGATTTCCAGCAGCCAAAATTCTTGGGCCAAAATGTGCAAGAAAATATTAGCTGTCCTACAGCAGATGAACTTTCATTGTTCACTCAGACTTCAAATGTAGCAAATTTTGAACTCGACTCTGAACAGAATGAGAAAAATGTCACTGGGTTAGATCTTCTGTCCATGGTGGATAGTGGTGCTTCAGATAAAAATCAGCCTTCTTGCCTGGGTCGATGCAGTATACCTGTCTGTGATCTCATCAGTGACACAGGTAATTTGAGCCACACAAAAACTAATTCAGAATGCATTCAAAAGTTGCAGCCAGCTGACTCCCAGTGTAGTCTTTCTCTTATTGGCTTGGAGATAGCATTGCTACCAGAAACTGGTAGTAATTGCTCAGGTGATCATAACACTGATTCTGGTACACAGCAACAGATTGATGGAAAGGAGATACTATTCAATACAGAATATAGCACAGCTGAAAAACAGACTCAACTGACACCAAAGACAGGCAGCCATTCAGAAACAAATGTAGTAAACTTTGGTGGGGATCATGAAAAGTCAGAAACATTGAGCAAGAATGAATCATTTGACCAGACAGAACAAGTTACAGGCTTTGACAGTTTACCAGTTTTAGCAACTCAACTAACATCACTTGACCATAGTTCCAAAAATGAGTCAACATGTGAAAAGCTTCCCTGTCAACCATTAGTGGATCAGAACAAGGCAAAAGGTCAAATGATACATGAAGAAAGTGGCAATCAGATCATTTCAAAAGAAGATAAAACTGAAGCTTCTAACCTACCAAAGATTCAAGATTTGAATAAAAATGTATTATTGCCTAAAGAAGAAAATCCTCAAAATGAGAATATGTTAGTATTAGATAAAACACTTAGTACAAAGGAAATACCCTGTAATCTAGAAAAGAATATAAATACAGCTTTAAACATAGTTGCAACACCAGAGGTCTCTGAAAATGTACAGACTTCGCTGTCATGTCTTCCACTTGCTGTTTCTATGTGTGGGTCATTGGTTACGACTGATGACAGTAATGAAAATAATGCTCAGGGTGAAGTAGTACATGCCGTTAGTTTACATTCAGAAAAACAGAAAAATAGCCTTTCTGAAGGGGATTTGTTGGAAAGAAAAGAACCTTTAGAACAGGATGAGAGTCTAAACAAAACCAGCCAATGCTGGCTAGGAAAACCTTCGTCTACAGATAAAGAGAAAGTAAATGTTGACAATACTATCTGTAATTGTGAACCATTCCCACACCAAGACTGTGCAGCTACCTCAAGTTCCTTTCTGGCCCCATATACTGAAACGTGCAGCAATGTTTTGTCTACTGATACTGGTGACAGAGCTTTAGTTGACCTAGCTGTGGATGATGATATTGTCAGAAGTGATATGCTAGTTAGTGATGCTGAACTTGATGCCTTCTTGTCTGCACATTGTATTGAAACAAATAATTCAAAGCCTCTGAAAGAAGACATGGATGATGGACTGTTGGAATCAGATGTTATTAATGACAACATAATAGGTGCTAACAAACTGGATACCGGAAGTGATAGCTTGCAAGCAGAAATGGAATTTAAAAATATAGAAACCTCTCTTAATCTCAGCTGTATAGAATCCAATCCTGAATCTAATATAGGGATTCTGGTGGAAAAATGCATGCAAATTCAGGAAGAGACTACAGATCACATAAATAAAACCAGAAGTGAAATTTCAGACACTGTAAAAAGCCAGCCTGTGGTGTATAATGAAGGTGCAAGGCCAAAACATCTGTTAAACTTTCCACCAAAAGCAAAAATAGGTTCTAAATTTAGTGATCCAAACATACCTGGAAGTGAATCTGAAGTGGTAAATTCCGCAAACCCAAATACTCATGTGTCAGATGATAAAACTTGTCTTAATTCAAGCTTCAGTTATAATAATGATAAACAGAGCTCCTTGGAAGGCAAAGGAGGCATACCTGTTAAAGTAGTGGAACAAGCTGTAATGCTGGGACAGAAGCCATCTTGGGTTCCTGATTCAGAAGCACGAAACTGCATGAATTGTCAAGCCAAATTCACATTTACAAAAAGAAGACATCACTGCCGTGCTTGTGGGAAAGTAAGTACTAGAAACTATTTTTTGTTATACCCACAGAGATTGACCATCACAGTAGTGCAGAAGAGAGATTTTTTTTTTCATTTAGAGTTAAACTTTTCCTTACTAATCCTACTCTTTCCCTTGGAAACATTAGTCAGGGTATAAACAAATGACATTAGGTGTTATCATCTTGAAATTTTACTCATTGCCTGTATTTGCATGTCATGCTAAGTTATCATAAGCTACTTAATTTTGGTTATTCATGGAACAATCTACAATGCCCCTGACAGATGTGGCTTGTTTTATACCCTAAGTTCTTTGTTGTTCTAAATGGCAGAATCTGTCTATTTTTCTCACCCACCCACATACTACAAGCACTACCCTTTCCATTTTCTGCAGATTTTTTATCCCTAGATCTTCAAAAAAGCACAATTGGAGCTTTGGGGTCCCCCCCCCCCGAAAATTGTACAACTGTGTTCATAGCTTTTTTTTAATTATTACTCTGCCAGTCTTTTACTATAGTCTCTTCTAGCTGACCAGTATGTATAATCTTGCCTGTTCAATTTCATTGTGTGGCAGCTGCCAAAGAGGGTGGCAGTCATAAGAAAGTGACATAAGTAGCATGCATGGGAAGTAAAATGGTGAGATTGCATATAGGCTAATCTATAAATAGCTGCCAGAGACCAATTGCCTAATAGCCAACTGAATAGGAAAGGGGGAAAGGGTAACAAAAGGGAGCAATACCTTCTCTTGGCAATATGATCCTTCAGTTAGTAAATGTTCAACTGATACTTCTCAGTGCCTTTCACATTTTCAACCCTTTCTAGTAGTCTCCATCTATTCTAGAAAGGAGAAGTATGAACTCTCCCTTGTTTTCACAGTTCCTTCTTGGAGCACTTACTGTTGTGGGTTTTGTGATTCTTTACTAGTTCAAAAGAACCTTTTGAACTTTTGAACCTACAATTCCTTGATGGATCACTGCCTTGTCGTGGCAAAGGGGCTTGCGTAGCTCAATGAAGCTATGACCTACGCCGTGCAGGGCCACCCAAGATGGACAGGTCATAGCAGAGAGCTCTGACAAAACGTGATCCACTGGAGAAGGAAATGGCAACCCACTCCAGTATCTTTGCCATGAAAACCCCATGGAGAGCACCAAAAGGCAAAAAGATATGACACCGGAAGATAAGCCCCTCAGGTTGGAAGGTGTCCAATATGCTACTGGGGAAGAGCGGAGGGCTAGTACTAGTAGTGTCAGAAAGAATGAAGCGACTGGGTCAAAGCCGAAAGGACACTCAGTTGCAGATGTATCTGGTGGTGAAAGGAGAGTCTGATGTTGTAAAGATCTATACTCCATAGGAACCTGGAATGTAAGATCCATGAATCAAGGCAAGCTGGATGTGGTCAAACAAGAGATGACAAGACTGAACATCGACATCTTAGGAATCAGTGAACTAAAATGGACGGGAATGGGTGAATTTAATTCAGATGACCATCAGGTATACTACTGTGGGCAAGAATCCCTCAGAAGAAATGGAGTAGCCTTCATAGTCAATAAAAGAGTAGGAAAAGCAGTACTGGGATACCATCTCCAAAATGACAGAATGATCTCAATTCGAATTCAAGGCAAACCATTCAACATCACATTAGTCCAAGTCTATGCCCCAACCACTTGTGCTGAAGAGGCTATAGTTGGCCAGTTCTATGAAGGCCTACAACACCTTCTAGAATTAACACCAAAAAATGATGTCCTCATCATCGTGGGGGATTGGAATGCTAAAGTAGGAAGCCAAAAGATAACTGGAATAACAGGCAAGTTTGGCCTTGGAGTACAAAATGAAGCAGGGCACAGGCTAGTAGAATTTTGTCAAGAGAATACAATGGTCATAGCAAACACAACCCAACAGACGACTCTACACATGGACATCACCAGACGGTCAACACAGAAATCAGATTGACTATGTGCTCTGCAGCCAAAGATGGACAAGCTCTATACAGTCAGTAAAAACTAGACCAGGAGCTGACTGTGGCTCAGATCATGAGCTTCTTGTTGCAAAATTTAGGCTTAAGTTGAAGAAAGTAGGGAAAAGCACTAGGCCACTCAGGTATGACCTAAACCATATCCCTGATGAATATACAGTAGAGGTGACAGATTTAAGGAATTAGATCTGATAGACAGAGTGCCTGAAGAACTATGGACGGAGGTTCGCAACATTGTACAAGAGGCAGCAACTAAAACCATCCCAAAGAAAAAGAAATGCAAGAAAGCAAAATGGCTGTCTGAGGAAGCTTTACAAATAGCTGAGGAAAGAAGGGAAGCAAAAGGCAAGGGAGAAAAGGAAAGATAAACCCAATTGAATGCAGAATTCCAGAGAATAGCTAGAAGAGATAAGAATGCCTTCTTAAATGAACAGTGCAAAGAAATAGAAGAAAACAATAGACTAGGGAGATCTCTTCAAGAAAATTGGAGATATGAAGGGAACGTTTCATGCAAAGATGGGCATGATAAAGGACCAAAATGGCAGGGACCTAACAGAGGCAGAAGAGATTAAGAAGAGGTGGCAAGATTACACAGAATAACTATACAAGAAAGAGCTTAACATCCCTGATAACCACGGTGGGGTGATCACTGACCTCGAGCCAGACATCCTGGAATGTGAAGTCGAATGGGCCTTAGGAAGTCTGAGCAACAACGAAGCTAGTGGAGGTGACAGTATTCCAGCTGAGCTATTCAAAATCTTAAAAGACGATGCAGTAGAAGTGCTACACTCAATATGCCAGCAAATTTGGAAAACTCAACAGTGGCCACAGGATTGGAAAAGGTCAGTTTACATTCCGATCCCAAAGAAGGGCAATGGCAAAGAATGTTCAAACTACCGCATCATTGCACTCATTTCACATCCTAGCAAAGTGATGCTCAAAATCCTACAAGCTAGGCTCCAGCAGTATGTGGACCGAGAACTACCAGAAGTACAGGCAGGATTTCGAGAGGGAGAGGAACTAGAGATCAAATTGCCAACATATGCTGGGTCATGGAGAAAGCTAGGGAGTTCCAGAAAAACATCTGCTTCATTGCCTATGCTAAAGCCTTTGATTGTGTGGATCACAACAAATTGTGCCAAGTTCTGAAAGAGATGGGAGTACCTGACCATCTTATTTGTCTCTTGAGAAACCTATATGTGGGTCAAGAAGCAACAGTTAGAACTGGACACGGAACCACTGATTGGTTCAAAATTGAGAAAGGAGTTTGGCAAGGCTGTATACTGTCGCCCTGCCTATTTAACTTGCCTGGCAACAGTGACACACGCGTTGGTGACTTCCCCACTTCTGTAACGCACTCTACGTGGGGCTGCCCTGGAAGACGGTCCGGATACTTCAATTGGTTCAAAATAGAGCTGCCAGGCTGCTGACGGGGACTGGGCGGTATGTTCACTTGACTCCAGTTCTCCGTCAGCTTCACTGGCTTCCCATTGAAGTCCAGGCCCAATTCAGGGTGTTGGTGATGACCTATAAAGCCCTTAACGGCTTGGGTCCTGGTTACCTGAAGGAGCACTTACGTCCATATATGTCTGCCTGCCCCTTGAGATCAGCGGGAGAGGCCCTTCTCCGGGAACCCTCTGTGAAGGAAATTAGGAGGGTAAGTACTCGGAGGAGGGCTTTCTCTGTGGTGGCGCCCAATCTATGGAATGTGCTCCCCAGAGAGGTCCGCCTGGCACCGTCGTTTTTTGTTTTTTGGCATCAGGCGAAGACCTTTTTATTCAAACGTTATTTTAATTGTTAATATTTATTTATTTATTTTATACTTTGGCCAGGGCAACTTAATTTATATTGTTTTATAGGATGTTATTTATTTATGTTTGTGAGCCTCCCCGAGGCTTCGACGAATGGGGCGGCATAGAAGTTCCCTAAATAAATAAATAACTAACTAAATAAATAAAAATAAATAACTTATATGCAGAGCACATCATGAGAAAGGTGGGGCTAGATCAATCACCACTTGGAATTAAGATTGCTGGGAGAAATATCAACAACCTCAGATATGCAGATGATACCACTCTCATGGCAGAAAGTGAAGAGGAACTAAAGAGCCTCTTGATGCGGGTGAAGGAGGAGAGCGTAAAAGTTGGCTTGAAACTCAACATTAAGAAAACTAAGATTATGGCATCCGGTCCTCTCACTTCCTGTCAAATAGATGGGGAAGAAATGGAGATAGTGACAGATTTTATTTTCCTGGGCTCCAAGGTCACCGCAGACGGGGACTGCAGCGAAGAAATTAAAAGATGCTTGCTCCTGAGGAGGAAAGCTATGGGAAATCTAGACAGCATAATAAAAAGCAGAGACATCACTCTGCCAACAAAAGTGCATATAGTCAAGGCTATGGTTTTTCCTGTTGCAATGTATGGCTGTGAATGTTGGACCATAAGGCTGAGCACCGAAGAATTGAGGCCTTTGAATTGTGGTGCTGGAGGAGACTCCTGCGAGTCCCCTGGACAGCAAGGCGATCAAACCGGTCAGTCCTAGAGGAGATCAACCCTGACTGCTCTTTAGAAGGCCAGATCCTGAGGATGAAACTGAAATACTTTGGCCACCTAATGAGAAGGAAGGACTCCCTGGAGAAGAGTCTAATGCTGGGAACAATAGATGGCAAAAGAAGAAGGGGACGGCAGAGAATGAGGTGGCTAGATGGAGTCACTGAAGCAGTTAGTGTGAGCTTGAGTGGACTCTGGGGGATGATGGAGGACAGGAAGGCCTGGAATGTTGTCCATGGGGTCGCAATGGGTCAGACACGACTTCGCGACTAACAACAACAACTAGTTCACAATAAACAGAAACAACCCAAAAATAGTGCCTCTGTCAAGGATCCACAGTAACTCAAGTAGACAGTGAAAAGGAAGTAGAAAAAGGTAGGTGAACTGATAGCTCCCCTTCTGGAGTAGCTTGGCACCTGTAAAAGTGTTCCAAAGCTGCAGGGCACTGAAATTTTTAACACTTCAGATTAAGAGGATGACATTGTGAAGTGGGTGATACTGCTTCTCCTCTGTGTGTTTCACTGCTTTTGCTGTTTTGTTTTTTGTTTTGTTTTGTTTTTTTGGCCTTCACTGGTGCTTTTCATTTGACAGGTGATTTGTTTCTGTCAACTATGCACAAATTAGCCTGTGGACAAATGGAGTCTCCCTTTTCAATTTTTTACCTACTTCACTTTGTTCCTTGTTTTAACAGTTGAAATGTGCAAGGATATACACCAGACCAGATTACATATAATGGGATAGCCATAAGAATGAACTGAAATACCAACCTGCCTCTCCTCCTTCAAATTATGAACACAGTTGCACAATTTTTCAAATGGTGACAAACCGGTAATTGTTGTTCCAAGGTGCCATTTGGGCATTGCTGAAGAGTCACTTACTGATGGTGGAAAGGGCAAGATCACATAGAGCAGCAGGATTTTAGTAAGGGTTGAATATAATCTACATGTTGTGAAAGGGGAATGTTTATTAAAATCCGGATGCAGATGTCCAGATATCTGCCACCTTCTTCATTTTTTAAAAAAAAATTAGGCCCATTGACCAATCTGTACTCTGAAGTGAAGTTTCTGATCTCTAAGTTCTATCTGTGCTGTTCTTTTTCTTTTCTGGCTTGTATGAAAAGCCACATCTTCAGAGAACCACACCTGGTATTAATCTCCTTTCTTAACTTGTTTCTAGAAAAGCTTGGCAAGCATGAGAAAGGCAGGGCTGGATGAAAATTGACCAGAGCACTCAAAATGAAATGTGCTGAGACTGAAGTCTGTTAACAGGTCTCTTCCTGAGACCTAAAAATACTATGTTAAAATTATGGGTATATGGAAGATGCTGTGGTAGTGTTAGACACTCTGTACTTGCTTCAGGCATTATTATAGATACAAGAATTGTGGAAGCCGATCCCGAGTTAGCCTTGGCTTGAAATAAACCCTTGAGTAGCTTTAAGAGACTTTTTTTCCCCACCCAGGATAATATTCCCTTGACTAATATTTGAGGAGTGATATGCTAGTGATGGGTGGGGCAAAATCAGTCCCACATGTATGTTCCAGCTCCATGTCTCAAGAATATAGTGGGAGTGAAAGAGAGGTTGGATAATGACAAAGGACAGTCTTAACTGGATCACTATCACCCTGTTATGACTGATCATCTAGTGATATATAGATTACAATGTTTGCACAGGTGGTTTGATTAGCTTTTGTTCTTGGTCAGGACAAAGCCAGCTGAGTTGCCTGATCAGGGACAGAGAGAGAGCTGTTTCTAATTAGGCAGTTTCTTTAAACTCTCCCTGGAAATGTAATGGGAGTAGGGCTGAAGATGAGGGACATGAAGAAACCAGAGACTGGACAAGAACTTGTTGCAAGTTGGCAGTTCCCTATCCCTAGAAAGATGGAATGACTGGGCAGCCTGAATTGATCCCTTCTTTTGCCCTGCTTCCACCTTGGCATTAATGCAGACTTTGTGAAGAACAAGTCCAGCCAGAGTAATGGTACTGTAATCCATTGGACTAGTCTTTGGACTAGTATAGCGGAATATAAGTTGAATAAATAAAATGAAGATGAAGGGAATTTTTTAATTATTTTTCAAATAAATGTATATGTAATATTCCCTCACTTTATCTTTACAATTACTTTCTGTGGTTAGATTGAGGAAAAAATGGCTGGCCCATGATCATCCTGTGAGCTTTAATGGCTAAGTAGAAATTTAAACAAAGATAACTTTGTCCATCACTGCACAGTAAACCACAATGCTTCAGAATGGTTCTGAGCTCAAACCAAGGCAGACAATTCTTGTTTCCTCCTCCTAAATTTCATTTTTAGTAACAGTGATTGTGAATTAGGTGTAACATGTTTTGTAGAAAAGCAAGCTGGACTGATTTTTCTAAAGTTCATGTTCATTCTCCACTAGGAGTCAGTATTATGTTGTAGAATTCATTTAACATATAATGTGTGTTACATAAATGTACTTTCTGGACTAAAACTACTTGTTAGTGGTATGATTTACATTTGGATAGATAAATTAAGATTTCATCTGTATCTGTCTTCTGTATGAATCTAGGTTTTTTGTGCTTCCTGTTGCAATCGAAAATGCAAACTCCAGTATTTGGATAAAGAAGAAAGAGTCTGTATAAGCTGCTATGAGTCCATTAACAAAGGTAAAAAATTAATTGGAGAGAATTAGAAGAAACAGAAAAGGTAACTTGAATAATTTTTGGATGTTGGAACAACTCTTCCCAGTATGAACAACATTTCCATTCTAAACCATGATCTGAAACATTAATTTGTAGTATATGTGAAAAGTCTATAGTTCTGATTAAAAACAGATAATTTTAAATGATTGTGAAGAGTGATTGTTATTTTGCTTACAGTGGCTGCTAGAACATATGAAATATTTGGCTTGATTAAACGATGTACATAAATCCATCTAGATTAATAGTCTGTGACAGTGGTCAATCAGGTATCGTAAGGTATTTTTCCAAAAAGTGCCAGAATTTGCACAACTTTTCATAAAGGGGAGTTGCCCCAGTTTGTAATTTATGGTAGCAAATCCTGGCTTATTTATTTAACCCAGGAACTGCAGGAATGAGATCTATGCTGTTTCTACTTTTAATTAACAACCCAGGACTACTTAACCCATAAACAACCCAGAGTTTCTGGATTCACTTGTCATGAAACAATTCATATTTTTGGGCTATAAATTAAAAGTGGGAGCGAAAAGCATGCAGTTTGTGCTCATCTCCACAATTTGTGTGTTAAACAACCCAGGAATTCCTACTGTGACATGCAAACAAGATTGTTAATGTAAATATTCTTCTTTTTCCCCTGTTCCTTGCTCCTGTAGGATACAAGCAAGATTATGCTACATCTGCTAATGCTAGTGCTTTTGACTGTTCTTTCCTTAATGGCTTTCAAAAGTAGAGCCCTCTGGGCACTGCCCTTATTCATATGATATGTACACTGCTTGGTCATGTTTTTTGGATTATATTGATATAGCCCATGCAGGTCAGGCTTTATGTATAAGACACTAACATCAGGAATGGTAAATACCTGCACGGTGCCTTTGTCTCTGAAAAGGATAAGCAGTAGTAAACTGTAAATGGATTTTTAGGACCTGTTTAAAGACCTGCAGTTACGAGGCCTGAGGTACCTCCACTGGAACCACAAAATTTCCCACAAAGGTGGGGCTGTTGGTAAAAGATCGTTTTCTTGGAGCCCTTTGCCTGTAAAGCACATCCTCTGCAATTCAGATACAGCCCTTCTTTGGTAATTATGGAGATGAAACTAAGGATTGTCATATTGTTAAATATACCTTTATTGGTTCATCAAGTTTTAGTCTGTTAAATAATTAGTCCTGATCCTTGTGCTGCAACTTGTCTTGGTACTGTCCTAGTGCTCACAGTGCATCAGCTTTAGCAAGCATCAGTCTGGTCATTGCTTGGAAGCACTGTCTATGGTGCCTTGAATTCTATGAGAGCAACAACAATAGAATATAAATGTACCTAATAAACATATATTGAATATGTATAGATTCAAAATTTTTAAAGTAAGAAGCATACTTTTGTAGTGTTTAGATGATGAATGTCTGTGTTGTGTTTAGGTGTCATAAAATAGACCATTGGATTTTTCATAAGGGTTCCTTTTCTACATGGATGGAGAGTATTTTAGTTAGGACTGCTCCTTCCACTTATTCCAGAAGTCAAGGCCAAATTTGCATAAAGTTTAAGTCACTGCACCTGTGTGGGAGAGCACCTCCCAGTTTCATAAATAAAATAGCTCAAAAGCCAAAAATACCACCATCAAAATTTCAAAACAAAAATAACAGATACAGCGGTCAGAGAAAGGGGTCTTTCTCATTTACCTAACCTCTAAATAATATGAATAGGAATGATCTATAAAATGAAATAATTTGCCTTTCAGCCTCAAACTTGCTCAGGTGGCTAGGATACCCTCCACCCACTATAGAAAAGGAATCTTCATTATAGATTTTCCTAAAGTGAAGAATGGTGTCCTAGACTGAGATGTTCCTGAGCAATACTTTCTTTGGGCTTTTTACTGCTATTCAGCTTAAGTAGAGACCACTTGCTGCACTATCTGAGGTATTCAGCCTATAATGGTGGACTTAGGAAGAAGTGAAAGACATGCTGCTTAAAAAATGTCGAGCAAGAGACCATTAGTGCTATGAATGCAGTTGAACTGCTTGCATTCCTGGTGGAGTGAGCTATAAGTCCTCTAGAGATAGCAGCGACCAAAGCCTCTTAGCACATTGAGATGCAGGTTTTGAGCAATCTTGAAAGTGATGCCACTGAAACCTTCTTCCTACAGTAGCTGGATGGAAAGAAGCAGAAGAAAAAAAAGTCATTTGAAGACTTTAGTATGAGCCACATATATCTTGATCAGTTTACATCTATCCAAGTTGTACCATTCATTTTATTTTGGTGTTTGATGGTTTGGGCAAAAAGTACTTAAGATTAGTTCTTGAGCTCAATGAGATTAGTTCTTGTCACTTTGACTAAAGAAGTAGACTGTGTGTGTAAGCAGAACTATGTTGTCCTTATGAACAACATAAACTTTTTTCTAGCCAAAAGTACACTGAACTCTGACACTATAAGTACTCAAGTGATTGCAACTACAAATAAAACTTTCCAGGAAAAATGCTCTAGAGGCACTGAATGTAGGAGTTGAAAAGGAGGTTTCACTGAGTCCTGCAAAACCTTATAAAGATTGAAAAAAGGGAACCTATGAACAGTGAAATGGTTCAGTAAGCAGGCACCTCTAAGACATCTTACATGGGAATGCTGAGATAGGAGAACCTTCTTTTTACTGTCACAAATGGTGCTAAGTGCTTCAACATGTCTTTTAAACATAGTAGGTTTCAATCCCTGGTCTAACTCAGCATTTAAGAGGCCAGTAAATGTATAATCTTGATGCTTATAGGTTAAACTATACCTGCTCCATGGCAGAAAACCCTTCAGGTGGTCTCATAAATTTGATGTAGAGGCTCTGTGAAATTCTAAGATGATGAAGACTACTTTTTCAGTATATTCCCCTTGGTTTAATTTGCCCTGCTTTCAACCTCCATGAATGTGAAAGTAACCAATGTGGGTGAAAGATTCTTCCCTGATTTCTGAGATCTCTTTTGAGGATATGGATGGACCATGAATCCTTCAGGTCAGAAAACTGCACACTTATAGACCATGTTGAAGCCATTAGGATAGCTTCTGGTTACTCCAGATAAAGCTTCCAAAAGAACCTTTGATAGGAGAAAGAGAGCTGGGAGGTGTACCACTGGATCTTGGGCCAGGCCACTAACAGAGAATCTATTTGGTCTGCTCCTTCTGTATGGTATTTGGATATGAACCTGCTCACCTTGCAGTTGGTCATGGAGGGGAACAGATCTACACTTGGACTACTGATTTGAAGAACTATGGTAGAGAACACCTAAGGATGGAGGCATCATTCCCTTGAACAATGGGATGAAACTCCTGTAGGTTGGAGTTCTGGCTAAGTTATGCTGGGGGACATCTGCCTTGAGCAATTCCTATGATACACTGAGTTCCATAGCCTCTGGACCTGGTATGGGGGGAGGGGGGCTTGCACTTTTATGGAGGTCCAGATTGGTTCCTTTTCCAGATTGTCATTGATGGCCATCAGCAGAAAACTTTTACCAACTGAGGAACTAGTATCCTTTTATGTAATAGCCACTTTATGGGACAGAAGTGATGTCTGGCCCAGGAATTATGTCTGTGCAGGCTATCATGGAGTTGAGAAGGCTCACCAGAATCAATCAGAATGGGTGGAAATTAGAACTGACCTGATAGCCTACTGGATCTTCATTATTCTCTCTGTGGAAGGGACACCATAACTATCAAGTGTTGATTATAGCTTCTAGGAACTGTAAACATTAAAATATTCAGATTACTTTTCCATGCGTTGATTATAAAACTATGCAGAAACTAATATTCCTTTGTCTTGTTGACCTCTTGTGTCATCTGCAAGTGGATTGAGAGATTGCCAAGGTAAGGATAGATGTGTGCCTTTTTCTTTAAGAAGTCTGTTACCAGAATTTTTCTAAAAAGTCTAAGAGTAAAAGAAAGCCAACAGAGAAAGATTCTGAATTGATAGTGTTTCCCTTGATAGGAGTAGCACAGGGACTGTCTGTGTGCAGGATACATTGAAAAACAAGCCTCTGATAAAACTAGAGAAGTTAAATAATCCACCTCTTCTGTGCTCTCCAAGATTGTTTGCAGAAAATCCCTGTGAAATTTTCACTTCTTCACAAACCAGTCCACACTTTTCTGATGTAAATTGGAAAGTGAAAAAATGGGCAGACCTTTGAAACCCGTTATATAGCTTTTTGTGGAACTGTACAAGACCTATGCATTTATGATGATCTGACACCACAGATGATAGAAGTGCATGATTACGGCTCTCTCTGCTACATCTTAGTATCAATCTACAAGGATGCAAATCCTCTATTTTCATCATTTTTACATTGGAGTCTGCGGTACAAAAATGAATGGTTAAAAGTACCCATAAATCATTTTATTATTTTTAGTAGTAGAAATCAGGGCCTTCTTTTTTCCTTTTGTTTTCACCAGTACAGATACACTGTATAACCCAAATGTTTGCCTCCTTAGAACATGCATCACTTTAGACCTAAAATATGAATCCCAATTTTTAACCATAATTATACTTTAATAACTATATTAGAGCCATGGCCCTGGCAGTATCAAGGCTGGTGTCTTTAACTGATTTGGCAGTGTATTATAGTCCTGTTAAAGTTTAGCATTGGCCTAGAGAACCTCAGTAAGTGGGGTTTACTCTGTTCTCCTGATAGAGGCTCTTATGAACAAAGAAGTGGCAACAGAGGCCTCTATGGCCAAGGTTTCTGAGAAAAATCTCAGTCTTTTTTGTCCTGAGGGACATTGAACAGTATCATCTTTAAGCAAATAGCACCCAGCACTAGAGTTGCTACAGGAGCATTCACAAGAGACATTTTCAATTTACCTATAATTGCATCTGAAAAAAACGGTTTTTCATGCTTCGCCTGCTCAAGCTAGGATAGCACTGCTCGCATAATAGCTCCACCACAGCACCCCCTGCACCCTTGTGTTAGTAGTGGACACAGAAGAGACACCTTCCTGGCTACCTTGTGAGCTCTGCCACCCTGGCTGCTTAGGATTAAGAAAAAATTGCTCTCTTGGTCTTCCATCCTCTGCAAGAGACCTGCCACCTTGAAAAAATTTGCATCAGCTTCCTGTGGCTGGTGCATAAAAAGACAGCCTAGAAATGGGCCTAGTCTCCCTGAAGGGGTAGCACTGAAGGGTGTTTCCTTTTTGGGGGAACAACTTCAGGGGTGCACAATGGTGAGGGTCATTCAGTCTGTTGGAGAACAGGAAGAAGGGGGTTGCTTGTATACCTGCCTTTGGGGGTACACATTGCATTGTTAGACGTATAACTATGCAGTTTTAAAGGGCACAGAGAAGAGAAAGGGGTACAGGGAATTGCCATTGAAGCAGTAAAGGGTACATGGACATATGATGGTGACATATGACTCAGCTGAGTCATGAATGTGGGGAATGCAGCAGGATATTTGTTGCTCCCAAGCTGTCCTCTATATGAAAGAGCCTGATTATCCCTCATGGCAGCCCCTCTGGATGGAAGATGTAGCTGCTGAATGCCAAATTGGTGAATGAGAAAGCAGCAGTAAAAAGGGCCTTCTTTTGCTTTGCTACTGTAGACACTTCCAGTGGTGGTAGACGCAAACAAAATCCTCTCCAGAAGATCTTAGGGACTGGTTAGTCTTATATGGAAAAGAGTATCTTATGGCTGCCGGAGCCTAAGTCATAAAGGATTGTATAGATCATAACCATTACATTGAATTGTGTGTGGGAAAAGGCTGGTAATCAGTGAACCTGCTATAAAAAGGGAGTGATGTGCTTTCTGCAGCTGGCCTCCGTCAACAGGTTGACTGAAACATTTTAGACCACCTGATGTTTCTAGACAATTTTCAAAGGCCTCATGTAGAGTGTGTTAAAGTCTGAAAGGAATGTAACTGAGGTATATCTGACCATGGCCATATTGGTCATCTCAAGGAATTGGTAAAGGCAGAGTCTGAGTACACCTAAACAATAAGCCTAAGTCTTCAGGTGGTATGTAACCCCATGAAGCACAGGTTCAGTTTCTATTCCCTGATCTGCGTTTTGACTGAACAGGACCTCCTCTGTCTCTCTTGGATTGAGCTTCAGTTTCATCCAGTCCATTACCAACATAAAGCACCAAGTTAAAATTAGAGATAGAGTTGGGTGTTGTAATAATACTGGTGGGATCAAACTCCAAGACTTCAGACTATCTCTCCCAGAGGTTTCATGTATGTTAAATGTATGTTAAATAGCATGTGGAAAAAGATGGAACCCTGAGGGAGACCACAGGTTAATTGCTCCATTGTTAAGTGAAAATCTCCCAGCACCACCTTCTGAGATCACCCTTACAAGAAGGATCAGATTGGCATATAAAAATGCCTCCTAATCACATCAGAACGTGATGCCGCAGAAGGATGGAATGGTCATTGGTATCAAAATCCACTGAAAGGTTCAGCAGAACTAACAGGAACATACTTCTCTTGTCTAGTTCCTGGCATAGACCATCCACCAAGGTAACCAAAACAGTCTGTGTCTCACAACCAGGTCTGTAGCCAGAATGAAATGGATCTAGATAATCTGCTTCATCCAGAAGTCCTTGGAGGGAACAAGCCACCACACACTCCAGCATTTTTCCAATAATGAAATATCGAAGACAGGCAAGAAATCCTCCAACACAGCAAGTGTAGAGATTTTTTAAAAAAGGTTTTACCACCACATCTTGCAGTAAAGAAGAATTTTTCACTCCCTTTACCCACTCAGCCAGTCTCCCTATGACTGTTGCCAGGATGAACAATGGTTCAGCAGACAAGTGGTAGGCCTCATTTCTCCAAGAATCCTGTATACTTCCTCAGGCTGTGCAATCTGAAAAGTATCTCCTGTAATTGGACAAACAGGAGAAAAAATACCCATTAGATCTGTGTTAATTATGGAATCTGAGTCAGCATAGATAACTCAGCAGGCATGGATACAATTGTGTTTATCTAAAAAATATTGCACAAATAGATCATAGTGGACCACTGAGTTTCCCAGCTCTTCCTGCACACCAGATTGTAACAAGCCTCTGACAACCCGAACAAGCTCAGCTGGGTGACTGAACAGATGCAGTGGTGGTGGTGAAGTACAATTTCTTCACCATCCTCATTGCAAAAGGTGAGGCTTTCAAATGAATTCTAGCCTGCGTTCAATCAAATCCGTTCCAACTTTTCTATTAACATTCCATTTGTTTCATTGCCCACAGAAAACATTGGGCTGTATCCCATGGGAAGGGAGACTCAGAAACATTTCAGTCCTTTGTTCCTGTGCTGACAAACCTCTTTCTCTGAAAGAAGGGAGACTTGGACAAAACATTCAGAAGTGTAGAATTAATCTATTGTAACAGAGATTGATATCTGTTGCAAACATGGCAGTCACTAGAAGCTGTGAGTTTTGACTTCCTTTTGTTAGACAAGGAAACTTCAGGTCTATAGTCCTGCTTTCCCCTGTCTCCATTGCTCCTGTTCTGGACTGGTCAGGGTTGGAAAAAGATTGTGGATGTTCAGAAGAGGAATCTCTTCATTTGGGGCTTCCCCAGCACGAATGTCTTCAACTAGAAGCCACAGAAACATCACCACAGGAAGAAAATGGTGAGGAAAAAGTTTCCACCTTTCACTGAAATGGTGGACAGTGGAGGTCTCAACAAAGCTGTTTGAGACTTGGCTTGCTATCTTTCCTGAGGTAAACATTTTTGAGGTAAATTTTGAACCTGGCTTCCCCCAACCCAGCTGTACTGCTGTCCTAATTTCTTTAACTAAATTTGGCATATGCAGCAACAAATCTTAGGATGAAATGCTGAGCCATTTATACCAAGGTGGTGGGTAAGCCACAGTACTGACCAAAGGGGAGGCAGGGTCCTGTACTATCTAGCTCCCTGATGGGAGAATTCTCTCATATGAATCCTTGAACTTCCATTTTCGGCTGTCTTGGGACTTGAAGGGCTCTTCGAAACAGTAGAGCCCAAGCCACCCGTATGGACCAACTTTACTCCTCAGGAACCAAGCATCTAGGAGATTTCCCCCCACCCCACCACAACTTTCTCCTTTTTTTCACCTATCAGTAGACAACTCAGGACTGTCTCCCTGTCTGACTTGGACTGATACCAGAAGTCTTTCCAGACAAAACCCCATGCAGAGAAAAGATCATGAGATGTATAAAAATAGTTTGCAGGCAGAAAGCTGCCTTTGTCCTGGTTTCTGGAACTAGATAAGACTAGAATGGGGAGCTGCTTTCCCACACAGGTATGGTGACTTCAGCTTTATGCAAATCTGGTCATTCCTTCTGGAGCAAGTTGGAGAGCATTTGCCCATCTCTCCTGCAGGAGGGGATGCCTTTTCTAATATGGTCCCTTAATATATTTCATTTTGCAGTAAATCTATGCTTTAGTTGATCAAAAAGGTTTAGAAAAATCAATTATATGGTGCAACTCCAATTCAAATGAAAGTAAATGTGGCACATCCTTAATTTATCTTTAGAACTGTTGGGGATATGAAGACTGTTCATACAAGTACATGTAAATGAGTAGACTGCACATCATGAGTTGTGACCCTAACATTCTATTATCTTTGTCTGTTAGCACAGGCATTTGAAAGGATGATGAGCCCAACTGGACCTGGGCCTAATTCCAGTATCTCTGAATATCCAACTGTTCCACCTTTGCAGGAAGCTCAGACATCTGGTAAAGCCAACTCTCTTTCCATTTCATCACTTGCTTCTGTATTTAGATGGTTAAATAGTGGTTGTACAGTAAATATTGTATTATGGTAATCAAGTTAATTTTAAAGATCATAAATTAAGCTTTTAAATTATTTCCTTATTAGACAATGACTTTGTAGCACAGGCTTGAAGTGGTGCTCATTTATTACACTGAACACAGACAATGTCTTTCAGGAAAGCACCTCTGTTTTGGTCAATGTATCTTTTTCTAAATGTTCAGACTCTTAATTCTTTTTACATACCCTTTTACTGCAGACTTATATAAAACTTTGTTTAGATAGTGTATAAGTTGTGTACAGTAACAGTGTGATTTTACTAGATGGATAAATCCCATATGATGTGTTTTTGTGAAGGTATCAGAATGTTCATCAGATTTGGTGCTTCTAAGAGTTCCCAGTTATCATATGGATTCTAAATGTGCCACCATTGAGAAAAAACAACCTGATTTTATATATGTCTTTTAGAAATCTGAGCAGTTGTCTATTGGATGAATTAAGTAACAAAAACCAATTGATGTGTGGTTTTTTCTCTTCCTTCTCTTGTAGGACCATGCCCTAAAGAACAGAAAAGAGTCTGGTTTGCAGATGGTATTTTGCCCAATGGGGAAGTTGCAGACACAACAAAATTGTCATCTGGAATTAGAAGATCCCCACAAGAACCATATCCTGTAAGCTCTAATTTACTAGAAATTATTATTGTTATTTATTATCTTTATATCCTGCTTTTTTACTTTCAAGGAACTTAGGCTGGCTTACATAATTCTCCTTCCTCTCAGACTTATCCTTACAACAACAACTTGTAGGTTGAGTTGAGAGCCTGTGACTGGCTCAAAGTCACCCAGTTAACTCAATGGCTGAGAGGGGATCTCTTCAGTCCTGCATTCTTAACTACTATATCGCACTGGCTCTCAATGTCACAATAGGTTTTTGAAAATATAAATTGATTGATAACTGTACCATGCTACTTTGTCCTTTTAAATAATGCAAATGCATTGCTCAGATTTGTATAAATCCCTTACTAAAATCTGAATAGTTCACTACAGTTTGCTAATTCACAGGGAATTAGAAAACTTTGCAACGTATTTTGGCAGCTGTTAATCAGGAGGTCATCTCAGAGCGTTGGTTCAAATACTGGCCATTTCTATTGCTTTCCTTTGAACTGACCTTAGGGCAAAAGACCCGAAGATTAAGTCCATATAGATTGATGATGCAGATAACCCCCAGTGTTTCTTGTTTCTCAGTTAACTATTTTACAAGGACTGAGCTGTTAGTGTCATGCATTATAGCATACAGCAAATGAGGTATTTCATATTATCTTAATATATTATTCTGTAATTTTAAAAATTAACCATATGTTGTTGCTGCTGCTCTAGTAATAAATGACATGTTATATGTCCCTTTATAACTTTTTGATTCATGCTATTTGGTTTTCTTATATTAGTGATCCAAGAATACAAAGTTGGAACTTCATTGTGTGACTGATTTTCCTTTGTATCCTTCTCCTCCTCCAAGGATCAATGAATGTGAGCCGCCCCGAGGCTTCGGCGAATGGGGCGGCATACAAGTTCCCTAAATAAATAAATAATAAATAAAACTCAGGATGGTTCCCTTTTTTCCCATTTTTATCTTTGCCATAGGCCAGATAATATGGAATAATGAGCTTTGTTAATGAGTGGAGTTTGAATGTTTGTCTTACCAGCCTGTCCCAGCCTCTACCCACTACATCACAGTGTAGTTAAGTTGGAGGATGGCAGAACCCTAGATGAATTAAAGAACCCCTGCCAGTCAGTATAGGTGGTAGGTGCCCTTCTCTTGTGCCTATATAATTGCACAGAAGTTGCCTGCTTGTTCTTGGTTTTTTCTGTTTCATTTAAAATAGTTTTACACTGTTTGCAAAGGCAGAAGAGTATTTGAAATGCATATACAGATTTCACACTGTTGAACTCAGTTGAAAGCTATATCTAATTGAAGAACTTTTTGCCATACAAAGGTTCAAGGTCCAAGAAATGACACTGGTTGTGCAACAACTGACATAAAACCAAAAGATGACTCACCTGTTGCTGGAAGAACTGAAGTCTTGAGTTGTCCTACTTCTGTTCTTCTAGAAGATGACACATTATCCAATAAAGAACAACCCGAGCTGCCATGTAATTCTGACTGTCTGGCTACTAAAGAAAAAGCTGAATTTCTGTCAAGTAATTATGACTGTGGAATAGCAGCTGTTGCTGAATACTCAACTATTGTGGAACTAGCAAGGCATCCTGTTCCTGACACAGAGAATAAAATTTGTGATGAACCAGTTAGCCCACTGGATTACAAGATGCTTTGTGATATTGAAAACTATGTAAGCAAAGAGATAAGCCTTATTCCTGAGGATGATGGATTGCCGCCTCTTTTGTTTGCAAGAGGAGAAAAGCACAAAGGTAAGCTTTTATTAAGGTAGTTTTTGAATGCAAATGTGTGTTTTAAAAATAGCAGTGTTTCTGATTGTACTGAACTATGTGATGAATTACATTGGTTTTTAATTTAGTAGCACACAATGATATTGGGAAACATAAAAACATAACTATTAGCATAATGCATTACATGGGCATTATGCTACCCTATTCTGATAAGCTGCTGGGCAGTTTTCCTGATTTGTTGTTGAGTGGAGTTTGAATGTATGTCTTCCCAGCCTGTTCCAAAACTCTACCCACTACATGTTCAAGTATAATTTTTAGAAATTGAGTGTGAATTTAAAATTGCAGGCACAAATTGGCTGAGAGAACAGTCACAAAGATCCTATTAAAACAATATTCAATATCAACATTCTATTTAAAAACAAGCTTCCCTGCCATAAAACATGTATGCAACAGTTATATTCAAGTATGTACAATAATCAATAAACAAAGCAATATATAATAATAATTGACAATAATTTAAACAACTGTTTCTGTGTGCCGGTAACAGCCTTAAAAAGCCGTAAAACCACATAATAAATTCAGCCATTCAAATAGCAAGATAATAAAAACCAGGCACCAAAATGCATATAGACTGTATACAGAGTCAATGCCAGGCATGTCTTCCTGGGGAGCTGGTTCCAGAATCAGCAGCACAGCAAAGAAGGCCCTTCTTTTTGTAGCCACCATTTTTACTTCCTTTAAAGGTTGCTCATGGAGAGGGACCTCCACAGATAATCTAAAGGTCCAGGTGGGTATGTACAGGAGGAGACATTCCTTTAGATACCCAGGCCCTAAACCATTTAGACTTCAATTGGTAACCACTGCAGATGATACAGCACTGGGCTTAAATGCTTATTCTTGCTTGTCCCCATCAACAGATGAGCTTCCCTGTTCTGTACCAATTGCAGCTTTCAGACCATTTTCAAGAGCAGCCCCACATAGAGTTTACAGTAGTCTAAACACGAGGTTACCAGACCATGGATTATCATTGTTAGGTTCTGCCTGTCCAGATAGGACACAGTTGGTAAATCAACCAAAATTGATGTAAATTGCTCGGGTCACAGATGCCACCTGAGACGCTAGGAACAATTCTGGATCCAGGTCCCCCAAGATCTGCACTCTGTCCTTTAGGGGGAGTACAGCCCCATTCAGGACAGGGCAGATAGCATCCTCCATGGAACATTGGAAGCACTTCCTGACAGTCAGGACCCCGAGGGTGTGGAATGGGCTTCCACAAGAGGTTGTTGAGGCCCCATCGGTGTGGGTGTTCAAGGATAGGCTGGACGTCCACATGGTGGGCATGTCGTGAGTGGAGCCGGCTGGTGCCGGAGGTCAGACTAGATGGCCCGGGAGGCCCCTTCTGACTCTCTCTGTTTTCTATGTTTTCTATGTTTCTATTGATGGAGAATGTTCCCTATGTTACAATTTTTGCAATTCCTCTGTGCATCTAACCTTTGGTTCAACCAGATCAACTTGTGCTTTTTTCTTCTTGAGCTATAGCCATGGTCAGGACCAACAGAAAAATACAGTCATATGGTATTTTTTTCCAGCTTTTTCTGGACAATAGAGGAAGATAACCCACTGTGGGATGTTCTGCAATGCAGACCAGAAGGAATTTTCTCTGGGCTAAAGTTCTGTTTTCATCCCTAATAAAAAGCTTGATAAACTTTTAGGCGGGGGAGTGGGGAGAAGGCACTTGCTCTTACTGGAAACAGTAGGGCTTAAAAAGCATCTATACACTCAGTCCTGGTTTTGTGAATCAGAGGGTTCAAGAAAATGTGTAAAAATGAGTTCAGTGGTTTTGACCCAGACTGTTTTGAAATTTAAACCCACTGAAATCATGCTAAATTTATAGATGACGGAGGTGATCCTAAGCCCCAGTTCCCTCAGTATACTTCCAGTTATCGGGAAAAATATGTAGTTCAGGGTAACAGCTATCTCCCTGGTCATTGCAAGAGAATGACTATTTACTTCAACTTCTGTTGAATATTTTCTTTACTGTTTATTTTAGAGTCCTTGGTGGAACAACATCCTTCCCATAAGCAAGTTAGCTTACTGCTTGAAGAATCTAATCCACTAACATTCATCCTAAATGCAAACCTACTTGTGAATGTCAAATTACTGCCTTGTAAGTAATAGTATACCTCCTCAGTATTTGTAAACACTGTTTATTCAATGTATGGTTGCTAACATGAAATATTAATTAGAATCAAACTGTAAGTTAAATCTTTAGTTCCAGAGCTTGTTGCATTTACTATTGAATAAATGGCATATTTTTCCATTAGAGCATTGTCCTGAAATGAATGATAGTTACAGAGGGGTCATCTTTTGTAATTCTAAAGTGCCCTAGGCACTATTAGTAGGAAATATTCAAGGTAACGTGATCCCTTGAATTCAACAAACATTTGTTGATGTAGGATTATGCTACCTTTCCCCTTCTTTATTAAGAATGGGAAAATAAAATTATTGACTGTTCAGAAAGCTAAATGGTGTCAAATGAAAATATTTTTAGTTATGACAATCACTGTAATGTCTTCATTCTTGATTATGAGCTCTCTGTGACTTGACAACATGAATATTTCTACATCCACAAACGAAACTCCCTTTCTATTTTTTTAATCTGTAATCAGTGTAGAATTAACTTTTACCATTATGGGTTAGTATTAGATTGTCTAATCCTTATAAAAGCATTGTTATAAATAATGTGATAAAGCATATCTAATGTTAACATAGAACAAATTCTGATGTCTTACATGCCCAGATATGGTAGCAGGCAGGGCTTGGATGCTGTGGAAGACTCCTTTACTGGCAATAGAGGAGCTCCACTGGCTGAGGTGTCCATCAGTCTGAACCCCAACGTATGCTTATGGGAATCTCTGTGGGTGAAGTATTGCCAGGACTATTCTGGTTGGCAGTAGCCATGGATAGTCCCTGAAACAGAGTCTTCTGGCTAGTGGAGTGGGGTGGCTTTGGAACTGCTAAATTAACCCCCCCCCACTCCATTCCCATGGTGAGGTTCAGTGATTGGGCTCCCAACCTGTTTACCCTTCACTGAAATCATTTGGGCAGAGAAGGGGGCACAGTGACTGAGATCTGCTGGAAAAAAAATACAGGTAAAAGGTTTTTTGAATGTTCTGTACTTAACAAGAACAGTATGGGCCTACCACTTATTTTTTTCTTTTTGTCATTAAGATTGTTCAGAAAGATGCTGGTACTTCTCAACCAATGGACTGCAAGGTTTGGGGCAAGCAGAAATTATTATACTGTTAGTTTGTTTGCCAAATGAAGAAGATATTCCTAAAGAAATCTTCAAACTATTTATCAACATATATAAGGATGCCATAAAAGGTATAAACCTTATTTGACTTCTAAAGCAAACTCTGTCAAACTTTATGAAATGGTATTTAAGAGGGAAAACTAATCATATTATTTTATTACTAGAACAAGATAATATATGCAAAGTGTTTTGAATACACTTAAAGCCACCTTTCTTAACCTGGTGCCTGTTTAGATGATAAACTACAGCTCCCATCGTAATTGGTCACAAACAATATTACCTGGGACTGATGGGAGTTGTGGTCCTAAAATCTAGAAGGCTTATTAGGTTTATATTAATTAATTTTATACCACCAACAGGTCAAAGGCTTCTTGGGAATGACTGTGTTATAGCACCATTTAAATCAGCCTTCCTTGACTGGGTTTCATCCTGTTATGTTATACTATAACTCCCAATATCCCCAAGCCAAATAATGTTTTTTAAAACTACATATTATTGTTCATTCCACATGGACACTAAAGCCATTAAAAAGAAAAACCTCATGTCTCCTTAGCTTTCCTATTCACTTGAGCAGGTTCTTCTCTGTTAAAATTACAATTTGTAATAACACTAAAAGCATGTGGATGATGATGGGTCCAATTCCATAAAAGTAAACTTTAGATATAGGAGTTGAATGTCAGTCCAATCTAGTTCTCTTCAGTGAACCTTTCCAAACATGCCAAAAAAACAGATTTGTAACTGGGTTGGCATTGCAGTAATATCAGAGAAAACAGAAGTTCGAATGTTCCAGAATTCGAACACTAAATTCTAGAATAAAATTGTTCCAAAGTTTGAACAATGCTTCTAAGTTCAGACTACATGTGCAGTGAAACAAATGCAGTCGCTGTGGAAACATCATCTGTTGTGTGCCCAAGTTTTCAGTTGTTCTCAGTGCCTTTTCAGTGCGTGCCTTTCCAATTGTTTTCAGTGTATTGGGTATTATTTAGGGTCTGGGAACAGATTCATTCACTTTCCATTATTTCTAAAGGAGAAAATTGCTTCAGACTTCAAATGATTCATCAGAGTTCAAATGGCCTCCTGAAACAAATTAAGTTCAAAGAACAAGGCACCACTGCCTGAATGGAACCTTGAAGTGGGGAAGAGGTGGCAGGAAAGACCCATTGCAAGAGCTGAACTGTCTGAACTCATGTTTCTCTGGATAGAACACATGGTCCCTGCAATAGCAGACTATTCAGATGCTCTATAAAACTAATCTTCATGTTTGAATCAAGGGTGTGTTTGTTCTGACTTTGACTAGATGTATTCTTCTAACCAGGGAAATTCATAGGACATCTGGAAAATATTACCTTCACTGAAGATTTTCTTGGAAGCAAGGAGCATGGTGGATTCCTGTTTGTTACCCCAACTTTTCAGAAACTAGATGATCTTTTATTACCAAAACAGCCTTTTTTGTGTGGCATTCTTATTCATAAACAGGAGGTACCTTGGGCTAAAGTTTTTCCAATTCGTTTGATGTTGCGTTTGGGAGCAGAATATGGGGGTGAGTTTTAATCTCTACTATTTCAAATATTTAATAAATAGATTAAGCAGATAGAAAACCATTGCATATTGATCTAAGGTTTATGACCTGTCTCATCAGTTTGGAAATGTTAATGGATTGGATGAGGACTAATAAATCGAACCTTCATCCAGACAAGATGGAGGTGCTTTTGGTAGATGGGCTCCCTTTTTTAGTACATAATTTCAATTCTTAGACATTGATAACAAAATGTGGTTATGTCCACTAGTTTTGATGATTCTTTAAAAGTACTAAACAGATTTAGAAACGAATAGCCTAATCCAGGGGTCTCAAACTCAACTTACCTGGGGGCTGCTGGAAGTAGAGTCTGGGTGAGGCTGGGCCGCATCAAGTATTCCACCACCGTGGTGGTGGTGGGCCGCTCATCCGGAGGCCGGCCGGGGCGCCGCCGGTGCTTTGAAGGCCACAGGGCCCCTCCCCCGTGCCCCGCCCATCCCGACAATTGGCCCGTGGGCCGTGAGTTTGAGACCCCTGGCACAATCAATATTTATTAGTGATCATAAACTGTTCACTGAGTCAAAATATAGCTATTATATCTTAAATATGTTCCGAAGATTTTGGAATGTTCAGTGCCACCTTTTCTTACTATCCTTTGGATGACAAACCTCCATGTTATATTGTCATAGGTTCCTTTCTAGCATTGTGAGGCTGTTGTTTGAAAAACATAAGCCAAAAACTTCCACTGAATTTGTAGAACTACTTTTGTAGTACTTTAATCCCAACCACTGTATTTTGATTTGCGTGTCAGTAACAGTCTAAATGTCAGCCTCTAAAGGAATTGTCAATTAGAGATCACTCTGCTTTGTTTGTTTTTCTTTTGCTAGTGTACCCAACTCCTTTAACAAGTATCAGGCACAGAAAGCCACTGTTTGGAGATATAGGACACACAGTCATGAACTTACTTGTTGTAAGTACATACATTTGTTTCTATTTCATTCTTGCTGTATTTCTGATATGAAAGTTAAAACATTGCAAATAAATCAGGGTCTCTGTAATGAACACGTTAATATGCTGTCTGTAAGAGATAAGAACCCTTAGTATGAGTGAAACAAAATTGAAGGTAAATTTGAGAAACATTTGTTTAATTACTTGAAAAAAATTGATATGTATGTATTTTTGTGTGCAACTTCGTTTAAAGGCAAACATATACCACATTAAGTAAGTGTACTTAACAGCACAAAGAAAAGCCACACAGATGTTCTGGCATGCAACTGCCTAATTTCTTACTCATTTTAATATTCTTCCTTTATAGGTTTCATATGATTAATTAAATATTTGGTGTTAATTTTAATCGGGTGTAAAAATGCAGAAATTTTACTTAAACACTTAAGAAATATCTCTCATTAGTCTTTATGCATATTAATAAAATTAGGAACTCAGAAAAAAATAGTCCCTTGGAATAATAATTGTCGTATGTTCCATTGGCTATATTGCTATGGGTCAGTAAACTAATTTAACTTCATCAAATAATCCCAAAGAATATATGTACACTTAACTATCATTAGAATGTAACTTCTTCTCTAACTTTACCTATTCTGATTTGTTCAGCTTACTTTGTAGCTCCTAGATATTGCACAATAAGTACCGTGATATGAGCAATAGATCAGCTTTTTAAAAAGCTGTGGGGGCTTCAGTTACTTGGAGGAATGCCTGAATGTTTCTGACAATATCATAGTGCTGGATTTGGGGTGGGTGGGCAGAATTTCTTACTGTGCAATGAATTGTAGTAATGATAGACCCATGCTGTTCAAAATGAAGCATCTAGATCAGGGGTCCTCAAACTTTTTGACCAGGGGGACAGTTGAAAGGTGCTGGTGCAGGCCAGAAAAGTGGTGCCTGGTTGTGCGAGTGGGTCAGTGAGGGGGCGGGGGCAGGGGTCACACATGTGGGCACATGCGCTGAGGTGGGGGCAGGGCACGTGGCGAGGCACGGGCAGGCGCGTGTGGCGAGGCGGGGGTGGGCACGTGCCGCAAGGTGGGCACAGGAGGCAGCAGCTTGCTTGGAGATCATTTTCTCCGAGCGAGCAAACCACTGCCTCCCCATGCATGGGACAAGGTCAGTGGTGGCAGGCGCACGGTGGGTCCAAATGGGTATGGCGGGCCGGATCTGGCCCCCAGGCCGTAGTTTGAGGACACATGATCTAGATTAATCAGTGTTTATTGCATTGCAGGATCTTCGGAACTATCAGTATACATTGCAGACAATAGATAACTTACTTATCCATTTGGAAGTAGGTAGAAGTTGCATTAAAATACCTCTGACAAGATATAATGAAGTAAGTATGATTTATAGCAAGGGTCTTCTTATATGTAAGCCTTACATGAATTCTGCACAAAGTAGATCTGTACATGTTTTGGACTTCAGCTTTCAGTATTCTTACCTTTGGCCATACTGGCATGGGTTCCTGGGATTGAATCTCAGTACTCTGGATATCTGCCTCCTGGCCGTTTCTGCTTCAGGGAATCAGGAGTGATAAGTGCACCATCGTACAGTTCCTTCCCCTTGCCCTTCCCTTTTATACAAATTATCCTGCCCCTCCCATCTGTAACTGTAGCATTATGTCTGCACTGCAGTTAACCTAGCCTAGAATTTGAATTGCTTACAGATTTGGTTGGTCTTGATACATGTGTGCAACATCTATGTTAGAATCCTTCCTTCTTGTAGCTGTTCCTAGCTCTACCTTCTTGTGTTACTGAATTTTCCTTGATATATAGAAACATAACTGCAAAAGACTGCAGTGTAAAAAGACTATACAGTACCTACCTGCTGCTGTGACTATTGTGTTTGGATTTAAATTAGAGAGAGCTGAGTTCAAATGACCACTCAGCCATAGAGCTTAGTGGATACTCTAAATTACAGGTAATTACAGGAGTAAATAAATATAAAATTCCTTTGGGATACAGGATATCCATATATTTCTGTCCTGAAAATCTAGTAAATGTATTTGGGCATGTGTGTTCTGGTCTGATAAGAGCAAACATTGTCAAAATTATGTCAACTCTGCTGTGTGAGAATATAAATGTTATTGCATGAAGTAGTTTCATGGTGTGTGGACACTGGCAAACAACATGTTCTGGAATTTAATATTTCTCCAGATTTTTGAGACTTGAGCAGTGTTATCCTCTAACAAAATCCATAGCAGGTTTGGATAACAGAGCATATAGTATAAGGGACTGACCAACATTATACAAAATAAAAGGGTAACACTGACTTTCTGAAAGGGTTATAATGTGCTGAAATGGGGCAGAGGTTGCATTTAAGAGAAGCAAGGAGACCAGAGTGGTTTAGTGCAGGTGGATAGCATCTTATCAGTTTCAGTGTTACCCTGATCCTGTGCATAATAACTCAGAAGGAACCTCTGTTGCAAATCAGTGGGACTTACTTCCATCAAAGTGTGCACCAAATTGCAGCCTTAGACACCTAGTTTAGGGCTTCAATTTAATAAATAAAGGAAGGATACTATCCAAAACAATAACGTTTTTGTAACTGCAGGTGATGAAAGTGATGAATAATTCCAATGAACACGTCATTAGCATTGGAGCAAGCTTTAGTTCTGAGGCAGATTCTCACTTGGTTTGTATACAGAATGATGATGGAGTCTATCAGACACAAGCAAACAGTGCTACTGGACATCCTAGGAAAAGTAAGTGATTTGACTATTAGGCTGAATTTAATGGACATGTGGTCACATTTTTTAATCTGAAATATGAGACAATTTTGGGCTGTAGAAAATAAATATTAATATAATTATCTTAGGACTTGTTCTTACATAGATTCACATGAAAGAAACTGTCAGTAAGCAGCACCTGCTTTTGAATTTTAATCTCTATCTTGTATTTTCATATGAGTCAGACCATTAGCTTATCTTGGGTCATTATTGCTTGTTTTAATTACCAACGATCGGTTTTCCGGGGCCTTTAACAGTAAGAGATGTTTTCCAGGCCTGCCATTTGTGATTGAATCAAGAACTTTTGTCAATGCAAAGCATATACCTTGTACTCAGTTATAACTTTTTAAAGAAATGTTAGGGTTGCTGTCACTTGCTAATTAGAAGTTCCATCCATCCATCCATAAATAAATAAATAAGCAATATAGAAGTTCCATAAATAAATAAATATGCTATATATATATTGCAAATTGAACAAGAACTACAAAGCTGTAGGGTGATCAATGCAAAGCACATACCTTGTACTCAGTTATAACTTTTTAAAGAAATGTTAGGGTTGCTGTCACTTGCTAATTAGAAGTTCAATCAATCAATCAATCAATTTGCAATATATATATATATTGCAAATTGAACAGGAACTACAAAGCTGTAGGGTGACCGTTCCCAGCTTAGTATTCTGTTCCAGAACTATGGGAATTATGAGCACATCTAGCACAGTGCGCAATATACTTACTCACTTAGGCTGCTTTTGGTATCAGTGATTGACATATATGGTGTATTTTCAGTTACAGGTGCAAGTTTTGTTGTGTTCAATGGAGCCCTAAAAGCATCTTCTGGATTCCTTGCTAAATCCAGTATTGTTGAAGGTATGGATTGTCATACTTTCTAGTAATCGGTTCAAATGTGATAATATTGAAATGACTAAAGGCCTATTCATTTTAGGATGAAGGAGATGTACTCATAGGCAGTGCTAAACATTCTTCTAAGCACAAAATAAAGTTACAGCATACAGTAGTCTTACTTTTCCTGCCCATGACTGTCTAATTTTAGCTGCTGTATCTTCACTGGTAGCATATTCAGTCAGCATGTCTGAGGTGCCACCAGTGTATCTGCTATAGAAATGATTTATTGGATGTTCTTCCAGGATAGCAAAGCTTCTGCCAAATCCTTCTGCCCATCAGCTGGTAGATATTAAATCTATTATACTATTATAATTAAATATCCATAATTTAGTAAAATAAATGTTTTTCTTCATAGATGGAATAATGGTACAAATAACTCAGGACACTATGGATGGCTTACGTCAAGCTTTAAGAGAAAAAAAGGACTTCAGAATTACATGTGGCAAAGTAGATTCAGGAGATCTGAGAGAATATGTAGACATTTGCTGGGTAGAAAATGAAGGAAAAACAAATGTGAGGTATGTTGAGAAGATTTTTATGCAGACTGTAGTTAGCTTGTTTTGCAAAAAGGTTTACAGAATTTTGCAGACTTCTCTTTTGTGCATTTATAATTAACATGTGCAAATTGGGTCACTTTTCTCAGGGCTGTACTATAAACTTTGTAAAAGTTGTTCTATATTTCGTTGATTTTGCCTACCTTATTTTGCTGCTTACTGTTTTCCTTTTACCTACAAGTAAACACACATGTTAATAAAAACTATAGAATGGTGTTAAGCTACACAGTAAGACTGGATATTCAGTACAATCTGAATGGTAACAGTACTAATGTAACAGTCCTTTATTACATATACATAACTCTCCAGAAACTTATTTTGAAAAAGTTACATTAATTTTTCACTATCTGTATGCTGAGGATTCATTGTCATAAAGAGTGACTCACTTTAAAGACTCTCCCTGTTCTTTCTGAAGAATGGTGCAAAATGTGATATAAGTTGCAGCAGTGTCAATAGAAATCAGTGGAAGGCACCTTGTGTGAATGAAAGTATCGTTTACTCATGCATAACTATTTTGGCGTCCAGTTTTTTTAAGTTTATTTCAGGGAGGGAACATAACTATGTTATGATATAAAGCTACTTCTTATTTGGGCACAGAAAGCTCTTCAGTTTGGTTCCCTCAGCTGAAAGGGTTTTAAATATGTTGCTCTTGAAAGTGGCCTTGTGAATCATTATTTTTTTAAAGCAGCTTGTGAAAATGATATTCGGCTGTTAAAAGACCATAATCCTAGTCAGCTAGATTCAAACAAGCCAAGATTTCTAAACCACCTTCAGACTTTGGTTTAAAGCTGGGTTTGTCCCAGTTCAGCCTTGTTTGGGAAGAGTTGTAGTTCTTTACTCACGTGTAATTGGAAAATGTTTTTAAATGCTTAATCTTGGCTGTTCCTCTTCTTGTATGAAAAGAAGAACAGAGTGGCAGGAAAGTGACTGTGTGTGATGCACACCACTTGTGCAGATCCTGGCTTATTAAACAAGGTTGCAAACTAAGACTAACATTTGAGCTGTGTGCCAGTAGGCTTCTCCACATGTGGGTTTAACCAGCTGCAGTACAGGGTATTCTGCTTCCTTTTGTGGTGGTGGGGATGCATTCTTTGCATGACATTTTTTCTTAGGGTTTGTATTTCTCTGCCTTTCTATATATGCTGTTAACCAGCCACAAACAGCTGTATTATACCTGCATTATAGCAGATTTTCATCTTTTCTCAAGGCTTTTGTTCCAAATTATCATGATTTAAAATTTAATACCTAATTTTCCTCAGTCTAAGAATATATGTGAAAAAGGCTAGAAAACTTGGGAATGGCCCTGGATGATAACAGCACATCATGGATGTACTCCTCAAATTTCCTTGAATGAAGGATCATGAATGCCTTGTGTAGAGAAGCCCAACTAGGGTATTTAATGTATTATTAATTTTGGTTCATAGAGTTACAAGCCCAATAGATGGGAAGTCTATGGAAGGAGTTCAGAGTGAAAAGATTGTTCAAGAAGAGTACTTTGAAATGAATGAAAAACTTATAAAGTGTACAGAAGTAAGTAAATGTTGCTATTTTAAATGTAAGAAATATTCACAGAATTTAATGATGCTTCTTGAAATGCTATCCGAATGTGAAGCCAAGGCCATCTTAATGCATGGGCCTGATGGGCACTTGCCCGTGGGCCCCATACTAATCCATGTATGGTAACCCTTGGAAAATTGGAAAACTTCCAAAATTAACAATAGTTGTAGTTGTCGTAGGGGCCCCAGTACACTGCTTTGCCTGGGGCCCATAATGCTGTTAAGACAGCCCTGTGTGAAGCACAGACAAAAGTACTGAAGTCAGCATGCCCACATCTGCACCCATCACTTTCTCATCATTGTCTTAAATTGTGATACTTCTTTACTTTCGAAAGCTTTAAATGCATTTATTAAATATTTTATTTCTTGTTTTAGTCAATTACATTTAGTTCATTTTCTTTATGATGGTCCATTAGCCTCTTAATATATGAATGTTGCATTTTGATTTGCAATTGCTTAGGAAAGCACCCAGCATTCTTGAGGATGAAGCAAAAATGAGAACATTCCCATAGCTAGCATTATTTTGATTGATGGAAGGTGGCACATTGATTCCTTCTACCACATTGAGGGACTTCTGAAACTGAAAGGATTTACAATTCTAATATAATAAAGGTTTATTTAACTTGAAGTTCAAATGTACCTGTACAATATGTTTTGATGTTTTACAACTGCTTGTTCTGCAAGGACAAAGCATTCTTTCAACCACTGTTCTTTATTCTTTGAGAAAGATACACACTTTATATTTGTGTACTCTAAATGCACAAGTATAAATAGAACTAAGTTCAGGAATAGTAAACAAAAATGGAACTTGGACAAGACTAGAACATATCTCTCCTTAAACTTTATGCATGTGTTCTATATGTGGAATTAATTTAGACCTATATTCCCCAATTAATATAGACCTATATTCATTAGACCTAACTAATGTTCTATGGGGAGATTACAAGCAATCACACTTCATCTTTACCCTGTCCATTATTTCCTGAGATTGGTAGCACTTAGTTTAGACTGGCATTGCTTGCTTTATTATTATTAAATAAGCTATATTAACCATGTTGGCTAGAAACAAAAATGCCACCTATATTGAACATAGTTATATACATTAATGCTGCTGCAATAGCTGTCTTGATAATTTTAAGGGATTAATAAATCTGGCATTTTTTAATGGTTTTTAAAATTAAATTTCAGGTGTTCTACCTCTTAAAGGCCAGTAAGCTCTACAGTCAAACCCATCAGCTTGCTAAAGAAATTGCATTGGCCTCTTGTAATGCTCTTCATTGGCATCTCAAAACGCTGAAAAGTAATGGAATGAACAAAATAGGCATTAGAGTCTCCATGGATACGGACAAGGTAACTTTGAAAATGATGCAGCTATGAATCCATGGAAGTTATGATAATATATAGCCATTTGGGGGACTTTAAATCTTGTTTCAGTTTTATGTAACTTTGGGAAAAGTCAGAGGAAAATGTTTTCACCTCATTCATCATAAATAAACATAAGCAGGAAGAGATCAAAGTCTTGATCAATTAAAAGCTTTGTAACTCTGTTATAGTTGTCTATACTACAGCACATCACCTTGACTTTGTTTGTTTGTTTAAAACTTTTCCATACTGTCCTATCACAAACATCTCGGGACTGTAACAATATTGATAAAACAGAATAAAAATAAAAGTAAGAGTAAAAACAAATCACAGCCTCCAGTATTCAGTGTAAAACCACAAATTGAAACAATTTAACAATTAAAATATTAGGTAAGAGCTTCCATCCTTGAATGAAAAGATGGTTACCTGTAGGAAACTTAGAGCTACTAGGAGTTTGCATTCCCCTTTCTTCCCTGCTAGCACTCCGCCACACCTGTCAACCATCACAAGTATCCCTTTCACCAAAGGAACAGCACTTGCTATAGGAACTTACATTCAGTGATGGAAAGAACTTAATCACAGAGGAAAGAGACAGCCTCGGCCCATCCATTGGCTAGAAAGGTCCTGGAGTTCGTTGAGCATGCTTCCTCCCACTTGCTACACTAGCTCAGTTATACTTGCACTTGTTTTGTGTGTGGCCAGTTGCCCTCAAGGGCTTTTTGTGGAATGATATCCATCCATCCATCCATTTTATACTGTCTAATAGCCAAACTTTTCTGGGCAGTTCACAGCAGTGAAGGAGAAGTCAGTTTATTTCTTTTTTAAAATGCTAAACTACAGTTGTAGATGCTCTGAAGTCTCAAGTATACGATATCAATCTGGATAAATGGTGTTTTACTGTATGTGCGGTTGGTATAGTAAATCTAACAGTTTTTTCTTCATTTTAGGTGGAGTACCAAGCAGGATCTGGAGGCCAGCTTCTTCTACAGCATTACCTTAATGACCTGGACAGTGCTTTGATTCCTATAATTCATGGTGGAACATCAAATGCTACAAATCTGCCACTGGAAATAGAATTAATATTTTTCATTACAGAATCTCTGTTAACATAACTGGCATGTATATTATGGTGTAGTGAACTGAATTGCTGACACTGAGCAATACCAAAGCAGTTATATTACACCATGAGCAAACTGTTCAGGATTATTTTTTTTAAACCAATGATTTAGCAGTAGATTTTTAAAGAGAATTTTGACTTCTGAAAAGCAATGTGCATTTCTCCTTAACCTCAACATGAAAACTCCATTTAAACATGTACAGTTCCCTAATGTTCTGAAACTTTACACTTAATACAGCCATGAAAAAAGCAAGGAAGGCTTAAAACTAGAGTGTTTTTCAAGCAAGTCTTTGTGGTGTTCCTTTTAGTTAAATGAAGTCTGAGTTATTAACTAATTTTGGCTTTTAAAAAATATTAACCTATTTAAGTAGGATGATTTCTAGTTGAATAGTTTCAAATATAAAAGCTGTTGATTTATAAAGAATTCTGGCATACTTAAAATGTCTAAGATAGGTTTGCACAAACTAATATTAGCTGTACAAAAACTGAGCATGTTTTTGCTAGATGTGATAATTTTGTAAGGCTCTGGTTTTTAACATTGATGTTTTGAAGTGTATAATGATGTTCCCAACAAATCACTTTTTGAATGGCTGACTTTCGTATACATTTATAATGGAATTATTGAACATAAAAATTAATATTCTGTATATTTAATTCCTACTTAATTTCCTTCTGTGCTCAGATGTGCAATTGTTTCTTGGATTTACCAAGAATGAGTAAGAATCCAGATGACCCTTAAAGTAGTCATCCTGTAGCAGTAAATCAGGCATGAAGCCTGACTGTGCTCCATTCTCTAATTTTTGAGACCTCTTTGTATCCCTGTTTATTTTCAGGGAGAACAATGTATTAAGTGTGAATTTTCATGAACAGTTAGTTGTAACATACCTGAGGCTCTTTATACAGTACTTATTTTTATAATGGGATGTATTCAGAAAAGAAGTGCTTATGTTTGAGCGTGATGATAAGGGTTTATACTTCAGTTTTGATGATGCCTGCATAATGTTCCTGTTCATTATGCACAGAAGTAGATTGTGTGCATGCGCATGCGTATGTGCACATGTGCATATCTGTGTCTGCCCATGTGTCTTTCATGTGTGATTAAAATGTTGCAATATTAGACTGCAAACTTACTGCATTCTAATTGTATCTAGATGCTTTATATAACTGTATCTACATGGTAGGGTATGTTTACATTCTATCAAAAATACAGTTTTTAACTAAAATGTTTGAGAACCTATGTTAGAGTGTCCTAAAATACTGTGTTAACATAAGCACCTGGTATCTATTATAGTTGAACCAATGCACTCCTTTGTGTTAAGAATTAAAATTTGTGGGCCAGTTCAGGATTACTGTAACATTTATCTTCATATAAGATATCTTTTGATCATCTTCTGATAGCAGTGAATACAGGAAAACAGCTGCTGGAAAGAATGCCTAGTGTCTCAAATACTAACTTCCATAGGTAGCCATGGCTTGTACAGAATAATATTGCATAGAAGCAGTTGCAATCATAATGGCTTTGTTCTCTCGAAATTGACTTTGCTTTATACTTTATAGATACCTAACAAAATTAAAGTTTCATTTTATCATCATTGTCATCATCATCTAGTATTTATAAACCTGTGCTTAGAATTTCAACAAATGAAGAACAAATGCATTTAACAAATGCAGTAGCATTTCAAGGGCTTGATAGATCACTTAAGATACCTTTTTCTGTTTCAGTGTCTGACTTTGGTTGAACATCAGTTCCTAGTCCGTGTTAAAAGTTCTAAAACAACAACAAATACCATGAAATGTCTGCACCTATTTTAAAAATGGATACCTTAAGCTAGTTGATAACAGTGGTATGTTCTAATCGCTAAAATCTTGGGTGGACTTACTTTGTATACTTAATAAATGTAAGACATTTGATTTTGGGTGTTATTGAAAACACAGTTAATGTAGGATGCAATCCCAAAAATTTCACAACTAGCTCTGTGTGTCTGAAACGGACTTAGTACTTGTGTTTCTCAAACAAAAGTCTCAAGATGCATAGCAAGCTGTTTTTGAGACAGACTCTAATACAGCTTTTGGGGAAACTGGTGTAGTGGGAGTCAAATACCACTGGGAAAATCCAAGTTCTCCACCAAATCCATACTTGTGTTATAAATATTAAATGAATTGAATATGAATTTAAGGTATCTTAGTTCTTTTATTTTAAGGTTAACAATCTTGAATAAAACATATTATTTGTAAACATGTTGTTATACTCCAGTAAGTTCAACTGCTACTTGTCTTCCTACTGCAATGTTTATCCTTACACCTGCAAAGAAAAAAGGCTTAAATAATTAGTAGCATTTGAATAAAAAATGTAGGCCAATTCAGTTAGATTTTTCTAATGGACAGATAAGACTTACTTGGTTAAGTGCTAATAAAATTTGTGTGGGTTGGATTTAACAAAGAACAAGAATGCTAGAATGCTGTAACTTAGATTTAATTAACTTCTTAGTAATATTTTGATACTGCTGTATTTGAAAAACAAAACACCAAGGCAGCCCAAAGTAATTTTGAACTAGTTTGAACAAGCTGCTCTTCAGTTATAGCCTCCCAGAGCCATTTATAGCAATCTAAATGTGCTGTAACCAAGACTTGGATAACTGTTGCCAAGTCAAACTGACTCAAGATGGGTTGCAACTGGCCCACCAAGGATAACTGTGCAAATACAGTCCTATTGCCACCATCTTAAAATCCAAGGATAGCCTATAAGCAAGGAGAATTCCCAAGCCTATGAACCTTGAGCCTTCAGGCGGAACACAACCCCTTTCAAAAAAAGCTGAACCTTTTCTGTCATGTTTTCTGCTCACCCATACCACCCCTATTTATTCTGAGTTCACTCCATTTGGCCCATGATTATAACACAGGGAAGCATTCAAGGGTTTCAAGTTTTCCCTGTTACTTTAAGAGCAATATAGTTTCATCTCATCATATTGGCACTCAAAAGATATTTTGACAGAGGTTTTATATAAATGTTAAATAACATGAAGCCCAAAATGGATCCCCTGTGGGTCACCATAAGCTAGCGGCTGCTGTATGGTTCCCAATAATAAGCCTGGTTAAACTAGTCTAGATCAAGAGAACATTTCTTTAGTAAAAGTCATTGGTGCCTCTCTTAAGCAATAACTCTGCAGTACGATCAACTTACAACCTTTCACTGATGTATTATTACATAGTAACTAATGCTATTTTCAAACCTATAGAACTCATTTGTTCAAAAATTTGTGTTATTTTTCCTTACACCCATACTACAGCAAGGGTGTAGTAGGAAAGATACCTTTCACCTTCTGACCAGACTGTATGTACTCCTGATGACTTGGTGACTGATTCTGCCAATTCCTTTCTTTATGTTCAGTTAATTGTCTAATCTGTATTCCCTAGTTGCGAAGGTTTACTATCAGTATTTGTCATAGTCTCTCATGTAATAATGTAAGAAATTAGAATAAAAAGTGGTCAGATTATATGGACCATATAGTTTCAGTAAACAAATTAAGTCTAGTAAGTCTAATTTTGGTAATAATTTATTACCTACATCCTCCATGGACCAAAGTGAAGTTCAGTGAAAAGTCATGTGCGTTTCTCTTTTCCTGACTACCATATTTTCATGGTTTGAGGTTTTGCCAATTGCAGGTTTAAATTTTAACTGTACACTTTTTATTCAAATATGCACTTCACTTTGTAAAGGCATTGAGCTGGTTCGCACAAACAAGCCACAATAACTTAAACAAGTTACCTTTTGTCCCTTTCCTGTGGTGACACCAGCCCTTTGCTAAGGATAACCAGCACTAATAATGTTTGTGCTACCTTTGTAGCCTTGCTAAGAATTGCTCTAAGGCTATAGCTAATAGATGAAAATGTCCACAACCATTGCACTGCCACTTCCCACTCCCAAATAATGCACTTTACTGACAGCTGTTGCTTATCGTTGTTTTTCAATTTTAGCTCCATAGTAAAGCTTTAAAATAATCATTCTGACCCATTTATTACTGCTAGTGTACTATGTATAGGTTGCATGGTTGTGGTAACTTAAATAATACATCTAGACTATCATTGCTATAGACGGCATTTAGAGGAAAGTTGGGATACAAAATTTAATTCAAAATAGTATATTGCTAATACTGGAATAGTGTACTATTAAAGATAGTGCTCCATTATCTCTCTAATTGTCACTTAATCTTAGAATAAGAGTTGGAAGATCAGTCTAATCCTTGTCCAAACCAGACTCTATACTGCAAGATAAGAGCTACAGCTTTCCTGACAGATGTCCATCCTCTGCTTAAATACCTGCAAAGGATAAGTCTCTACCTTCTAAGTCAATCTGTTCCAACCCCTGCTCAGGAGTTGTCCAGAAGTTTCTCCTAATGTTTAGCTGAAACTTCTTTCCCTGCAATTTCTTCCTGTTGATTCTAATCCTAACTTGGACCAACAGAGAACAAGCCAGCTCTATCATCTGCATGTCAGCTTTTCAGATAGTAGAAGATGGCTGTCACGTCTCCCCTTAATCTTATTTTCTCCAAGTTAAACACACACAGCACTTTCAAATGTTCCTCATAGGATTTGGCTTCCAAACCTTCATCATCCTGGGTTACTCTCCTCTGGTCACACTATATCTTCTCAATGTCCTCCAAATGGAACATCCAGAACTAGACAGAATACTCCCAGTGTGGCCTAACACAGAACAGAGCAGAACTATGACTTCCCATGGTCTGCTTACTATGCATATATTATTGTGGCCCAAGATTGCATTAGCCTTCTTAGCTACCATATCACCCTGCTGGTTCTTATTCAGTAAGTGATCCACTACATTTACATTGAATATTACCATTTATCCCAGTGATCCTGTCAGTCTGGACCCTTTTAAATCTTGCTCATTCTATGGTGTTGGTTATCCTTCCAAGATTTGTGTCATCTGCTAGTTTGATGTGCAAATGCTCTATACTTGACAAAAATGCTGAACAGTCAGGCTCAGGATAAGTGAAACTTCCCTCCAGGAGGATGCTAATTAGCACTTGCTGGGTACATTTGCTCAATCAACTGTGGATCCACTTAATTGTAGCATTGTCCAACCCACATTTTACCAGCTTGTCTACAAAGAAACAATTGAGAAATTCTGTTAAATGCTTTGTTGAAATTGAGGTATAGTACATCCATAACATTCCTATGATTGAGCAAACCAAATTCATAAAAAAGGAGATATGGTTAGTCTGGCATGACTCATTCCTGTTAAGGTTATCCTGCCCTTCCTTAAATTTCCTGAATTCAGTAGCACTTCTGAATTACTATCCCAAAGACTGTTTTTAATACTTTTCTAGTCTGGTTTCGGAAGCTAGACCCACAGATATCTAATTGCTACATGTATATACAAATAAATACACCATCAAAACAATATTCGATACTTGAAGCATTACAATCACACAAGATTATAATGCAGCAGATAAAACGTTTGTTCAAAAGCACAGTGTGCTCTGGACATTGGAAAAGTACAAGTTTTAAAAATACTCTTAAAGAACTGCAACGAGGAAACGGTACATCACTCATCCGCTGGAGGACGCCCTTCCAAAGCGGCGGCACCGTCACACTTCCCTGCTGTAATTTCCACTGGAAAGAAACAATGGTGATTTACACCCTTTATTTCCTGCTCAGGCTTGCTCCTGCTTACCCACCGGCCAGGTGAACAGGCGGTGGCTCGCTCCTCTTCATGGTCAAGAATCCCCTAGCAGCCCTTCCCATTAAACCTGCAGAGAACCCCTTGCCCGTCCACCCCTGAAAGCTGGAGTCGGCGGTGGCCGCTTCTAAACCTTTGTGGACTTGAACTCCGCTTTCGTTCATTCAGGAGCAAGGTCATTCCTGGCTACAGAAGTACTCCAAAGTAGCTGCTCGTGCTTTCTGCACATGGCTGTCCTACTTATCCCATGCTTTCCTCAGGGGAAACTCCTGCACCACAACCAATCTGAAAGAAGCATACTCTGAATGCCACCTGTCAGTCTATCGCCATGTCTCAGGACTTCAAAAGCGGGAGAATAAGAAAAAGGAAAGCGCGACAAGCCTAATTAAAGCAGTGCATTCTTTGCAAGGGTAGAGCGAAAAATCTCTGCGCTGCCCCTTTACCCTTTAAGGGACAAAAGAACAAGTTTACAATGCGAAACACAGGACTGGCACGTTTTGGAGCTCCCCGTGCACGGGGCGGAAGGATATGTGGCTACGGCAACGCAGCGCGCTCGTCACGGCCGGCGCTCAAGGCCTGAGTCGAGCTGGACAGCTTGTGCTCCTCGGCTGGACATGGAAGGGGGCAAGCGGGGTAAGCGAGCCGCGCGCCGCCTGGAGGGGCCACGTCCTCCGCCCTTTTCACAGTGCTTGGTCTGGGAGCCCCCGGTGTCGCCGTGGGTGGGCCTGTTGGGGTGCTGGGAGCCGGGCTCTCTCGCCATCTTTAGCACTGAACGCGGAAGGGACAGTTCCTTTATTGGCAAAGGAGACATGAAATCGGGTTTATTATGCTTTATTAACTATTGTGCACCTTCCAGAGAGTTTCGGCTATTGGGCAGTATAGAGGTAAAATAAATATTTTAAGTAGACGACAAGCTTCTCTGTTAGTTTCAAGATAAATATTTTGTGGTCTGAATAAACATTGCAAGTAGATATGCCGGTTAGGACAAAACAATACCCAAAGTGTAAGGGGGATAACTTTGTATTTGGCTGCATTAACGTGCTAGAGGGCTTGATTTTCTTTTCATGGTCCACGCAACAAATGATGTACTCTTGTAACGTAGGATAACAACTACTTCCTCTAAGGCTGTTTATTCCATTTATTTTCCCTTAAGTATTTCTGAATTAAGCACGCCCGCCGCTTGCACATTCCTGCTTACATTTTGTTCTCTATACTTCTGATATAAAATTTTGATTCCCTGTGTTTGAACTTTTGTAACTTTACCGAGGCCTCAACCCGGAGAGCGGCTTTAACTGGATCCAGTCTGCAGAACAGCCGAAAGACTCCTGAATTTATAAACCTTCTGTCAGTGATAGACAGAAATTAAATATTTTTGTGTGTAAGACAGTGATAGGCATCTGTCTTGCTGCTCCATTGTTAAGTTTGGAGTGTGGTACGACAGCATAGGCTCACGATGGGCAAAAGGAAAGATCAAAGTGTAGATGGTGAGAGATCAAGATGGATGATGGATTTGCTCTTAAAGGTATGAAAGCATTTGAATTGTTAGTAAGAATGCTGATTTCTTTTGAAAGAGTGGGCTGCTCTGTATTGTGTGAACGCTTCAGTAAAGAGCTTTTCTGGTAGATCTTGCTGGTAGGGGTCCCTCCCCCCCTCTCCCCCGCTTGTGGTTAGGGGATTAGGGATTAAAATCGCAGACACTTTCATAAGCTGAGAGTGGACATGATTACCAGTTCTGAAATAACTGCCCCTGTTATTACTGTTTTGCTGCTTGATGGAGTTCTGCTTTATTTTATGACATGACTGTGCTTCACTTACACAACATTAATAAATGTGGTGTAATAAACTATTCTTAAATTCTCTTGGAAAAACATGTTCTCACACTAATGTTCTCAATGTAGGGTTTGGAGATGAAAATATATTGGATTACTTTCTGAATGCCAAGCAAATTAAGACAAGAGATGGAGCTGAAATCATCTGGTATCATAGAGCAAATAATAAGTTACAAATGAAAGAGGCAATACAAAGTCAGTATCTACTAGAAAACATTTGAATGTATATTAATGCTTAATGGAGAATTTTATAAAGTTTCAATATTAATTTTATAATATAACATGGAAACACTTTTTGAGCAATAAACTTCAACAACATTGTCTCTGATTTGTGGAAAGAAAAGAATATGTTTTTTATTTTTAAAAAATAATAATCAAGTCATAGAGATACTCCATTCCCTGGTAGCCGTGGCATGCTGGTAGACAAAATACAAGAAGCACCATGTGCTTGGAACTATTTCCCAAAGCTTCCTATTGTAGCATCATTCATTTACATTTATCATAGAGACTTCTGCTGTGTCCTTCAAACAATTTCCCTGGGTGGGAAATACAGGCAACACCATTGCATGTCCTGATCGAAACCCTCTTATCATAGGCTAAAGGGGCTTTTGGCAGGCTTGCATCAGCTCTTCCACTATTAGCTTTTCAGCTGCAGAGCTTGCCAAGCTGCAGTGGGGCTTTTACAGAGCCCCTTCCCCATGATGGAGTTTCTTTCTGCCAGTGGGGACCAGTAGGGGGCACCTCTTCCTAATTCTTACCCCTTGCACTGAGCCTCTTTTGGGTGTTGGGCTTCCTCTGTTAGCTAGTTGCTCTTAATTGTCACTGAAACCAATGCAGCCAACAATTTAAAAAAAAAATCCATGAGATCTAAATGTGATAAACTTAGTCTGGATCCAGAATGCTTTTATTTGTTTTTCCTTATGCTGAAATAGTAAAAATCTGTGGCAATGCAAAAAACACCCAGTTAAGTAAACGTTTTCATATGCTTAATATTTATTCATAAGTATGGATTCAAGTTTCCAAATGCTGAGTATAAAGCTATCTAGAACATCATCTGAGCAAATAGTGTTTAATCTGAGAGGCAACAGCATGCATTTGATTCCCATTTATTTTGGTGTGACCTGTGCAAGAGACAGTCATAGCAGACTATAACGTAACGTAAATTGCTGTGCTGTTCCCAAATTAGACTGCCTAAATCCCACTGAAACTAATAGAATGAAAGCACCATAGCTACATGTAAGACTGTTGCTGTAGCATTTTATTCGTAGAATGTTTTTGCTGCATAAAACTGAATAGCCCTGATCCATTTCCACTTGTGCATAAATCCAGCCCAATATTCACATAATGCCAATCAGCTCTTTGATTGGAAAAGACACTAAAACCTGTCCCTAACTGCTGTTGGCTGGAGCTATACATATATGGCCTTAGCTAGTAATCAGACTGGTGAGTTGCACAAACATCCCCTGTCTGCAGGTGTGATTTCTCTCCCTGCTGGAGACATGCAAGCAGAAGCTTGCTTTCATATACACATGGCCTTAATTAGGTCAGGATAAATGGTTTCAAATGTTTAAGTATTTATTTCTTGTGAAAGATGTTTAATATTTGCATTAATATTTTAAACTAGGTATTCACATTTCAGCAAGCAAATAATGTTAGAAAAAGCAGCTAAATTTATCTAAGTTTAATGCAGTAGACCTGTTTTGTTAAAGGGCAAATTAGTGGTTCCTCGGTGAATTCTATAGCAATCTCTACTGGATTAAACTAGTTCTTCTTTGATATAAATAATAGAAAACTATTTAATTATCCAGAAAAATTTTGGAAATTCCTGTTGCTTTTTATTATTATTTATTCAACTTCAACTTATATTCCACTGTACTGGTCCGAAGACTCTCCAAGTAGATTACAATATTACATAAAATATTTTTTCTGTTTTTGTTTTCTGTGTAAAACAGGTACAGCTCACATGATAGAGGCAGATATTCTTCTTCAAGAAGGGGTAGGAAGAAGTGAACCTGTCATGGCTCATCCACCTGAAACATCTAGTGATAACTCACTACAAGAATGGCTAAATGAGGTTAAAAACACTAACAAGGGCATCAAGCTTGATTTTAAAAGGTATTTGGGAAATCCATATATGGGTTTTATCTGATTAATAAGTATGTACAATTAAATCTGTAATCCTAAGCATGTGTGCAAGGGAATATAGTCTGTTGAACTTGGTGGAACTCCTGAGTAAATGTGTTTAAGATTGCATTGTAAGGGTTGTCTCTGGTATTAATCCCACTCATCCATTGACATGAATGTGTTTAAGTTAGGCTGACATTGGATACTATCCTTAGTTCTGATCTATAGTATTAGAATTATATTGCATTTTATAGCATTTTCATCTTCTTGTGTAGGAAAATGAATACAGTGTCATTAGAAAGTCCTGTAGCAAACTTAATTAGTTAATTAATCAGGGTTAATTTGAGCTTATTTATCAATTATATCAAAATACTATGTCAGGAAATATTTCAGTTGGGAAGTCCCCCCCCACCCCCATGCAGATTACTTTCATGTTTCTTTAATAACAATTCTGCTCATCATTTGATCTGAAGCCTCATTTTTTGTACATGTTTATGTTATTATTTAGTTATCTAGTTTCCTATTTAATTATTCAGTTATTTCACTTGTCTGTTGCAATTACAGTGCAGAAGGTGGCGTAGGGTGCAATCCAGACTGAATGTTCATAATTCCCAGAACCCAGGATTACAGTCCTCCTGTGCAGGGCGGAAGAAGTAAGGAGCTGAAAGTAGCCTCCATGCTTCTTCCACCCTGCAAAACCAGTAGATGATCATTCTCACAGCTTGGAATGTGAAGGCAGGAAGCTGGTGCCACCAGGATGCTTTGTGAACTGCTGACACCCATCTCCTACCCTCTGCTCTCTATGCACCCATCTCCAAGGATCCTGTTGTGACCATGGAGACAGGGCAGGTGCTGTTCTTTCCATGGCAGCTGAGGGCAGGGGCATTGCCTCAGCATTAAAGTTACAAATTTAATAAATAATTTCAGTGAAACCATTCAGCAAAGACACTTGCAGATGTAATATATAACTTTACTAACAAAAGATGCAGTTGTAACAGATATTAAAAGACAGCAGAAACCATAGAGCTTTACAGTACAATTAATGGGTTTTTTTGACATGTATATATTACTTCAAGATCTTCTACAGCTTATTAATAATTTTAAATATAGTCAGTAGTATATAAGCTTATAAAACTAAATAAATAAATTTTCAGTCTGTACAACATCACTATTAATTTTCTAAACTGGAAGTTCATGGCTTTGAGGATCTTAAAAAGAGAAAAGAGCATTCTTTGAATTGATCCTAAGATGTATTGTAGTATTAAAATGTACTGCATATTTCTCCCCTACATAAACAATAATGCATTGTCCTGTGTTTATAGCTTAGCAGCAGTGAATCCCTCAATAAAGCTTCTTGGAGATCTAAAACTGAGGCAGCCCATTTGGTTGAATGCAGATATTCTTCCTGGCCCAAATGGAAGTAACTGTGTAGTAGATGCAAAGGGGTTCCTAGACACAGTAACATCATTTTTCCCAGCTGTGACTTTATCACTGGGATGGACAACTGATTGGATTAATCTCAAATGCAATAAAGGTAAGAATGGTCTGTAAAATCTTGGATGTAGCTGCAGATCATATGCATTGCCAGAAAGGAGTAGGTCAGGAAAACCACAGAGACAGCTTACCTGTCTCTTTAGGAGATGAGTTCTTTTGCTTATTTCAGGAACCACTAGTACCTGCTACACATTCATCTACCTACTATTGCCCAGATACAATGCAATACCATTACCATTTTTGTTCTAGGAGACAATGCCCATTAGTTATTTAAATGTTTCCTTTATAAAATGTAATGAATGTTTCCTTGGGCTTGGTCATTTCAGACCGTCTTATGTTCTTAAATAAAAAGAAGCTACAGACTACAAGAGATGCCATTGAGGATGTGGATTCAGTCTTTGAAAGTTGTACTGTTCATTCTTTTTTGTAGGCTATAGTTCAGCAATGGTGCAGGAGATGGCAGCAATATGTAGCAATCTAGTACAGCCAATAACATTTCCTGTAAGAGCCGCTTTGGTGCGCCAGTCCATATCTGAACTTACGTGGTTATTACAGCAATCAGACAGGTATGAGTAATGCCAATTAGTTATTTGTTTTAGTAATGTATTCTTTCAGTCATTTAAAGCTATTTCATTTTCTGTGCAAATGAAACAAATCATACTTTAAAAGTTTTCGAAAAGTTTGCCTGTAATTATTCATGTTAGTTCACTGTTACATTATGTAGTAACATAAAGGAGGATATAATATTGGTTATTTTCATGAAAAATATGACCCAAGGTTCAGTACTTCCTGCTCTAAATGCACACTGACTTTCCATGCTAGGATGAGAAACTGATGTGTTCACTGACCGTTGTGCAAGACAGTGAGGAGTCTCTACATGAAGATGGGCAACTTGTAGGCTAAAGCATTGAGAGGGCTGTGACCCCCATCAGCCCTAGCCAGCTGTAGGCCAAAACGTCTGGATAGCCCCAGGTTTCCCTCTACTGGGGGAAAACAAACACAAAGCTTAACATTAAGTAATCAGTTCAGTATTATTGATGCTAATAGAAATTGAGCAAAGTAAAAAAACTTATACATACTTTAGGAATATAATAATATTTGGCTTTTAGGTAGTGCTTATAATCTGGATTTGTTAACTTTCATTAGGCCAGAATTGCCCACTTCAGATCTAACAACCAACTCTAATCTCATGCAGACATTGGAAGAATGCATGGGGCATAAAGCACTAGAGGTGAGAGCTTCACCTGGTGCTGGCGCTATATTCTTTTCATCGTCGGGCGAAAGCCTTTTTGTTTTCCTATCGTTTTAATGTTTTTTAATGTTGTAAGCCACCCCAAGGCTTTGGCGAATGGGGCAGCATAAAAATGTTTTAATAAATAAATTTATTTATAAATAAATAAATAAATAATGTTTAGATGATTTTAACTGGGCTTTTATTATCTTAAGTCGTTGGATACTGTACTGCTTTGTTTTCTCTTACTCGTTTTCACTGTAAGCTCTCCCAAGATGGTAGTGGTGGGTGGGTTAGAAAAGCTTTTAATAAATAATAAATAAAGGCGTGGGGGCATACAAGCCAGCGTTGCCTTTGACATCTTGTCTCTGTTCCCCACACTGCTGACCTTCTGCACAGCTCCCAGTCACTGGGATGATGTCAAGTACATTCAGCTCATTCTACTTAGAATCTGCCTTCAAACCTTAAGTGGAACACAGGAAGACTGGTATTAGAGCCCCATACTTGCAAGAGGTTTCTGGATGAACAGAAGCCGGGAACAAAGCTCCACAATCCATGCATGAGGCTGGGGATGAGGGAAGAGCACTGGGCCTTGGCAAACATTCTTGGCTTCATAAATTATGAGCCATGCCTTATGAAGCTGGGAAGCCAGCCACTGCATTTAAAGAAGCTTCATAGCTCTTTTTTACAGATAATTGAATTACACAGCTGATAATATGACTATCAAAAATAAGTAGGTTGCATGTCATGACTGTCATAGAGTAGCTTTTATTTTGTAGAACCATTTTTATCATGTGAATCTGAGTTATACCAATCTTATACCAATGTCAACCTGCATTTTATTTGCTTAGTTTGTTTCAGTTGTTTGACATTTAATGTAAAATAAATCTATTCTGGTTACTCTTATTCCAGATACACTCTGACCATTTGGACAGGAAAATATGATGAATATTCTGTAGAAGATCTACTCTACATCAGAGACAGCTTTGATAAAAATAGAGTATTTTATGATCTCTTAGAACCGCAAAATTCTGAATTCAGAAAAGCCATAGGAATGCACATCACAGCATAAAGAAAACTGACTGTTCAAATGATACCTTGTGGTATCATATCATTGACTGTGGAAAATGCAGTGGCTTGGATTCTAACTTTTATATTATGATTGGAGCAAATTACATGGAATGAGGCTTTGTATCTCCCCTTTCCCTCTGAGACATCTCTCTTCTTCAACTCTGCTTTTGTGGATTGGTAGATCTTCGGGAAAAGTGTGGAATGTTTTGTGAGGAGTCATAGATGGAGGGAAATTTGTGGGGAAATTATCCCTCCCCCATGAATGCTGTAGTAATGTAGGATCCAAGCTCCTTTTTTAAAATCAAAGATTAAACCAAAATAGAATTATTGCAGTTCTTATGTCTTTCAGGACATTATCTCTGTACAAGGTTGGAGTTCTCAAATTGAGAAAAAGGTCTTCCAGAAATTCTGTTTACTCTGGAGGTCACCAGCTTCGGCACTGACAAAGTGGAGCTGTCCCTTTTCTGTGGCTGCTCTGCAATCAGACTCACTTTGTTGTCAGGCAGTAGGTGGTTCCATGGTGTCACTATGTACAGACATCTTAATGGTTGACTTGAGAGAATGATTCTGCCAAGCATTCATGATATAACTGAGGTTTATTAACGGCACCAACATCATTTTGATTCATGATGAGAAATTAAATGTTGACTAATCTTTCCCCTCCCCCTGCCCCAGAGTAGTTTTCTAAATAATACAGTGCTGGTTCCCAGTGGGCATATACAGTACCTTGTACTGGAAATCCATTAACAGCTATACTTATATCTATGCTCTCATAAACATGGAACATGGTATGTGACCAACTGCCTAAAGTCAAACTCTGTGAAATAGCTAGGATGACCCTCATCCTTCAGCCATGATCGCACCCTGAAGGACTTGGAGCAGGCATTCTTGATTCTGTAATAGTCACTCAGAGCACTGAAAATGAGCGACTAAGATGGGCAAGTCCAGAAAAGAGTTACTATAGCCTAGGCTTATTTCATACATGAAATTACTTGAGGTGGTGGTGAGTTTGAAGTGATGAAAGAGATTTATACCTTACCTATGAAAAGTCATGCAACAGTAAACAAGCTAGTTTTTAAAGTACAGCAGGCTTATTTATCACTATACTTGTAAGGTGCCTGTGGGAAAAACTGCATGCCCTGTTCTCAAATACCATTTTTCCTTCCTTGCTTTGCTCTTTTGTTGTCTGTGCTATCTATATTTTCTGTCACTGTGGCTTATCACATTGCTCCCACTGCTTTATTTGGCCTCCTGCCTTCCGTGCTACATCTGTGCACAGTGAACTGTCCAACTTAATATTGGGCCTTTGACGTTAATAAGGCCCGATTGCTACAAAGGACCGGTGTGACCTGAAACAAAATGTTGCTGTATGGAATGCTCTTGCTCAAAGGTCTAGCCAGCCAGTCATACCCATTTCCGGATACTCTGTTCCCCTGCCTCCCAATTTCTTCCCTTCTCCCACCTCTTCCTGCAGTCAGTCAGCATTCTTTGCCCACTGAGCTTGCTCGGTCCTCACTGATTTGCTCTGTGGATTTCTCAAACCTGCCAATTCCTACCTTTTGTCTGTAGCTTATGCGAATTTGGCTATAGGATGAATGAGTTTGCTGTTAAGATTAGGATATAATGGCACTAAGAATGAGGTTTTCAGAGGCCTGCTTTGGGTTCTGATTCACGGGCTAACATATAGCACTGAGCTACCTTGGGCAGTCGGGCAGTACTGTTTTTGAGTTGGTGCCACAGCTCTAGAATTCTCTCATGCTTCTTATTCCCCTGCCTTCAACCAGCCTTCCTTCTGTGAATAGAAAGGCTACAGTCAAGTGGTGGCCCCTGTTCATGACAAGGGATGGGGAAGCCGCTTTTATGAATTGTCCCTACAGGCTCCTGTAGAATTTCCAAACAGCTCCATTAGTTCATCATCATCTTTTAGAAAAGATTTTCACGGGGGGAATGTGAAATATTGCTTTGTAACTTCAACTCACAGAATCATTTGATCCAGCCTCTTTTTGCACTCCTCTTGTGTGTACACCAGTCTGCCCCATCCTGATGTTCTTCCTATATTTGGGAGTTCAACTTCCATCATCCCCACTAGTATGGCCAATGGTCAGTTGTAGTGCAAAACTCCTATAGGACACCAGGTTGGGAAAGACATTACAATACAGAGATTAGATAGTTTCCGGAGTCCTAGCATTCTTCTCATTCTATGCTTAAGTATTTTAGTTAATAGCATTTGAAGACTATTTTATGGAAGTGTACAGTCCCTGTTTGTTATGTTACCCTGTATTATTATGGAAAAAACAGGGTAGGGGAAAAGCAAGCTTGAACTGATGCCAATAACCTTTTTTTTTTTTTTTTTAAAGGAAACAGTGACTAATTTTCTGAATACACCAGCTCTTGCCCTCTCTGCGTCCTACTGTGCTGCTTTAGTAGATGGAGATGGATCTGTTTTTCCCTCCTCATGGTGCAAGAATCTTAATTTCTGCACCATAGAGTTAATGTAATTTCTTTATTGATTTTATGTTTCTAGCTTTGTCTGATTAGAACAACTAATCACATTTATACCAAATGAACAACACTTTTGAACAGGACAAGTAAAAGGAAGCACTTTGACACACAACATATAAATTAAGAGATTTGCTAAAACTAATGTGATGGCCATCAGTTTGGCTATCTTTAAGAGAGGGTTAGAAAAGAGAGGGATAAATCAATCAGTGGCTACTGGTCATAATGGCTTTATATTACCTCCGGGATTGGACACCGTGTCCCCCTGAATATGAATTGCTGGGGTGCTGGTCTCTTTCTGGCCTGATGGTTGGCTTCCTGTAGGCAGCCGGTGAGCCCCTGTATGAGGCGAATGCTGGAGTAGAGGCCTTTAATCAAACTATGTTCTTGTTAAGGTCTCATGAAGAATCACTTCTCAAAAGCTCCTGAAAATAAGCATGCTTTTGTTTCTTAAACACCTTTGGTTCTGATACGTCCACTGTAGAGAACAGGACATGATGGAGGGCTTTTACTGATGAAATCGCCATAAGCTGGAGATAACTTGATGACACATAACAATAACAACAATTTTAGCAAGTAGAATTATTTGCATCTCACTGTGTTTCACAGCCTGTGATGTTTCACTTGAGAGGAATGAAACTCAAGAGGAATATTACATTGCAAAGCTGAAAGGTAAAACAAATAGTTTTAATTTCAGCAAAATATTAACATGGATAAAATGAAACATCTACAAAGGGTAATGTATTTTGGAATTCTGAGCAGGCATATTGACTCTTTAGCTACCTGTAACAGTTTGTTAATATTAGAGTGTAATTAGTCTTGGAGTGGAACTACAGCATTATAGTTTGTTTCTGCAAATTAATTTTGCAGCAAAAGGAAATACCACTTCTCTTCTTAAACATCTGTTTCCTTTTAGCATTCAACATTCAGGTCCAAGCTTTTTGTATATTGACAGAAGACACATCCAATATCGTGAGTCTTTTTCTATCTATTTTCCATGTAGTGATAATTATAAAGCCTTTTGTTAAAATTTGAATAATTTTTTTCTATACTTCCTGTAAGACCTATGTTATCTCCCATACAAAGCTGTGCCGTGTTTGGAAACTGAAAAATTTTATCCTTATAGATACAGGTTATCTCTTTCATATTACCAATGCCTGTGTGCACTAGAGAATACATAAAGGAAACCTTAATGGTTCTAAAATGATTTGTTGTTACATGATCTCTTTCTTCAGCCATAATAAAGCTGCTTCTGAAATTACCAGTGTGACTCTGATAGAATTTGTCTGATACAAGATATTGTTAAGACAGCTACTTACCTCTGTATACAGACAAGATTGCCTGAATGTAATAACTTCATTAATATTTGAAACAAAATTATACAGATTACTTGAGGGAGTGGGATGTTGTGTTTGATCTGTTACCTTGAAAAGCTAACTGCAGCTTTTCTATATAGTGTAGCAAGGTTTCACGTAAGATAGTTTCAAATAAGGTAGTTAAAAACTAAAACAGAATTCTATGACAATTTTAAAGACTAATAAATATATTATGGAATAATATTTGTGAATCAGAATCGACTTATGAGCCATCTGATGAAGTGGATTCTGATTCACAAAAGGTTATGCCCACAACAATTGTGCTAGTTTTAAGGTGCCATAATACTCCATTATTTTTCCTGCAATAAACTAACACAGCTACTATCACTTTCTGACTACTAAACTATATCATACGTTTGTAGAATATTGCCTCCTAAAAAAATTCTCTCTAGTGCATTAATTAGAATTAGGAGGACGTGCGTAACAAAATCTTGCTTTTATGGAACAGAATACTTTAAACAGCTAAGAAAGTTGGAGGACGTAAGACCAGTGTAAGAAATTGGCAGACTCTGCAGTGTTTGAAGTACATACATGTGGAAATCCCTTGTTCAAATCTTCAATCTTTATAACGCTGTTGGACTTTGCATACATGAACAGGGATGTTGGTATAGCAGCATCTATCAGAAATCTGCACATTTCCTTTACCATCTTTTGTCATTCTGATTTGTCTTCATTAAGATGGTGTCAGAAAAGACTGCAATTCCTGCCAGATAAATGTCATGCCTGTATCATCAGAAATTGTTGCTGAACTTGTCATACTATCCCCTACCACTTATGTACATGTGGAGGTTTAATTCTGAGTCACTACTACGTCTGTTTGGCCTCAGGGGCACAAATCAACACAGCAAAATTCAGTAAGAATAACCGTGTTAAGTTTTGATTGTATGTTACCAGCATTCATTGACCATGACCAGCTCCCTAAATAACACCCACACTTGGAAGTAACAACAGATTGCCATTTCTTGATCTCTCTTGTAGAGATTAGACTACATTTAGAATTTTTTGAGATGAGTATGGAAATTTTGTGCAATATGGAAAAGAAAATCAAAAGGATTTTCATTTTGAAAAACTATGGTTGCCTTGAGTCAAGACGCTATTAGGGAGAAGAAAACTTCCTTTAAAAAATGGAAGTCCTGCCCAAATGAAAAGAACAGACAGGACCACAAGCTTGCAAAACGGAAATGCAAATGACCATGTGAAAAGTAAAGAAACAGTTTGAGTAATGCATTGCTAATAATAGGACTAACAATAAAGAACTCTTTAAATGTATCGAAAGAAAGCAACTAAGGAAGTTGTTTTATTGGATGATAATGGAATTAAAGGAGCACTTAGGGGGAGAAGAGATTGCCAAAATATTTAACATGTCTTTAACATTAGCCCTTGTACCAGAGGATTGGAGAATGGCCAATGTAATACCCAAAAGTCTTAGAAAAATGCAAGTAAGGGGAGATATTTAAAGATGATTAAAATAATGGTGTGGAGAAAGTAGAGAGGGGGACATTTTTCTCCCTCTCCCAGAACACTTGAACCCAGGGTCATCCCATGAAGCCAATTGGTGGAAGGTTTAGGACAAACATTCTTCATACAATGTGTAAAATACTGAATTCACTGCTACAGGAAGTGGTGATAAATGCCATTCTGCATGGATTGAAAAAGGGATTGGACGGATCCATGAGGTGGCAGCTATCAGTGGCTACTGGCTGGCTTGTGCTGTCTCTTCCTCCAGAGATGGCATGCCTGTTGAGGAGCTTCGGCTGGAGAAGGTCTTGCACCCATCATGCTTGAGGGATCCTGTGGGCAGCTGGTTTGCCACTGTGTGTACAGATGGACCTTTGGTCTGATCCAGCATGGTTTACATTGCATCATGCATGGAGCATATTAAATGACTATGGAATGAATTATTTATAGGCACATAAATCAGAGCAGTAATACACCAGGATGAACAGTCAGGGTAACTGGAATTAATGGGTGTTGGGCACCACTTCGCAGTGACTAAAATTATTAAAGAAAGGGTGGGTAACCTCAGGTCTAGGTTCCCCAGATGCCCACATCTGTTTCCTTGGCTCTACTGCCATTGCACTCCCACTGTATTTGGCTATTTCTAAGCTTTTATGTAGTTTTTTCCTCATTCCAAAAGGTTGAAATTACTCTTCTAAGACTTACTGGGAGCAAAACCTTGCTATACTGGCATTGTATTTTTGGCCCAACACCCTTTAGCCTCTAGCCCAAACCACCACTGTGGTATAGCTGCTTTCCTTAAGTTTCTCCAAAACTGAATTCAGTCCTTGAGCTGAAAACAGTTCCCCACCAATTTTAAAGCTTGCAACAAGGGTTGTCTTTGATTAGAAATCTAAAATTTGCCCATGAACACTTCCACCGCAATATCCATTCTCTCTGCCCCTGTGTATTTTAATGTTTAAGGTCAGGAAAATGTGGTTGTAGAGTCAGGTAGTTGCAGATTCACCACTGTATTTTTTTAACATAAAACAGTCTACCAAAACATTCCTAACAACATAGAACGAAATACTGCTAATGGTTCAGGGCTTTCATAGAATCATTGTTAACTGTTGGAATGACCAGGAATTCTTGAGAAATTGAAATCTACATTTTTTAAAGAGCCAGACAGTGCCAGTTATCAAGCAGTACAGATATTTTGATGAATGTTTCCTTGCAGGAACTATTCTGATCAGAAAAGTTAATGATAACATTTACAATTAACGGTGCTCTTTTTGCATCCCATAAAACACAAGTAAGTAACAAAGCTGTCTTTCATCACGTGTATGTTGTAAAAAAGCGGCTGCATCAATCCAGGGAGGAGGAATGTTGTCAATGGGGACACGAGGAGTCAGGCACAACTTTGTGGCTGAACGACAATCCAGCAAGTCTATCTCAAGAAGCAGCTTTCTTTCTGCAGATAATATAGATGCAGGTGCTTATGGGTGTGAACATTCCCATCCTTGTCACGATGCTGACAGGGTTTGTATTTTGATGTCGTATCAGCTAGCTACACACAGCTAGAACTGGAACGTGGCCAGGATAACTGTAGTCAAAAGGAAGAGGAAGATGTGGATTTCTATCCATGTTGCACTTGACTTGCAGTGGAGACTCAAAGTGGTTTTTTCTTTTCTCAATTCGAAGGACCGTGGGAGGAACATCTCCACATACTGTCCCTGATAAACATACTGACTGGTTTTGCACATTCACTGTCACAGTGGGTTTTGTCAGTGAGGTTATTTAAACCACAGTAGGTTGCAGAATCTGCTGAGTGACTTTTGAATATTCAGTTTACAACTTGTTATGACATCCAACCCAGTGAAAAAGGATTCTTAACACATCACCCAGACGCGTGGGTTGTTTTAGAGCTGTAGGTGGCTTGTTAACCATCTCACCTTTGCCAGCTCAACATGACAAGCTGGAGTGATGGTTTGACCATTCCATAAAGCAGCCCACCTACACTGCAGCCCACCATGGCTTAAATAGTTGACCATGCAGAACAGCTCTCTATCTTGCATTTCTCCTCTTTGCTCCTTTCTGGCTTGTCTCTGCTGCATCTGATAGTCTGGTAGCAGTTGCCTTTGCATTCTCTAGGAGATTCCTCTCCCCTGCATACCTCAAAAGAAAATGCACATCAGCTTCTCGAAAATCTCATTTACATTTTACACGTATGTTTGTAGGAGAAAAATCACACAGGGAAAAGCCTGTATACAAGCATGTGCAGTTAACAGAAGAGCTCCTAGCCAATGCAGTGGAAACAGAGCAGCTGCTTGAGTCATGAGAGTTTCATCTCACTCCCTTGCTCTTTCTTTCCGCAGCCCCTCTTCAGACTCCTGCATGTTTAACTGAGAGGCTTTAAAGGAAAAAAGAAGGGAAGGCACACTCGTAGCATGAAGAATAGGGCGTACTTCCAGATACATCAAATAGCAAGGACAAAGTGTTTGTGAATCAAAGTGTCCCCAATTAAGATCTTACCTGAAACATTATGGGTGCATATTTAGACAGGGAAAACATCCTACAACTTCCAGCATGACCCAGCCACTACATGCCAGTAGTTCCAGGATTTTCTTCTCTCTAGGCATGCACTGGATTGCAGAAGCTCCCTCCAATCTTCTTTTCTCATGGCAAAGTTTCACCAGCATATGAATATTCCATTATTTACAGAGCAACCTGTGCATGTCTAAGAAATAATTGCCATTGAGCCCAACCATGCTTTCTTCTACATATGTAAGATTGCAGTCCCAACACTTAAAACAAAGTATTGTCACAAATTCCTCAACCTCATGTACGTAAAGTTCTGCAGAAGTTCAAGAATGCTAACAGAGGAAAATATGTTTGAGAATAATGCAAAAACGGTAGAAAGCTAGATTTTAAAAATGTTGTAATTCGACAAAATGGTATTGGCTGTTCTGATCACTTCCATGATATTTTAAAATAAAAAAACATTCTAGATGGAGCAGCATCAAAGTCTTCAGAAAATTATATAGGAATATAACATTTCTTTTGTAAAACTGGAAAAACATGGGTTTTAAGCCAACTTTTCTATTGGTTATCAGTTGGATCTGTAGTTGGTTTAAAATGTTGCTGTATATTCATTTGTTCATACGTTTCCTTTTTTCAAGTTACTAAATCTATGTAATTTTTCCTCAATATTCATTCAGCTCTCCTTAGCTATTTATAACCCTCTAAAAAGATCACTTTGACATAAGGATAATAGACACTATCCCCAATCTAACACAGAATAAGGCATGACTAAGCCTATTGAAGTAAATGGGCTTCAGAACACTGGGTTAGAACACTGGGATTTTGTCATTGTAGAGTCCAATTCTCTAGAGCATTGCACATAACTTAGTCATGTAATAGCTGTTCAGAAATAATCACACACTGTAGATAAGGCACCAATAGACTCATTATCAAAGACTGAACTAATTCCTCCTCAGAAAATTCTACTTTGTATTCTTTGTGCAGAGAATGAAGAATCTTAACCATAGTTTCTTATTGTTATTATGGAATCTATGATGAAGGCAGCAATTTTCCGTAGTATACATAATCTGCAACCAACAAGGACACCATTTTCCCAGCAGCATCTCAACAGAGTTGAATAGTGAGTTGATGAAACTGAACTGCAGCACTACTGCTACCAAGATCCTTGTGCAGCCAACTCTCATGTTCCCAAAGAAAAGTACTGTCCATATATACAAGTTGTTTACCATTGTTGCCTGATATTCAGCTAAACATTCACCAGCTGCTTGATCTGCTCTGTTTGTAGTGACTGCCTCCTTGTCAATAGTGTCTTACTTTTTAAGTCCTTGGGGAAAATGGGTGCAGTTGGGATTAGGGTTTTTTGTCCACAAGAAACCATTGCATTAATCTTGTAAACATCTGGAATTATGGGATGAGGATTTAAAGGGGGGAGGAAACCAGGTCTAGCCAGGGCAGTATGATCGGAACCTCGTCTTTCTAAAATAGTATGATTTCTCCTGCTCAGGAAACTGGGAGGCATATTTTCAGTTAATTCTCTGGAACTTGATGACAATGATGGAGAAGGGGAGAGAAGTTTCTTCTTCCCTAAAAGTAATTTGCTGTCTTCGGTGAGAGGTCTCAAACTTGTGGTTAACTGTGAATCAGAACTGTAGTGATTTGCACCCAGACTTCTCCTCTGAACAATGCTTTCCAGTGTGGAAACAAAGCTCATTTGAGCTGAATCTGGATTTTGCTCAGTGGGAACTTCAGTCTGATTTGTTTCGCCAAACAGTGAATTAGAATTTATCTCATCACATGACATTTTTCTTGAGGCAGTTTGCTCAAAGTTTTTCAGGAAATTAAGAGTATCCTTTATATCAATGCTGTGATGTCTAGTAATAAATCTCTTAGATAAGGCTAGATTATTGAGTTTAAGAAACAATTCTTCCTCTGGAGTTATATCTTGAAGGTCTTCTTGTAAAGACGATATTTTATTCTGATCTAAGACCGAGGTAGAAGGTTTCATCCAAGGTTCAGAATACAGGTGCTGCATTTGAGGTCCCATTTGTGGTTTCCTTAAAGGAGAGTGTGGTTCGGGCACATCTTCCTTTTTTCCAGGGCAATTAGGATCTTTAAAGTTAAACAGAGCCTTTTCTGTTTCTTCTGAGTTTGTTGTTGGAGACAGAGCTGTTTTAACTTCTACTTCTGATGGAGAAGTGCAAGAACTTGGATAATGAGAATCATCCACATCAGGTGGAGGCACATTTAAGTACTGCCTTGTTCTTTGCCTTCCAGATGGAGACCTCTCTTTTGTAATGATGATGACTTCTTTCCCTTTTGCTTTGCAAGCATCTAGAATAACTTTGAGGGTTTCCTTATCCTCTGAGTTTACTGAGTAAACTAGAACTGAATTACCAGAATGGTCTTGCAGACTTACGTCAGCTCCACTTTTAAGCAGTAAAGAAACCACTTCAGGTCCAGCTTTCTGCAAGCATGCATGCATCAAAGCTGTCTTTCCAGTTTTGTCTTGTATGTTTGGATCTGCTTTATTTTCCAGAAGGTATTTCACCATTTTGAGTTTGCTAACACTTTGACGGTCCACATGCTTTGTCTTACAGGCAACCATTAAAGGAGTTTCACCACGGTCATTGCTTTCATTAATATAAGCCCCACCTTCTAATAATAATCTTGTGAGACGTAGTCTTCTTTGATAAACAGCTTTTATCAGAGAGTTTCCCTCAGGTGAAAGCTCAATGGTTTCTTCCATCTTCTCTGTTATTGAACTGAAGAATTCAGCAGTTGAAAATATTGCCTAGTTTGGAGACAGAAAAAAGGATTAACAACCTGATGTATGTTTGCTACTTGGATGTTGAAAAATAAGAGCCTCTATTGTATTTTTTTTAAAAGATACATTTGTTATGTATTTCTCATTCTGATCCAGCAGCACAGACTGTAAATACACATAACAAAGCTCTGCCTCCCAGGAAAAGCTGCTTTGAAAAGTGCATGCTTATCTTCATGAACATTTCCAAGAGTTCTTAACAGTTTGTCAGAAAATACATCACAAATACATGCTTTCTGGGACCAGTATCGCAATCTTGTTGGACTTAGGAAAACCCCCACTGCTTTAGACAGGGTGGTGAGTAGGACGACCACCTTCAGACAATGCAGATAATCTTATACGAATGTGACAGTGTTGATTATCTATAATACAAAACATGCTATACTGAACAAATGCAGCCATTTAAAATTTTCAAATAGAGGCCTGTTTGAAACATTTTTTTTTTGCTGTGATAAATTGAGAGTGAATTTGCCTCTGACAAGTTGGAGCAAAGGATACAAAGATCTCAAAAGAGTATTAAGTGTGTAATTGGACAAATAGGTCAAGCTAAATATGTTATTCAGTGGAAATTGGTCTATCACAACATTTGAGCTTTTTATAACACCTTCTGACAAATCACAAATACTGAGGGAGCTATTGTTTAACAGAAGTACAACCAGAGATGGCTAGGAATACAAACCTGTAGCTGCATGTAAGTTAAGCCAACATTTATCAGTACATAGTATTAAGAATCCTTACACTGTGTGTTGTATATCTACTGCACTGCACAATCTTGTCACTAAGCAACAAGCCCATTCAGATGTATGTTTGTTCTATTTACATGCTGTCAAGTTGTCTCAACCCTATGAATGAATGCCCTCAAAAATGTCCTATGCTTGACATCTCTGCTCAGCACTTTTATACATTTAGTTTTGCAGTTTTGCATTTAATAGCATATGGCACTACCTGTTACATTAAATTCCAAAATGGCAGATGTTCATCAGCGACCAGTCAAGAAAATGAAGTCAGTCACCCACTTCCATTATATATTTTTCAAAGCATGTTCTCAAAGCTTATTTTGTCATCAGAACTGTAACCCTGAACCACTGTTTCATAAGCATATCCCTACTTCCAAAGTACATTAGTGCTTATGTCCACAATTAGTTGACCAACAAGCAGACACAGTAAATTTGAAGACCAGTTTCAAAGTGTGTACCAGTACTGTCCTCACATATGTGATAAGCAGCAGATTGACTGATGGGCTTAGTCCAAATGCTGTTGTGAAACCAAAGCTTGAGTCATCTGCTTACAAGCCAAAGGAGGGTGACACCCCTTTTTAGTCATCATTGGAAAAAATATCATTGACGGAGGCCTCTGGTTTTTAGCTTGAGATAATGAGAACCAAGCAGAAGATCCAACAGCAGGCGGGGGGGGGGGGTGCTTCCAGAGTGTCCCCCAAAGATGCTCCCTTAACTTCACTTGCAATCACAATACTTGTTGGTAGATATTCAATAACTGAGGCCTTTCTCCAACTGCCAACTCTAAGGGAGGCTTGGAGGGAAGCAACAAGAGACATGGCAGCCCCCACACTTGTGTGTGCATCTCGTATCAACCTTGTCAACTTTTCACTGCCAGATTAAGGTGGTCCTTTATGCCATGCTTTTAAAGCAATAAATGGATATTCAAAGGCTTCAGGGAAGTACTAATCCCAGAAGATTTCACAGGGCTATGCTTCATATGCTGTTTTACTTATTTTTTTTCTTACAACTTTCAGAATTCTCCAGCCAGCATGGCTGCTTGGAGAATGCTAGGAATTGCAGGATATTTTTTGTCTAAGCTTGCATATGATTGCCTGCTTGATCTTTAACTCCATTAAATGATGTGAAAGAATCTGTAGGAAGTGAATGCATTACAGCCATTCCTATCCAGCTTCAGTCATCTTATGAAGGGATGTTGCTTTGATATCTCAGCCTTGACAAGGCTAGAATGTTGGTCTGGGTTCTATACTCTTGCAAATGCTGATTTCAGTCAAAATGTGATGAGCTGCTTAATATTTACAATTTTTAAAGGGTTAGCAACTTTACGAGAGAGCCTCAACTATAGGGTGGTAGAAATATGAAATAAATAAATGAAGTTTTTCATTTTTTCTTCATTTTTTGATGCTGTTCTCTTAATTTTTCTTTGCACAGAAGTCTGGGCCTAAGCAGTTTTTGGTATGTTACAGAAAATGCCAGTACTGCAGATATGGATTGAAATAGGACAGAGGAACACCTTGTACAAGTACTAAAACCAAATAAACAAGCAGAGACTGTATGTAATTCTTCTGATGCACTGAGATGTCTCTCAGTGAGTTACCATCAACATTACATTTATACAAAGTTAAGACAACATGCAAATCTGTTGGAAGAAATCTTTCAGCTACCTGCCCCATAGGCTTCATGATGGTAAGAATCTGAAGGCATGTTATTATCCACCAAAAGTATACTATCCTTTTCCACTTAACTGCTTGTAACAATGCACAAAAAGATTTATCTGTCATAGAACAGATGCATGTTGCACTATATTTTACTAGTATGCCAACAGCAGACACAATGCACTATAATTCATAGGTTACCGTCCATTTACATTTAACTGTTTGCAAACTGTTTTAGCTAGTAAGGGTGCATTCTGAAAATTACCATCACTGAATTTCCTAGACGCTACTAGTACAGGGGCAATACCATATCTTTAATTTAAAGATCTGTCCAGCTACTGAACCATTACCATGGTGATGCCTTTATGTTCTTACACATTAAATCCCAATAAATTATTTATAATAATTCAAAATTTTTTAAACATACGATATTCTATTATGACTTTGGCCTAGGTCATACCCAGAATTTGCTTTTTCAGTTGCTTTTTTCCTGTAAATCTTATGATTTTTTTTCAAAATGGGTAGTTATGGAGTTAAGAAGAATATGCTAGATTTAGGACTTTGTTTTGAGGTTTTCCAGTTTTTTTCCTGGTCAATAAGTAGATGGAGGACCATTTAAATGGGGTCAGGGGATAGGTCTCACCTACCACCTCACGAAGGTTTACATCAGGTTTACTGTCATCAATAGTATTGCCACCACACTCCTCATCTTTTTGTTTGCAATGGTAAATCCAGATGACACTTGCCATGGAAAAAGTTGACATTTTCACACAGAGATCACACACCGTTGATTTGTATAGTAAAAGTTGTGAGGATTATACCCTTGCAAGGAGCTAAAGTAGAAGCAATTGATTCCTTCCTCACACAGTGTTTTTGTAGGAGGGAGGAAAAACCCTGTAAAAGTGTGCCATTTCTTTTCATCACAATACGTTTCATCATTAAAAGGGCACTCTCAAACAGAGCTAACAAAGCAAAGTCAACAGCTACTATCCCTACCTTAAAATGTTATTCAGTCAGGTTGTCAGCCAGCCACTGTGGCACAGGGGTTGGAGCACTGGAGTGGGACTCAGGAGTTCCAGATTTCCGTCCCCACTCAGTCATGAAATTCAGTGGATGACTTTGCACCAGTCTGACTCTCAGCCTAACTTACCTCACGGGCTAGTACTATGAAAAGAAAATGTTAAGTAGGGCCATGTAAGCCACCATGGGTTCCTTGGCAGAAAAAGGTGCTATATAAATATAAAAAACTGAATAAATGCCACACTTCTACAAGAAAACAGATCGTAAATGTACAAGCTCTCAATCACATTCTAATAATAAAAAAGAAATTTTGGCATACTCTTGAGCAGCACAAATTGGATAGTTTACAAACACTAATAATATAGAAACAATCATCATTCTTGAGAAGAATGGAGAAAATGGGAAAACACAGTTGAGGAAAAAAAACCTTAGTACTGTGGGTCATGACACTCAGTTTCAGCTTGGCAAGACATCTTGTCTCATCACTAAGCCCACAGCTATAAAAGCAGAAGTGGCTGTACCTTGCCTCTTCTGCTCCACTCCTGTCCTTCTCCTCCCAGGCATCCTTGCCCTTCAATTATTATGTATGAAGCAAAAACAAGTATCTCACTTGTTTCACTGAGCAGCATGAAGTGCAGGCAAACAGATCAGAGTAAGTACTGGCAAATACATACACAAGAAGCCTGCTTAATTGGACTGACGGTCCATCTTGTCCAGCACACTGTTTTATCAATCACCAGATGATAAGAATACAAGGGGAGCCATGCTGGATCAGTCCCAGGGTCCATCTAGTTCAGCATCCTGTTCCTATGTTGGCCAACCAGCTGCTCATGAGAAATTCCCAAGCAGTACATGAATGCAACAGAATGATGCTTCAGGGAAACAAACCAGCAAGGCATGAAATTAGTTTTCTTTTGTTGTTAGTCCCTATACTGAAAAGCATAGCAGCAGCTTGAAAGGGGCCAAGATTTAATCTTTAAAAGAAACATATATAATAAATACTCTAAATAAACTGGCTGAAAATAGGACACTTAAGCTCTGATTGCAGCCAGGGCGTTGTGCCTTTGGTAATCTCAGGTACTTCCTTCTTGTCAATTTCTTCCAAGTCAGAAGAGGTTTGCAGTGTTTGCCCACTCCTTAGTCAATACTGGATGTAGCTGTACAACTCTACCTCTTGAGCATTTAGTGCAGCCATAAACAAGGCACCTGTTTGGAGAAAGTTGCTCTAGGTTTCCGTGATAAAAATTAACACAGAAACATGAATGGCATGGTACAGAATTGTGAAAGCTTAAAGTTTTTTTTTTAATGGACAATGGGAGCAGAGAAATACACAAGATTATAGAAACCAAGCCAAATCTTTTACATTACAGGGAAAACATAGTTATTGTCAGAATGTTAAATCACACTGGTCCATTGATTTCTTGTGGGGATTCTAATATGAATGTGAAGTATCTCTGTCGGGACTTCCTCAGCAGCTTCAGTGAAGCATGCAGCTCTTTCGCATTTGTCCCTCTAAACTGTCTCCTCTATAGGAGTTCCATGTGTGCAGGAGAACCAGGTGCACTTTCGAACATCCATGGAACTCTGGAGTAGTTAGTCATTTGATGTATTTATAAGCCTACCTCCCTTGGAAAAGACAATCTAAAAAGCAGTGGGAAAGATATTTAGTTAAGATTTCATACAGAAGTAAGATTACTTATGGTGGCACCTACCTGGTTATTTTGCCAAACAAAGCATTGTTATGCAAAATGCATCAGTGTATGGTTGGACAGCTATGGAGTACCTGCAAATTGCAAAACATTATGATTTTTCAGGGGAAAATGTGAAGAAAAAATTGACCCAACTTATAGAAATATAAAGGTTGGCTGAATTTCATTCAATTATGTTTATGGTAAAAAAAATACAGCAGAAGCTTCTGAGAATTCTATTTTTCTTTTAACTCTTTTCAAAGATGACTTATTCCATCATACCAAGTAATACATCTGTCTCACCAGAAAGGAAATGCAGCCTAATGCTTAGGATGTAGCTTATTCCTTTGTGAAACTTCATTTTTACACCCATCTATGAGTAAGTGCAAAGGAAATCAGTAGCATTTAACTCCTCTATAGCTTGGGACAATAGACACAGATTGGCATCAGTATGCTTCCATATTAAGAAATGAGCCTCAGCAAACATGCAGCCGGATCATATGCATGTTTACTCAGAAGCATCTCCTGCGATTTCAGTGGACTTTGCTCCCAGGTAACACTCAACTTTTCAGTAAATATTAATCACTATCAGACTGCTGTGCACAACAAGCACACAAGTAAAACCTCGCTGTATAAATCAGTGTTTATTTTATTAACTACATCCGAAGACAAACCTTTCCAGGAATTTTATCAACCCCCACACTCACCACCTGCAGCTGGTTTCAGCGCGACGAAAGGCAACTTTACTCATATCACACAACGGCTTCGTTTCACCCCAATGCCCTCAAAAGTATAGGAGTTAAAACGTTACGATTATCTTAATTCGGATTAACAAACTGCAATTGGTAAAAGCATCAAGTTTTATGTCAATGTGAACATAACTGCGCGCCACTAAAAAGCCAAAACAGCTTCTTAGTTTGAAACGACCTCGTTTGTTTACTATTTTAGGCTACTGGCTATTCTGGGACATACGGGTGCGCATGTAACGTTTCTAACGCGCCTGGAGCGCGCAATTGCTACAAAAGGACCGGAATGCTCTTACAGTTAATAAGCAAACAGTGTCCAAACATGCTACTTGTTGCAGACCCGCAAAACAATTCTATGGTGACTTGGGAGTCAGTCTCGCCGAGTTCAACATGCCGTGCTGTCATATGCATGAGCCTTGTGTGGGAACCGTAGGTTATTTGCAAAGATAACGCCGATTAGTTACAGTCTACGTTCCCTATTTCTTTCGCCCGCCGCCTTTTTGCACGTGTGTGAGAAACCGGACGAAATCGCAAGCAGTAAAAAAACGTGTGCAGAGCCGGAAAACCTCTAGCTCCAGTCGCTGCTGTTTAAAAGCAGACGACTGGTTGTTGGCTGGAAGTGTTGTCCGGGGCACTTGTTTTATTCGGTGCGCCACCGAAGAGCGGCAAAAGCAGACGCCGCTGCCGAAGCCCGCCACGCCTGCCGAAGCGCAGAAAAGGCCACTGCGGCGAGCTAGGGGGCTATCGGCACGCAGGTGGAAAGCCAAGCGTTCCGCCATGCCAAAGGCCGCCCAAAGAGTTTGAAGCCCCATTACTATCCTGCTGCTACCTACCCGAAGAAGCAGCACTCGGGGAACGCCGGGCGGAGAGCGGCTTTCCGCTAGCACGAGGTTCTGCTGCGCAGGAATTCGGCTCGGCTGCTCCTGCGCCTGGCTTCAGAACAGTTGGTAGCGGGAAGCGACGACGGACGAAACGCGTCTCTCTTGCGGGTAGGGAGCGCCCCAGCTCTGGAGCTCTGGCTTCTCCCACCTCTTGGCTCCGCTGCCTCTGCGTTCAGCTACGATGGCGGGGACGCGCCGCCTGCGTTATTTTTCCCTCCGTGCTGCTTTGCATGCGCGTGGAACTAGCCAACTGCAGCCAAAGGTGCGCTTGCTCGCCAGGAGGCGGTAGGCGAGCGGGGGCGCGGGGAGCGCGCGCGCGTTCTCCCACCCCTCTGATCAAGGCTGGCCCAATTATACAGTAGAGTGAGGAGGATGTCTGAAAGCAGCTGAACGTAGGTTTCAGGAATGATCGCTAGATAGTTTGTTTACTTAACAGGGAGAGGTGTGTTGTGTGACTTGCTGCCTCGGATGCCAAAATAGCTGGACCATTTTAAAGGTACCGTGGCCCTTGTGCTGGGGCCAGGCAACATTTGCCCTTTTGTTTTCGGAGGCCAAGTATCTTGGGCTGGCCTTGAAGCCTACACAGAGGTAACTTTTCATCAAATAAGATTTGCCTTAGGTAGTGTTCGAATGCATATGCACCTGTATTTGAAAGCTGTTTGCACTGAATTTGGTGGGACACACTTCCAAGTAAATGTGCACAGGATTTCAGTCTTAGGTTTCCACCTTTTCTCCCTCAAAAACTTTATGAGCTAGGCAGAAGCTGTGTGGAATGCAGAAGTTAAAAATAGGTGCAGGTTTTCTCTGGTACTGAGATGCAGTAGAGTTGTACCTGTTCGATCTTTGCCAATCTATTTCTACTGTCAAAAGATAAAACCCTTTTTAAGAAAAAAATTTCCTTCCTACTTCTGCTTTGGACAACTTGCTTAGAAAGTAAAATCCACATCTGAAAGGATAAAAATAAAAATAGGATTTTCATATGGGCTAGAAGCTGCTGGCATGGTTAAAAGCCTATTGCTGTCTAGTGTTACTTACTAAATCTCAGGCCTGGGGGTTACATTGACCTGGTACACATGATTCGTTCAATTACGTGTGGGCACAGGCAACAGGCAAGCATAATGTCTCAAAGATTCACTTAAGTAGACATTTAGAACTGCACAGCAAAATATACTGATTTGTAACTAAATCACTACAAAATTGATTCTGCTCAGTGGGGCTCTTTGGTTATGTTTTGAATCTGCAGTTTTGAATCCATGCCAAATAAACAGATCTCTTGATAAATAAACATGGAGGTTTGCTGTCCAAAAGCTATAGAGCTTGATTCGCAAGATAACAAAGCTGAGACTTACCTGTTTTGGCCACATCATGCAATCAAGGCCATTAGAAAAATATATAATGCTTGGAATGCTCAGCAGCAAGAGAAAAGCAGGTCGCCAATGAGTGAGGTAGTTAGACTCCATCCAAGAGGATGTGGACAGAGCATAGTTCAGCTGAAAGGTGGCACTAGATCAAGACTTATAGTTGGACATGACTAAAAAGCTGAACAACTACAAAAACTATTGCCAAGCAGCTGTAGTTCCACTTCTTCCATTATATGTAAATTTAAACATCTGTATATACTGCTGGGAAATGCCCTTGGTTGGATATATATGTTGCTTCTTATCAACAGTGCAAAATTGTGGAAGAAGATGTTCATAAGGCATTCAATGTACTACAGGATATAATAGCAAGATAAATAAATGCCAATGACATCTGCAACCAGACTGAGCAAATAGTGGATTCCCTTTCAGATTAATCCAGGTTTTTTCCAGTGGTATAAAACTGGAGGAGGGAGACAGCATTGGTTCTCTCACAGGATGATTGTCTCAGAATATATCCAAAGGGTAGGGATCACTTGCTAAAAAGTGTCCTCATGGCAAAAACACTCTGCCATGTAAAGATAACATGCTTAGCAAAGCTAATACATTCTGCTATACGTGATCATGTAAACACTTTCTTGCACAAGTGCACCCTCTGCTTTCCCTTTTTATTAACTAATTTGAACTAATCCTGACATATACAAGTGAATGAGGTTACTGCAGCAAAGATTCATGATCTGTTTTGCATGCTAAAATGTTCAATGAATGTAGGTAACATAGTGAGAAAAACCCACAATGTAATTTGACAACCATGCCTTAACTCTTGGTTGCCTGCCTATTTTGTCTAGTCATTACGCTTTATGGGGTCCATGAAGATAATACTAGGATTTAATCCTATGCATGTTTAGACAGAAAAAGTCCTACAACTACAACTCATGCTGGCTGAGGAATGCTGGAAATTGTAAGACTTTTTTCTTGTCTAAACTTGTATAGGATTACATTCTTATCCATTTAGCATTGTAAAGACCTTCTGTTGCTTACTCTCCAATCAGTTGTCTGCTCTTGACTCTTACTTTGTTCTCTTAGTCTGCAGAACAGGGTTGCTTGATTTAAAAATACACAGACATTTTTTGCATTTATTTTCTGATTTTATGAATTGCCAGCATTAAAGGCCATTTTATGAAATACACAGACAATACAGTGTGAAACTATAACACAGTATTAAATTGGAAAAGATAATTGCAAAACAATAAGGAAAAATAAGCACCATTCTGGGAAACAAGGAAATTTTTAATAGGCACTAGAAGTTCTGTTTAATGAGTACTGGCAGGAGTTCCAGAGAGTGGGCATTATGATACTGAAGACTTATTTTGAGCCATCACAGACCAAACTTTTGATATCTAAGGCATTGCCAGGATGGTGGCCACTTATGAATATAGCAACTTAACAGGCAGATGGGGAATCAAACAATTACTTAGGTATCTTGGTCCTGAATTCTTTAGCATAGAGGCTGCCAATGCATTTCCTGCAACACAGATGTAATATGCTGGCTATAAACTACTGCCCTTACCAACCTGGCTGCACCATTCTACATCAATGGAAGTTTCTGGAGTAGTTCTTATGGGTAGCTCCAGAGAAAGAGCATTGTAGCAATCCATTTACTACATCAAAAAGTATATTTGGCCAACTTTAGAAAGCCCAACTTCTCCATCTATGCATAAGTACCTTCATTCTTTGCTAATCACTGCAATAAACAGTACCGTATTTTTCCATCTATAAGACGCCCCCATGTATAGGACGCCCCCCACTTTTCTTACCCATCTCTGGGTGAGATACTGCCGCGCTTGCTCCCCACCCCCGTGCGTGCCGCCTCGCCACTCCCCCCTGTGCAAGCACGCTCCATCTAGCTGACAACCTCGCACATGCTGCCTCACCGCCCCAGCGCGGCCACAGTTCTCCTCTCTGTCCCCCGTGTATAAGATGCCCCTCCATTTTGAAGTAAGTATTTTTAAGAAAAAGTATTGTCTTATACATGGAAAAATACAGTACTGTTCCTCAAGAAGAACCAGACAAGACTCAAAGAAATCTACTCTTCATAAAAAACTACCAAGACTCAAGAAAGCTTAGATTGTAGAGATCTTCCAGTTACAGCAGACCTTAAAAATTTATTCAAAGACATATTGCATACTAAAAATTGCCCCAGATGTTGGGAGAGACAGGTAATTTTTGAATTGTTTAGAATAACCTGTTTATCTGCTTTACCTGAGACTGTATACAGCTGAATGTATTCAGTTTGCACATCAAGTTACGACACTGAAAATAAGCTGCCCTGAGCCATACTGTTCCCACTAGATGATCAGATGCTCAGGAACTTGCCTTGGCTAGTTTACCCTTTGGTCCTCCCGCTTGCTCCTGACACATGTTCCATGGGTGTTCGCAGCACAACTTCAGCAGTTTATTCTGCTAATGCATTAGCAGAAATAGAGTTTGTAAATTTTTTTCACCTTTGAGGAGATTTGTGCAAAGTTGATAATGTATACTAATTACCATTAGCCTGGTGTGTGTGTGTAAAGACCATCTTAATGGATCTATATCCTTGCAGAGTGAAAAAGCTCAGCAGGTGATGACCTGGTCATGGAAAAGGGACTGACTCAAAGTTCCTCACGTTCATATTACTTTCACGACGCCTGGGATATGCTCTGCTACATGTATTGGGTTGATGATGTGCTGGGACAGTCCCATGGTTGCCAGGGAAACCATGAAGATCTGAACCCATAAATGTTGTGCTTTATTTATTTATTTAATTATATGCCACCCTATTAACCATAATACTCTCTGGGTGGCCTATAACAAATGAGAATAACCATATAATAAAGTCTACAATTTGCAATAAAACCAGTAGGACTATAAAATCAATATAATAACCACTAAAATTAAGATAAGTAATAAAAATACAATCAAATAATTTATACTTTAGATCAAGTATAAATTTATATAACATAAGATAAAAAGGGACATTAAAGTAATTCAAATGTAATTAATAAATATCAACTATCTGGCATACATCCATAAATAATAAAATGAGATATAATAAGGGACATGTCCAATTAAAACAACCATTAAAATAACATAACCAAATCAAAAATTACAATATTTCAGAAGGCAGCAGCAATAATAATACTAAACCATAAAACTATCATTAAAATCATAAAACCAGCAGATTCACTCTCCAAAATGGCTACGGAACAAAAACATCTTTAGTTGGCATCTCAAGTATTCTAAAGAAGACACCAACCTAATCTCTGATGGGATCGAGTTCCATTTATTTATTTATCATATGGCACTTTCACATCACACTTCAATAAAAACACAGGCATAAAAACACGACATACACAATATAAAAAAATTCATAAAACATTATAAATGTATATCTAAATTACAGATATAATTTTTTGCTTTGTTTGTCACAACCAGGAAATCAGCAAAATCTCCTTCATAAGCTCTATTTTGGCACTCTGTCACTATATGTTGGATAGTTTCTTACAGTCCCACAATCACAACTGTCAGTGCTAAAGAACAGTCCACTGAAGGCAAAACATCTTGGCAGCCAGTTAATCTGACGCCAAGCCGTTTAAGGGCTTTATATGTTACTGTGTGCACTTTGAATTGTGCTCGGATGGCAACTGGCAGTCCATGTAGCCTGAATAAGACTGGCTTGATATGCTCACTAGTGCTGGTCCTTGTCAGCAGGCAAACTGCCTGGTTTTGCACAAGCTGCAAAGTCCAGACCGTTTTCAAAGGCAGCCCCATGTAGAGCACATTGTAGTAATTCAAGCAGGAGGTTACCAGCACATGGAT